CGAGTGGGAGTGACAAAACCGGATAAACCCGGTCTCTGCCAAAGCAGCCATTGTTCTCTATAGAGCATAGCCACCACTCCATGGAGTAACCATTGTTCTCCTAGGAGTCATTATACTGTAGCGAGTAGCACCTCCGACTATAAGTAGTAGGGGGTTTAGTATAGGAATACCTCAGTCGTTTCTATAGCCTCTCAGGCAGCGGCTGAGTTATGTTACATTACATTTATTAGAGATTACCTTAAACTAACATCTATTGTAGTTTCACTTAGGTAAATAATAAAGTCGTTTCTATAGCCTCTCAGGCAGCGGCTGAGTTTCACTTAGTTTTATTACCATGGACCATGGTCCCTAACTTGACGGAAGTAGACAGAGGAGAATAGAGGATGAAAAGGGAGCAGAGTAAAGACCCTTCAGAGAAGGATTGGAAAAAATTAGAAAGGAACTTGTAAAAAATGAAGGAATCTAGTTGATATTTGAACTGCAGGAACGAAGTACAGGAGCTACAACTTATATACTGTCGGAGGAGTAGGGGCTTGTAAGGAGTAACTTGTAATGTAGGTACAGAGTTCTATGCAGACAATTATCTAGCAAGAGGAGAATGTATGTGCAAGGAGTCTATCATAAGGTTTAAATCACAGAGTCCATGAGGAGTACGGGAACGTGCATAGGAAAGCATATGATAGACTAAAAGTCCAGTGCAGGAGTATCATAGCGGACAACTGGAGTACCATGTGGGGGTGGGATACGGGGGGGGGCTATGCCAACCAGCAGGCCATGAAGAGCATAATCCCAAGAATACCAAAGGTTTGGGAGGTTTGGATTTGGGGAAATATCTCTTTCAGAGATTGTTGTGGGTAAACAACAGGAGGACTTGCTGAGGAGTCTCCTTGATCTATTGGGGTTTATATATATCTACAGACTATTTGTACATGTGTACAATACAGTTGATGAAGGCAGTGGCAGATGATGTCATAGGGCACAGCCTGTGTGACCAGTTCCACTGCATGAGAGACTTGTAGCTAAGAATAAAGAAAAGCAGTGCAGCGCGAGACAGTGGAGTTTGAACAAAATGGAAAGTGCCACATGGTACAGTGTGTGAAAACTACAAAAGAAAGTTAAAGTGGAGAATGAAATCTAAAGGTCCAAAAATTGTGTATTGTAACACATATAAGTTTTGTAGTGCTCTCATTGGCATTGGTTGTGACTTGTGCTTGCTGTTATGTTTGTTTTTGAGCTGTAAGTAGTAGCATTCAGGACTGTGTAGTCTTTTGGATTCATCAAAATCTACTTATTAAACAATCACTACTATACTAATTAAATATCCAGGACAAATTATTTGGTTCATTGATAGTAAGGTCAGTAATGGTTGGTTTAACACCCAAGGTGACAGCAGTCATGCATGCAACTATGATGATTGAAAGCCCTCCTGGTTATAATGATACCACAGGAACATTAAGTAAATATTCTTTTGAAATCTGGTTCTGTCAGTCTGGGGCCATGTGAAGAATTGAGGCAAAGAATTTGGTCTAGCAAAGCATCGGTAGTAGGGTTGAAGACAGCTTCAAATAGAGTTTATTATGGTGGTAAGATTTGTATGTTGTATCATATTATTAGTATGATAGCACTGGCATGTAGAAGTCTTACCTATAATTTGACGTCTCAGACCAGGAGAATATACTGTATAACGTGCAAAGGTGCCGGAGAATTAGCATCTACTAGGTTGCACACGAGTGAGCTCAGCACCTTATGATGCTTGATATTCAGATTCACCTCAAAATGGATACTGATTCACAAGGAGTCCATTCCTGTTGTATAAACGCTCCAGGTAAACTAGTATGCAGGAGCTGGGATGAGCAAGGGCAGCCTGACAAGTATACCCGCAATAGCCGCATGCACAAGTTGCAACATACTCTCCAGCATATAAGCCATCATGAGCTACAATTATGGCACTCCCAGTATACACCCCTCAATATCACTGCAACATTGCACAAAAGTAGGATGGAGCCAGGAGATTGTGGATTTGGCAGCAGTGCATTAGATCCAATGGTGTTATCTGTTCACCCAACAGTGTCACTGACCTTCAAACAATGTTAACGCAGACAAGACATGTAATTTAGCAACCTTGATTGAATGTGAGAGTGAAACATAGACTTGACATAGCCACAAGCATGTTAGAATATACAATCCATACTATAGACTTAGAATATTTCCGCTTTGTTGCTTACTAATGGCATAGCCACAACATAATATGCCTCGTTGCATCACAGTTTCTTTCCTCAGTTCTACTGAGGCAATTAACTGTGAGTATATCCATATCATCACCATAGAAGTACTTTACTGACAATGGTGTACAGTATTAACTTTACTATAGTGTTAGCCAGCTCACAAGTTATGAGTCCAGGAAACACCACTGCTTCGACTTCCTCCTCAGGAATATATGCTATACCGAAGCTATCAGCAGATGACTCAAATTGGATATTATAGAAATCTCAATTTGTTGTTGATGATGAGAATTGTAGTTAGAAAACCACACACAAAACAAACTAATACACAATCCTCCCAGATTCCATGGAACTTGTGTATGGGCTTTGCCTCCTAGAACAGTGGAGTGGTCTGGTTGTTCGTGGGGTAGTACATATGACAATCCTTCAAAGTAAAACCCAGAGATGTATGGGTGTGGGTTTTGAGGAGGAGGCATAGTTGAATTATAGAAGATAGGGGCTTAGTGACGAGTATGGACAAGCACTACCTTGTTAATTGTAGCATAAGGTAGGTTTGAGAACAACGAGATGACGAGGTGACGAGGTTCCCAGTGATAGCAGGCTCCTGACGCACAAACTGTAGTGCTCAGAAGGACTCTAATCGAAAGGGATGACAATGACTTCAAAAGTGGGAAGTGACAATGACAGCAGTTAACAGTGGTAGCAGTGGGAATTGTTGTGATCACACTGGATCACAAGTAGCAGAGTAGTGAACTTGAGATTTAGAGAAGAAGTCTGGTTTGGAGTTCTTGTTGTTTTTTTACAAGGTAGAATACAGGAGTTTATATAGTAAAAGAAAGGGAGGCTATGCACAGTATAGCTGTGCAAAAAAAATGAGAAAGAACATGAAGGAAGGAATGTATGCTGATGAATCCTGCGTAGGTAGTACAGGATAAGATCATCAAAATAAGGAAAAGAAAGAGATAGAACAATAAATGCTGTGTAAGTAATGTCACAGGTTTGTACAGCCATAAAATAAAGTCCAATAGCAAAAAGAGAGCAGGAAAATCATGATGTCATGGGAAGATGCAGTAAAAAAGGATAAAGAAAAACAATATCAGTATCAACATAGTTCCTTTATTGTCAGTCAGACAATCTAAAAAATTATGTGTCCATAAAAATGATTCAATAATCAAAAATAATTGCACTGTAAATGAATATTCTGCTAGAAAAAAGAAACTGGAGCCACCGGTCCACCACCTAGTCCAAATCCGACAGTTCCATGGCCTTACCAATGGACTGGTTGTGTTGGACCACCTGACCAAACGAGGGAGGGAGAGAAGTAGTTCCAATTTGGAACAAGTGAGTCCCAGGTAGCGTGTGGTAGGTGTAGCTGTAGTGAAGACGATGGAAAAAAGATCAGTATACCCAAGTGAATGGGACAGCGATGAACATGGTTGACGCAAGGGGATGAACCTTCTCCAGCTCAAAAACTACCCACCCACGCTCCAACCAGGCAAGACAAGCGACCGATGTTTTGATAGTATATGATGGCAGATCGACGTCATAAAGATGGACCTGTTGCCCTATTTGAACCGGCTGCCGGGGCTTTGCTGAGATCAGCAGTGGCATGTGGTAGTCAACGGATCGGCGACGGAAGCGGATAGGAAGTGGTGACATCAGAAATGGTGGGGGTGCAAATAAGATGAGGAGGAGGAGGGTGGAGGTGATGAAAAAGTGGATTAGAATGGGGATCCAGAAACGACCGTCAGGTGAGAATAAAAAGGAGAGGAAGGGGCCCATGGTGGGGCTAGGCAAAGGAAGGGGAGTAAGGGAAACAACAAAAGCGAGGGCGCAATGCAATGTGTAGCCAGTGGCGACGCAAAAATTTGCCGAAATGCTGAAATGCCGAAAGTACCGAATGGAAAAGCAAAGGTGAGCATGACTGGATTGCCTAATAGAGGTGGTGCTGATCAGCCACAAGTTCCAAAAAGGCAATATTAATTACTATTCCACGTGGCACTGTGCCTGTGTGGCGCAAAGGCGAGTCTTTTTGAATATTCGCTTCGTTATTGACACCTGTCCATGCTACCAATCAACTTTGGTGCATGACACCGGGTCAAATGGGTATGATTCAGTAATGGTGGTAGTAGATTGCTTCTCCAAAGAAGTGGTATTCATACCCAACAACAAAACTATTACCGCCGCTGGTATACCAGATTTAGTTAAAGATTTTGTATGGTCTATCCATGGATTACCAGAAACGGATATTTCCGATAGAGGACCTCAATTCCCTAGCGAATTTATGAAAGAATTATGCCGGATGCTGGGCATCAAACCTAAATTATCAACGGTGTTCCATGCGCAGACTGATGGACAAACAGAGAGACTCAACCAGGAGTTGAAACAATATCTCTGGATATTTATTAATGACAGGCAGACGGATTGGGCCAAGTGGCTAAAGAGACCTGGTAACCTACGGTACCAGGAATACAACATTGCCTGTGACATTCAGGTCCATATTTATATGTGTTTGGTACATCGAACGATTGCATGCATCACCCACTGGCAGCAGTAACCTTCCTGCGTGTGTTTACTTTCGAATGCTCGCTCGTCGTTGCCAGCGTAGGGCAGAGGAAGAGGCGAGGATAGCTGAGCTGGTTGCACAGTATGAGCGCAGTGCACTCTTACTCTTTGGCTCTCGCTCGAGATCTCCTGGCCAACATAGTACAGGCGAATTGTGGTAGTGTAAGCACTATCAGTGGTTAAAGGACAACGGGTATTTTCTCCGCACTCGCTATGCTCCAGACTGGTCCCCTTCATGGAAAACCACCAATGTATCATGGGTGGAGTGTGAAGATAGACAAGGTCCACTCGTATGTAGTAGTGAACTCGTGTGTCGCTTTGGTTGACAGTGGGTCAATTAACAGGTAGAGCATGTGTTGGATGCCACTCGAATATCTGATGGGGCCTTTGTAACTTTGAAGTTGTTCAAAAAGTCACTACATCCTTTCGAGATTGAAATAGGCCAGTTCTTTTCGACAGAATCACTTCTATCCGACCCTGCCAATCATTGTGTACCAATTTACGATGTGCTTGTTGTACCGGATGACGAAGATCGTGCTATTATTGTGATGCCTTTATTGCGTTTTTTCGACAGTCCGCCCTTCGACACTTTCGGGGAAGTGATCGACTTTCTTCGCCAAATTTCCGTAGTAAGTGCATCAGTCACTCAAAAATAAAAATAAAGTTTCCAAACGGTTTCTTTCACCAGGGTTTGCGATTCATGCACAAACATCACGTCGCTCATCGGTATGTACCATAACTATTATATGATTCATTGCTGAAAGTTATACAGTGATTGCTTGAATCTAAACATCATGATGGATGCAACACCTCTATTTGTCGACCCGTATCACCCTCAAGATCTTGAAATGAAACGCGATTACACGGGGCGGGTAAGCTATCACACTCGTACCCAGCGTCCGCCAAAATATCTATTTGTCGATTTTGGTATATCACGCCGCTATGGTCCTAATGATATAGCTCCTCTGGAAGATCCAATATGGGGAGGCGATAAAACAGTTCCCGAATTCCAGCAGTCGAACGAGCCCCGCAATCCATTCCCAACAGACGTATACTATCTGGGAAATATGATCAGGAACTCATTTTTGGTGGTGTGTCACTTTTGGTGTTTCTCAAGGAACTGATTACGCATTACTTTTATCAAGGCCAGAACAGGTTTTGAGTTCGTGGAACCGCTGGTGAAAGACATGGTACAGGATGACCCAGAAAAGCGGCCCAACATGGATGAAGTCATTCTACGGTTTGAGGGGATCATCAAGCAACTAAGCAGCTGGAAATTGCGATCACGCGTCATTAACGAGCACGATGACAACATTTTGGGTTTTTATCGTTGTGTCACTCATTGGGCCCGCCGCTTCAGCTTGGTTATCAGGAGGGTGTCTGCCATACCAACACCTTGAAACTGTCGTACCTGCTACATGTACTTCTGGATCTATCTGAAGAACTAGTTGGTGTGTTAGGCATTCTATGTGCAGTCCATATGGCCGGTGCCTTTAAGACTGAAGTTATGTGCAGCCAGATTGTAATATATCATCGCCCGCTGGGCAGCCCTGGACCGGCTTACCAGGAAAGACCAAGCAAATACTCGTGGAATGTCTAGGGTCACAATGCAGACAAGCTAGGGTGCACAAACTTCATATTGGACAGAGCAAAAGTCAACGATGAGACTCGAGCGATATTCCCATTGTGGCAAACTAGAATTCTGGCAGAAGGCACGGGGAGGATTGGGTTGCCAGTGGTAACGCCGACAAGTACAAAGTGCTATTCGAAGTTTGGAAGCGCCTAAGCCGAGAATTAGGTTCGTCACTCCATTGGTACATCGTGATCCTCCGCCAAACCTGTGTACCTAAGTAATCTAGGTGTCACAATCCACCCCTGAGTACGGGTCTACAATAATGAAACCTGTTTATCCACCAATACGGTGGATGAATAGTTACTGTAGGAATTTTGAATACAGCCGCAGTGTGGCATTGGTTTTTTCCTGGTACCATAGGTTACCAGGTCTCAGAACCAGCTATTGACACTACTTTTGGCCCCAGTGATTCATACTGACCATCTGCACTTGGCACATGAGCGCCATCTCTTTTCATTGAACCGCCACAGACATAGTACCACAGACACATCTTTTTGTGCAGGAACAGTATGCGCCTCTCAACACCCCATACTTCCCTTGCTTCCAATTAACACCAATGAACTTGAAAATGAGTTGTCTCGAGAACACATAACCAATGCAATCAAACCATTTGTCTTGCCGTGCCCCTTTGACGATCCAAGTGTCATGTTGCTTTTTGAAGAAGAGTGTTGATGAGGTCCTGTAGAAATCCTTGGTCAGTTTTTTGATCGAACTAATGACAATAACCATGCCTACTTTGAGTTGTATGGTGTGCATTACTTCAAAATTTGTAATTTAAAAATCATCATTATTCCAAATGTCTCGCACCTCAAGCCTTCATACCACATTCTTACCATATGATATATACAAATGATGGTATAACTTCCGCCATGGGGCCAGGAGTGCCTGGAGGGCGATGTTATTTAAACTCCCGATGGGTCTGATCGATAATTGTATACCTCATTCATAAATTAAAACTCTAATGTACATATAATCACAATATATTGTGATACGTTACGCTAGAGATCGTCTTTCAGAGAGTATGAGACAAATTCAAAAAACATACATGGAGTGATGTAATGAGACCAAGAAAACAACCATAAGATGATATAAAACAAGGCTTTCAATGCTCATGACAAGTGCTCTGGATGTCCATATTATCAATCTCCTCCAGCGACGATATGTCTGACTTTGAAGAAGCTGACTGAGAAGGACCACAGCAAGCTTTAACAACGGGACTGAGATTGTAGTAAGCACAGTAAGTGTTGCAGCAATGGAGGTAGGGGAAATTGTACAAAGTTTCCGTCCAATTGCCCTCACCAAAACAAGCAGCATGACTCCTAAGATATGCAATTAGCTAGTAGGCAAAGTAACTAAGAAAAAAACCCACTTTACTGTGATCATCTGGCAATCAGTCAACAGAAAACCGGCATCTGAGAAAGGGGATCGATGATCAGTAAGCTATGCAAGTTAGGACCTAAAAATGAAATAAATACCTTGGAAATCAGACAAGAAAGCAAGACCATGAGAGATATTATACTGGACATGTTGCACGAAACAAAGAAACTCAGTGATCAACTGTTGCTGGTCATTCAAACCAGGTCTAGGTGAGGCATTGTTGTTGTTAATATACTTCACAAAATCTCCATCAATTTGCTCCTCAAGCAGGTATACTGCACCTTTCAGACTCGGGACAAGAGGCACAGCAATGGCAGAATAAACCATACATAGGCGAGGAAGTTTGGGAGGTGGAAGTTCAGTGGGATTTTCTTTGTGTTTAGAACAACTCCTAATAAACTGATACACCATTTTCATCAGACTACACCCCCAATACATGCAGTTGGCTTTGACAAGCATTTTTGCAAGCTCATCTTGGATAGCAAGTCACTTCCTACCTGAGCGTGGGGCCAATATAGAGGCAGCTGGTGAAGCATTGGCCATGCTAGGTTGAAGTCTGTAGTACCACTGTTTAGCAATGATTTCTCCTCTGTGTAGGAATATGATGGATTGAATGGGAAAGTCAGAGGTAGGAAAGAGTTCATCTACAAAGATGGGGTGACAGGTTTTAAAGGATCTAGGGGGTCCAAGCATTGATTTGCTACTATGGTCTACTGTCAGACTTGCACGAGGTTGCTTGTCCATATTCTCAATATTAAAAGGCGAGGGTGTCTTGAGTAGCAAATTCAATGTAGCTGTAGGTACTGGAAATAGAGTGTACATCCCTGAGTTGTCCTTTACTGTGAAATGTTAATATGAGATCCTGAAATCAAAGAGATAGGAAACATACCAAAGAGTTTTGCCTGCAGTCAAACATTAGACTGTTCTTCCATCACACATTTGAATTCCTCCTCATTGGGTACATGAAACTCCTCTTGTTCCTCACTACTGTTTTTGTCCTCAGTCAACATCATCACAGTACTTTTGAATTTAAGACGGTACAGGTGAGGCACCTGAACAAGTGATATTTTGTTGATGCTGAAAGAAGACATTAGATTAGGTATAGAAGCATCTCACAGCAGTACATACCTGTGCACATTTCAATGATGCCGAATTACTTACAGTCTCTTTGTCAGGTATATTGGATTTCTTGACCCTCTTTTTCAGATGGGTCGCCGAACGAAAGACCTATTTGCTATGAGTAAGAAGTAAGTAAGAAAGTATGATGCTTACCTTCTCCATTACACTAACATCTGAATTGTCACTCTCAGACCCATTCTTTAAACTCTCCTTCCAAAATAATATATTGTGATACTGTGCATAGGTGATTACGAGTAAGATGGTGACTTTACAGTTTGACACAAACTTGGGGATGGGGTCCTTGTTGCTGACCTGGTAAAACACTTTGTGAAGGATGAGGTGGTCTGAATTCCACTGAGGCCTACGAGGGTCATACAGTAAGAACTTCGGCAACCTATACATTTCCAGCGAATTTAGAGCAAGGTCATAGTCACTAGTCTACTCTGTTCACTCTGTCTATATCAACTATAGGTTTTTGATTGCCATACACCACACTTCTAAACACATCAAAGCAACCGGAAGAGTGACATAACATTCAAGGTTCTAATCAATGTAAGCCCCAAGTAACAATAACATGTGGGTAAAGACTTACCCCACTAAAACAGTCCTCAATTTCCCCTCCTCTTTCAAGCAATGGATAACCACTCGCAGAGTGACACATTGTTGGGGTGCAATGGTGGCGATTGTGGTGGTGGCTATGGTGAGCATGGTTAGGGGTATAGCCCATTGTAGAGCTATTGTTGACAGTAGGCTGGCATGAGAGAGCGACTGGTGTGTACAACCTTATGTTAGAGCCTGGTCAGATGGTTGCCTGGGATGGTTGCTTTGAGGGGGAGATTGGTAAGTTTTTGAGCAGCTGCAGAACTAATGTGCTGTTTAGGAAAGACTTGTTCTACAAAACAAGTAGTGAGTGTGGGGATAGCATAAAGACAATGCACTATAAACATACCTCCACATTGTGCAGCAGAAGATGCCTTCACCAGCACTCGCCTGGTTTCAGCATCTACAACATGTTGTTCGGGAATGGCCATGAAGTCTAATGTGGCACCAAGGACATCAATCAATCAATGATCGGTAGATCAGTGGAATGATATCATAGACATAGGACTTACTTGCAATGGGAAGTTGGTTTGCATCCTCAGCTTGACACTTTTAGTCATAGTGTTTGGTGCAGTCGGGACAGCAATGTCTACCTGATCCATTCATAGCCTTGACATATATGAATATGACATTGCAGTCAAAGTATGTCAAACAACGCTTGCACTGTTGCCTGGCCTCATGATTAGAAGCAGGTGTAAAGTCAACCATGATAGTGTAGAAAACAAACCATGTAAACACTGACCTAACAGCTCCATTTGAACGCATCTTATAGATGTATCTCTCCAAGCATATTACTGGAGCTTTTCCATTCATGAATACAATGACCCGGTTCTTCAAGTGATCTGTTGGTGACTCAGAGGTGCTTGGGATTCCCATGTCAGTAACTTCTGAACATGATGGAAACATGAGGTATGAGGTATGGCAATAAGCAAAATGAGCTTACCAAGCACAACTCCCTCGTGTTTGAGTTGAACTTACAGTCTTTTGACTGCTCTGAGTTGCAAGTCCCTTTCCCCTCACCAGCTTGCTTCACTCATGTTCAACCCAAAAGGCCTCAATGGTTCTAACACACAGCCGCGTACATTGTTACATATATTCACTTGTATCCAACACTTACTTTTTGTGTGTTAAATGTAGCTCCAGATTATATAATTCGACCTTTGATCGAGAAATATGTCACTGCTGGGTACTCAAACCCAGATATCCTCATGTCCCTGAAGGGGTCTTTTGATGCAACAAAGTATAGCTTGTCGTGCATATAATACACTTGTGGATTTATTGCCGATGGCCAAGCCTGTCAGTCAATTAACCACTCAGGGATCCGCCGTGACTGTGTGGGCCTTTAAAGGTCTTGTTGGTTGCTGCACTACATTTTGATACACTAATGTTAGAATGTTCAAGCCTTGCCCTGCTTAAGACAAAATGCATGAAATGGGGCCTCAAAAGCACCTGAGGACAAGCACACACCCTGCAAAGTATTGGACCCACCGCTGAACATTTGCAAATGTGATATCCAATCAAGGGTCACACAACATAAAGAGTGTGCTATGTGAAGAGGAGGGAATAATGGCTCCCCGGTAAGTCGTACATCCTAAGAGTGCTAGATCTAACTCTAACTCCTAACCAACAGTAAACTAATCCTTCAGTACATGAACCAGGAGCATCCTAACGATGTTGCAGCATGCCAACATTGCAGGCTGAAATGCAGTTATTTTTAGACCGCAGGAGTAAATGACTTCTGGAGTTTTGACCAACACGACAAGTGGAGGTGGTTTTAGCCTTTTCTTCATATAGGGTTGGAACCGTTTTCTGGTAAGATTTTATGGCTGAAAATATGGTGGACCAACCATAATCTGCGATTAATCTGTGGATGGTACTGCAATACTATGGAGAAACTTGGTGGTATGCATGATAACCCTTTATCATATTATTTATTAGTAGCTAACATCACATTTTAGGTATGCCGCTTGTCACCCAGAGTGACCCAGGTACCAAGAACAATGAAATAGCAAATGCCCAAACCCTCCTGCACCATATGCATGACCCCGGCCTCAATCAGACATTACAATACGCATTGTTACGAACTGTGTTTCCTATGGACTTTATTTCTTTTGGACCTTATTTCTTTTCCAGAGTAGCTACCTACCGCTACTCATTCTTAGTTCCCACACTTGTTACTTATTACAGTTTCACCGGTCATCCTTTGTTCAACACAAACACTCACCCTAAAGTAGGACAGTATATATAGATGCCTGTATTGTAGTTAACATCTCCAATACAATTATATGCTTCAACAGTGCAACTTGGTATTCATCAGTTTAAACCTCATCATCAGAATACGTCTTAAACCCATCCACAAATGGGCCTATCAGAAACAGCTGTGTTGCTAGGAACCCCCGTTGTTACCAGGCTTGTACATTCCAAGTGTAACAAATAATCATATTCCATATCCTCATCCCATGCTATAGCGAAGGACAAGAAAGTCACAAAATGTGCAAGGAGAGTCCACTCACCAGGCACAATCAGAGCAGATCACTCGTCAGCACATCCCTCAGTATCATGAGAAGAAGAACAGCAGCACCACCTCCCTTTCCACACTGACATCACTCGAGTCACACAGAGAACAAGCAGACACATTCTACATAGCCAGAACACGTTGCTGCAGTATTACACAGGAAGCCACCCACAGCTATACCCACAGCAGCCCTAGCGTGGAAAGAAACCAAATTAATGAAATACACCAGATTGGGCAAATACCCAAAATGGACGGACTTCAAAACCGACTTTAACGGGACATTTATTACTGCGGATGTAAAAGGAACAGCCAGCGCAGCCCTCATGATGATAGAAATGGAAACAGGAGAAACGGCAGTAAGTTTCAACTGTTGTTTCATGGTAGAAGCAGGAAAAAGCGGCTTAAACAACAAAAAGACTAATCAAGGTGTACAAAAGTTCTATACACCCATACCTCCTTCAAAATGTACTTAACTCCTCCACACAACCCAAAAATATTGCAGAATGGATGAGCATTGTTGCTGGCCTAGATGCCAACTGGATGAACTTGAACAGTATCAGTGAAAGGAAGTGGGGAAAGAAGGGAGAGAAAAGGAAAGAGGAAAAAGGCGGAAGAAGCCAGTCATCCTTGGTGAAATGTTTAACCAAGGATGAAGAAGATTTGCTCAAACAAGAAGGGTGATGCTTTATATGCAAAGAACAAGGACATATCTCACGGTTCTGTTCGGAAAAAAAAAAGGGAAACAACCAGACCAAAGAATTCAGACGGCAGAAGTTGCGGAAAAAGACAAAACGGAAACTGTGGTGGAAGATGGAAAAGGAATTTCCCACATCCTCAAAATGTGGAGAGAACTCAGCGAAGCAGATCGTGCCAGCACCATTGACAAATTACAAAAGGAGGGTTTTGGAAAGGACAATCCACCCCAATGCTAATATCGTCCAAAATAGCCATTGTAACCATATCCACAATCAACTTAAACTTGTTATGAATTGACACCACATTACAACAAAAAACCATTGGAACCAAAGCAGTAATAGACTCAGGGGTGACAGACGACTTTCTGGACACAAAATTTGCAATCAAACATCACCTACCACTTAACAAGCTTGACACACCCATTACATACAAGAATGTAGATGGAACTATCAGCAACGGAGGAAAGATCACCCACTACACCTATCAATGGATAGAAGCAGGAGGGAGGAATACCATGTGCAAATTCCTCATCACTGGATTAGGAGGAGAAGACATTCTCCTTGGATACCCATGGCTCCACAAGGTCAACCCCACTATAGACTGGACATCAAAAAGCGTAGACACCCAACATGCCATTCACACAATCTGATCCCATTCCGACCAATCCATGATTTACACCATCAAAATTGATTAACTGGAACTATTAATCAACTATGTACATGAAACACAGATTTTTCCGAAAACTAACACCACCATAGAGTTAGCAATCCAAAACAATGTCAGGAAAAAGATAACGGAACTACCCAAAGTCTACAAAGAATTTGCACAGGTCCCCGACAAGAAGGCCTCTGAAAGATGTTGGAATTCAAGGTCAAAGCCTGGGCCTTGTTAAACAATATTGTGTAACTACCAAGAGTTTCTTACTCTGGCACACAACTCAGACAAGCATAAGAGAGAAGAGAAGAAGGGATCACCCCCTAGGTTTCAACGGGTTTGTTGTGCTAGACAACAGGAGGACTTGCTGAGTCCTTCCCCATGTATTACTCCTGTATATATACTAAAATACATGAGGTACTGTACAGTTGTAAATAAACTTTAAGGTTCGATATCTAGCATGTGACCGGTCACATGATGAGTCTAGACACTAGTCAAGTGATGTGTCACATGACTGGTCATGTGACTTGGAAAAATAAAAGTAAAAGTATGAAAAAAGTGAAGTGTAAGTAGGTACTGTCACATCAATTGTAACACATTGTGCAATTGAGTGTTGATATCCAAGGGCTGGTAGCTCAGTTGGTTAGAGCACCACCATATATAGGCAGGCGCTCTAAGTGCTGACTCCATCGCAAGGACCCAGACGTGCTTTTCTGTACTCTCTGAGTCTACTGTGAATTATTACAAAAGATTACCCAAAAGAAGGATTTACGATCACACTATAAACCTAAAACCAGAGTTTAGACCCAAAGATTGCAAAATCTATCCCCTATCACCAAAAGAAAACACAGCACTGGAAAAACTCCTTAACGACAACCTCAGAAAAGGATATATCAGACCAAGCAAATCTCTGATGGCTTCCCCCTTCTTCTACATAGACAAGACCAACAGATCTTTGCGACCATGCCAGGATTACCGTCAACTCAACAAACAAAAGATCCGGGATCCCTATCCACTACCCATGATCCCCGACCTCATAGACAAACTTAGTGGGGCATCACATTTCACAAAACTAGATCTACATTGGGGATATAACAACGTCCGGATAAAAGAAGGAGACAAATGGAAAGCAGCGTTTAAAACCAGAAAAGGACTTTTTAAACCAACAGTCATGTTCTTTGGCACGTGCAATTCCCCGGCCACCTTCCAATGCATGACGAACAACTATTTTGCAGATATGATAGACAAAGGATGGCTGATCATATACATGGACAACATACTTATATTTAGCAAAGGACCAGAAGAACATATCCTACAGACAAAATGAGTATTGCAAGACCTGCGCGACAACGACCTATACCTAAAACTAGAAAAATGCACATTTGATGTAGCTGAAATAGACTATCTCGGCATGATCGCCTGTCACAACTGGGTGCAAATGGACCCAGTTGAGCTAGCAGGAATCAGAGATTGGCCTACCCCAACCAATGTCCACAAAGTCCAAAAATTCCTCGGCTTCGGCAACTTTTACCGCAAATTTATAGGCCACTACTCGGAACTCGCAAGGCCACTCAATGCGCTATTAGAAAAAGGGAAGATTTGGAACTGGACCACAATGGAAGAGAAGGTATTTACACTACTAAAACACTGTTCCAGCAAAGCTCCAGTTACCCAAATACCAGACCCAAACAAACCATCCCAAATTGCGACGGATGCATCCAAATATGCAACTGGAGCAGTTTTGAACCAACCCAATGACAATGGGGTATGGCATCCATGTGCCTTCTTCTCCAAAATGCGATCCGCAGCCAAAAATAACTACCAAATATATGACAAAGAACTGCTTGCCGTCATCAGAGGACTAGAAGAATGGAAACATTACATTTTAGGCAGTGCCCACATGGTAGAAATCTTAACCAATCACAAGAATCTCACGTATTGGCAAGAAGCCAGAAAATTGACACCACGGCAGAGGCATTGGCAACTTCTACTCTCACAGTACAATTATACCCTGAAACACATACCTGAAACACATCACATATGACAATTCCGGATAACCTTTCCAGAAGACCGGATTTATATACAGAAGAAGAAGAACAAGACACACCACTACTTCCAAAGACCATTTTTGCTGCAGTAGCAAACACTGACCCATTTTTCACACATATACAAACAAGTTTGCGGGAAGGAACCCAATTACCAATGCACTTGGACCCAACAGATTGGACCACAAAAAACAATGACATATTCTACAAAGGTCGCCATTACATTCCCACAGGCACCGAGAGAAAGGCATGTATTCAACAACAATATGATTTGGTAACAGCCGGACACCCAGGACAACTAAAAAGTAACGAGACACTATTATTGGCCAGGTATGACACAGATGATCAAAGATTATGTCACAGGATGTGCCGTGTGCCAACAAAGCAAGGTAATTACCAATCCAGTCAAAATACCCATACAGCCAATTTTGGGCCCAAAGACTACAGAACCATTCACGAACCTATCCATTGATTTCATCACAGATCTACCTGAAAGCAACGGATATGGCAGTCTCATGGTCATGGTGGACCATGGCCTTACAAAGGGGGTAATACTATCGCCTTGCAAGAAAACTATTAATGCACTGGGAACGGCTAAATTATTCCACCAACACATGTTTAAAAGATTTGGATTACATGACAAACTCATATCTGACAGAGGACCACAGTTTGCATCAGAGGTTACCAAAGAACTGGCCAGATTACTCAAGACCAAAGTAATTCTATCAACCGCATGTCACCCCCAATCTGATGGAGAAACCGAAAGGGTAAACCAGGAGATAGAAACATATTCGCGGATCTTCTGCAACAATTTACCACATTCTTGGACAGAATGTCTCACGACGGCAGAATTCTGCCACAATCATAGACCACATTCGGCATGGAACAAATCACCATTCTACCTCATAATGGGATATCACCATAGGGATCTCCCCACAACACCCATAACAACCAACATACTGACAGTAAGCAAAAGACTATCCAGCCTACTCGAAGCAAGGATCATAGCGTGTTACAATTGACGTACCAGTACCTATTTACACTTCACTTTTTTGTACTTTTACTTTTATTCTCCAAGTCACATGACCAGTCATGTGACACATTACCTGACCAGTGTCTAGACTCATCATGTGACCGGTCACATGCTAGATATCGGACCTTAAATTTATTTACAACTGTACAGTACCTCATGTATTTTAGTATATATACAGGAGTAATACATGGGGAAGGACTCAGCAAGTCCTCCTGTTGTCTAGCACAACAAACCCGTTGAAACCTAGGGGGTGATCCCTTTCTCTCTTCTCTTTTGCTTGTCCAAGTTGTGCGCCAGAGTAAGAAACTCTTGGTCGTTACATAGCATCACAAGCCCACGAACTGGCAAGGACACGCATGAAAAAATACTCACAACATCCACTAACCCTGTTTACTGTTGGATAGAAAGTTTGGCTGGAAGCAACTAACTTAAAGAAGAAAGGAACACCTTACCGGAAGTTCAACTGGAAATAAGGAGGACCCTTCACCATCCTTGAAAAGGTATCGCTGGCTAACTACCGACTAAAACTTCCTGACACATGGAAAATCCATCCAGTATTCCACACCACCCTTCTAACCCCGTACAAACAAACCAAAGTCCACGGAGAAAACTATATAAAGCCGCCGGTGGAGATAATCAATGACCAAGAAGAATACAAAGTAGAAGCTATTCTACGTAACAAAAAGAACAGAAAAGGATACCTATATTCAATCAAATGGAAGGACTACCCATTGGCCGAAAATTCTTGGGAAGAAGAAGCAAACCTACAGAATGTTTCCGAGATCCTAAATGAATATAAAAGGATACAGAAATTGTGAAGCATACAACAGGATTCCCTCCTACACACTCCTACCAGAACAACCATATCCCAGACCACCCCCACCAACCAACAAACCCTTCCTCCTCAGTTTCCCCCGTACCTCGCCAAACCACCGGTGATCACTGAAGCACAATGGGCACACCGCCTCGCCCTTACTTGCGAACAAACCAAAATTATAGATGCCACCAAACTGATGTCAGATAGGCGCACCTACTTTTATCTATTCCACCAGTCTAACATTACTTGCCCTAACACCACCTACCCTTTGGATACATTCTATTGCTGGCAACACTCGCTCCTTGTTGCCAACTAACTACATGCAGTCACCGTCTCACTTGGTCTGTTAGTAGAAGAGCTTACATGGGACAACAATTCCGCATTGAGTATTGGAGCGACTTTGTTCATGGAACACTTACAGAAAGAATCCCTAGAACGACACTTGAGGAAGAACTGCAAGAATGTAGAGAGAGAAGTGGTCAAAGCCTTCCTACGGTTAGGGGGCCAGACAGTATGCGACAATGTGAGGAATATCCCCGCCCAATGAGGGTATCTCACCTGCCCTCCCCCAAATTTGTTGTCCCTAGCCACCACAACAGGACATCCATTTCCAGGGCGCCACCACCCACATTCACCGCCCCAGCCTCAACCAGCATCTTGCCCATCATCCCCAGATCTCATTCTACCCGCGCCTGCTCCACCATCCCCAGCACATTCCTCCACAACCGACTCAATAATCTCTGTAGCCAACGTAGTAGAAGAATTGCAGGACATATTGATTCCTATGCAACCAGCGATGCCCCTCCCCCAACTCCCTTAACCACGTCACAACCGCTGACTACGCCACCAGTGCCCTGAGCTGGTACTCCTTATTCCTTTGGATTGCACTCCCTGCATGCAGCGCACAAATCAGAAGCTGACCCCCATGTTGAGCAACAGCTCATCTCCAGATGGAAGGCCGTTGAGGACCAATGAAGGTGACGCCCCATCCTCTTACAGTAGGAGCAAGAGACCCTCGCCAATTTCCCACTACTCCAATTCCACTCATTCACAATCCTCTTCCGGATGATGATGTTGCCCTCGTATTTGACGTTGTTATACCTGTCACGAATATGGCCATTGTGCCATTTATTGTTGCTACCATACTTGTTCTGCATGCAGACTAGACGCACCCGGACACCGCGCTAAAAAATGTAACCAACAACACTGATTACCCTTCTCTGCAGATAGTTGGGGATTAGACAATGTGCATAACGATCTTGATGAAGATGCATGGTACAATGTAGATGGAGAGCTAGGAGACTTCGGAGCAGTCTGGACCTAAAAAGGGGGTAATGTTATGAACTGTGTTTCCTATGGACTTTATTTCTTTTGGACCTTATTTCTTTCCCAGAGTAGCTACCTACCACTACTCATTCTTAGTTCCCACACTCACTACTTATTACAGTTTCACCGGTCATCCTTTGTTCGATGCAAACACCTACCCTAAGACAATATATATAGACGCCTGTATTGTAGTTAACATCTCCAATACAATTGTATGCTTCGACAGTGCAACTTGGTATTCATCAGTTTGAACCTCATCATCAGAATACATCTCAAACCCATCCACAAACGGGCTTATCAGAAACAGCCGTGTTGCTAGGAACCCCCGTTGTTATCAGGCTTGTACATTCCAAGTGTAACATGCATTCAAAGGATTGCACCGTAATATCAAGCCAGAGATTTCCTGGAGTCAGCTCACTTCAGTCAACCTCTTTCCATAGCCTCTTAGGCTGATCAGTTATGGTTTAATGATGTGCCTAAGAGGCTTTTATCCTGGGATCATCCCACATGCAGGTAATCCATCCAGGACTCTCTTAAATTAAATTTATCCAAGGGGTATTTAAGAATCCTAGGACTCCAAAGTGGTGCCAGGGGTCCTTATATTGATTAAAATTTTAAAAGTTATATATCCTAAATTATTAAAAGGTAGGACTATCCTAGGATGTTATAAATTCAAAAATATCTTATAATAGGTAACAAGGTGTCCTTTAGGGTTTATATATGTGGTAGTCTACATATGTCCCAGATACTCCAATAGAATGTCCTTGTTGTACCCTAAATGTCCTTTAAGAGTACTTGTATAGTATCCATAATATAATCAGACTATTTTGGGTGTTATTTATCTCCCACTAGGCATCCCAAATGCTCTAGTAGGATATCCTCATAATACTATAGATGTTCTTTGAGAATACCATCTATTGTCAAAAAAACTCGATGAGACTATTATTCTTACTGCTAGTGTCCCAATAGTCCTCTAGAATATACTTGCCTATTTATAGGTGTCCTTTAAGAGTATTAGATAGTGTTCAAAACTAATAAAATATCCCTATTATGCCTCTGGATGGTTTTTTGGAGTATCTGCATAACATTCACAACATCCAATGAGACCACTGGCTATACCAAATACTCCTACAGGATATCCTTATTATGATTTAAATATCCTTTAAGTGTACCTATACCTACATAGTATTCAATAAATAAAGCAAATAAATCTAATATTTATACCATTAGTATCCTAATAGTTATAGAAATATATATATTATACCTGGATATCCCCTGGGAGTACCAAATGCTGTTAAAATTATCTAATATAACCACTTTAGGTACTACTTATATTCCACTATATACTTAAGGATATCCAAGGAAACTGATATAAGTACTATTAGTTTCTCAATGGTTATCCAAAATGTGTTAGAATATACTCTGACATACCAATACTCCATAGGATAATACCTCTAATTTGTAAGCCAGCCCAGTATGCAGCAGCTATTCTGTGTAAGACATCCGTGGTTGCATGTCATGTTTAGGATCCTACATTGTATAACCTTGGCCATATAGCTCAATTGGTAGAGCAGCTGGCATGTATCCAGAAGGTTCCAGGTTCAATCCCTGGTCTGGTCAATATCCAATTTTATCAAAATGTTCCTATAGTATATCCATATATTGTGCAGAAGACTAAATGAGATTACTTTTTGCACTATTGGTATTCCAATAGGCACCCAGATTTTACCTAGAAATCCTATGAGAATACCAAATAGTGTTCAGAATAACTAAATAAAGCTAATATTTGTACTGTTAGTGTCCCAATGGTTATCTTAAACATCCCTATTATGCCCTAGATGTCCTTTAGGAGTACCTGTATAACACCAACATTTAATAAAATTACACAGTGCTACTTATTTCTACTGGGTATCTCAAATACTTTGGTAGGATGTCCCTATTGCGTTATAGATATTCTTTAAGAATATCCACATTTTGTCCAAAAAAACCCAAAAATATTACTATTTGTACTGTTGGTATTCCAGTGTACATCTATATTAACCATATTGCATCTATAAATTTGTGAGAGTACCAAATAATACTCACAACATGTAAAGAAACTAATAACTGTATTGTTTATCTCCAAAAAGTTTATTTGAAATATAACTATTATATTTTTGACATCCTTTGGGAGTATTATATGCTGTTCAAGACATTTAATGGGACTACCCTGGATACTACTTATTTCTCACTAGATATCTGTAACAACCAAGAGTTAGTTACTCTGGCGCACAACTAGAACCAACTATAAAGGTAGTGATGAGGGAGTGGTTACCCTTTAGGTAGGACCAAGTTAGTTGTGGGTAAACAACAGGAGGACTCGCTGAGGAGTCTCCTGGATCTATTGAGGTATATATACTAATACAGAGTGTTTGTACTTATGTACTGTACAGTTGATAAAAGCAGTGGCTGATGATGTCAGAGGGCGCAGCCTGTGTGACCAGCTCCACTGTGTGAGAGACTTGTATCTAAAATAGAAGGAAGGGCAGCGCCGCGCAAGAAAGGGGAGTTTGAACAGAAGGGAAAGTGCCGCATGGCACAGAGTGTGAAAACTATGGTAAAAGGTTTTAAAGAGGAGAATGGAAATTAAAGGTCCGAAAATGTGTTATTGTAACAATATCCCAGTTGCTCTAGTAGAATGTCCCTAATTTACTTTTGCTGTCCTTTAATAGCATTATATATTATCTAAAGAGTCTAAAAAGACTATTATTTGTACTGCTAGTATCTTAGTAAGTTCTTTAAAATATTTTTAGTTATATATGGATATTCTTTCAATGTACTAAATAGTGCTTAAAATATCCAAAGGAACTGGTATTTGCACTGTTGGTGTCTTAACGACTATCTAAAATATCCCTATTATATCCCGGATGTTCTTTAGGAGTATCTGTATAATGTCCACAATATCCAATAAAGACTACCCTGAATACTACTTATATCCCACTAGGTATTTCAAATAGTTTAGTAGGATATTTTTATTATATCTTGGATGTCCATTGGGAGTACCTAATGATATTCCAAAATAGTCTGATTATATTATTGTGACAATACCAACAAGACACAGTCTTAGGGCACTGGAGCACAATGAAAACAACACTCAAAAGAAGAGGAAGAGGTGGGAGTGGTTACCTATTAGGATTCAACAAGTTAGTTGTTGGTAGACAACAGGAGGACTCACTGAGTCCTTCCCCATGTATTGCTCCTATATATATACTAAAATACATGAGGTACTATACAGTTGTAAATAAAGTTTAAAGTCCGATATTTAGCATGTGACTATGAAAAGTCCGAAAATGTAAAGTAAAGTAAATGGTCACATGACTGGTCATGTGACTTGGAAAATGAAAAGTAAAAGTACAAAAAAGTAAAGCGTAAGTAGGTACTGGTACGTTAATTGTAACAATTATGGACACTATACAAGTACTCCTAAAGGACATTTAGGGTAACAAGGACATTCTATTGGAGTATCTGGGACATATGTAGACTACCACATATATAAACCCTAAAGGACACCTTGTTACCTATTATGAAATATTTTTGAATTTATAACATCCTAGGATAGTCCTACCTTGTAATAATGTAGGATATAACTTTTGAAATTTAAATCAATATAATAACCCCTGGCACCACTTTGATAAATTAAATTTAAGAGAGTCCTGGATGGATTACCTGCATGTGGGATAATCCCAGGATAAAAGCCTCTTAGGCACATCATTGAACCATAACTGATCAGCTTAAGAGGCTATGGAAAGAGGTTGACTGAAGTGAGTCAGCTTCGAAAGCGGTGGTCCCCTGGGTTTGAAATACTGATGGACGAAGGACTTAACAATGGCCTATACAACCCAGATGATGCCTTACAGCGGTGAGTGTTCTCTCTCTATGTATCTACTTTTTGATGGTTGAGTTTTTATATAGGCTTGTTTTTCACTTCGTTTTCATTCCATGGTTACAAAGTGAGCTGGATTATTTCCTCCATTGCTTCAACACAACATGCCCACGTCGCAACAAAAACAAGATTCTTCCCCAGGGTCATCCTGATGATATCTTTCAACAGCCAACACGTTGGGGCTCGAGCAATTTCTTGGTATGTGCACAACTTTTTACTGTAAACTTGTGCTTATTGTTTCTAATACAGGTTAAAGTACATTCTCCCTGCCTCCAGCAAGTGTGCGAGAAATATGCAAGTTCCAATCATGAAGTCTTTGATCTAGTACTGCCCGTGTAACAACCAAGAGTTAGTTACTCTGGCGCACAACTCAGACAAGCTATAAAGGTAGTGATGAGGGAGTGGTTACCCCTTAGGTAGGACCAAGTTAGTTGTGGGTATATAACAGGAGGACTCGCTGAGGAGTCTCCTGGATCTATTGGGTATTTATATTACTACAGGTTATTTGTACATGTGTATTATACAGTTGATGGAGGCAGTGGCTGATGATGTCATGGGGCATAGCCTGTATGACCAGCTCCACTGCGTGAGAGATTTGTAGCTATAAATAAAGAAAAGCAGTGCAGCGTGAGAAGAGGGGAGTTTGAACAAAGGAAAGTGCCACATGGCACAGTGTGTGAAAACTATAGAAGAAAGTTAAAGAGGAGAATGAAATTTAAAGGTCTGAAAATTGTGTTATCATAACACTACCCCCCTTCTAAGGCTCGACTTCCAGGTGAGACCAAATATCAGAGGTAGTAGTTAAATTTCCGGGCATAGGTTGAAAAAGGGAATTAAAAAGGCTCGAATCCATGCCTCTAAGTTTCCTTGGAGCTGAGGGATTCTTAGAATAAAATTCATGAATAGCATCGCAGGAATTGTCCAGATGGGCTTCTGGTTCCCATGTTCTGTTTTCGTCTCCATAGCCCTTCCATAGGACTAGGAACTCTAATTTTCCACGCTTCAAGCGTGCATCCACCACTTGTCCGACTTTCAACTCTTCTTCACCTTCCTGGGTGACTACAACCGGTCCAGGCCGGTCCACGCGCTGTCCTGGCAGCGGTCCTTTGTAGGGTTTCACACGGCTAATATTGACTGTGGGTACTACCCTCATTCATTTTGGGAGTTCCAGCTCCACTGCGTTGGGTTTGACTTTCTTAATCCGGTAAGGCCCAATCCACTTTGCGGTCAGTTTTCTAGACTGCCAATCTTTCAATTTTGAGTGGTCGGTATCTAACCAGACCAGGTCGCCGACCTTGTAGTCAGGGGCCTTAGAGTGTCTATGCTCTGCCCTATCTTTCATCTGCTCTGCAGTTTTGAATAGCACCTTGCACATTTTGTCTAAGACAGACTTCATGTCCTTGGCCATGTTCCCAGCAGCCTCATTCTTGCTTTTGCCAGGTTCTACACCCATTCTAGGAAGGTACAATCTTGTAACCTCGAATGGTTCTTTTCCTGTAGCCGACGACTGTTTAATATTGTATGAGAACTGGGCTATCTTTAGCCACTTGGCCCAATCCATCTGCCTGTCATTAATAAATATACGGAGGTATTGCTTCAATTCCTGATTGAGCCTCTCCGTTTGTCCATCAGTCAGCGGATGGAACACCATTGATAATTTTGGTTTGATGCCCAGCATCTTGCATAATTCTTTCATAAATTTGCTAGCAAATTGCGGTCCCCTATCGGAGATAACCATTTCTGGCAATCCATGGATAGACCATACAAAATCTTTAAATAAATCTGCTATACCAGCGGCGGTAATAGTTTTGTTGGTGGGTATGAATACCACTTCTTTGGAGAAGCAATCTACTACCACCATTACTGAATCATACCCATTTGACTCGGGCAGATCCGTTGTGAAATCAACCGATATATCTTGCCAAGGCCAGCTGGTATTGGATTTGGCATAAGTTTACCGGCCGGTGGTTGATGCAAATTATTTGCCATGGCACATCTCAGACAGGATTTTATGTATTCCTGTACGTCTTTGACCATGCCAGGCCACATGTAGTTTCTGGAGATCAACTCCATGGTCCGTTGCCACCCAGGGTGCCCAGCCACTGCAGTGTTGTGATGTCTATCTATTGCCTTCATCCTTGCGGATTCAGGCACATAGATTTTGTTTTTAAAGTGGAAGAGCCCATCTTCCCATACATAGTTTTCATTGCCGTCAAGGCACACCTTCTCTTCTGAGGAGATGTCTTTCTTGAAGACTTCTAGAAGATCGGAATCTTGCCCGATTCTAACATTGGCAACCTTGGATTGGTCTATTAGGGTGACACCTTTGTTGTCATCTTCTATGCCGTTGACATGATCCTCTCTTCTGGACAAAGCATCCGCTTTCCCCATAGAACTTCTAGGCTTATGAATTAATTTGTAATTAAACCTAGACAAGTACACCGCATAGCGGGCCTGTCTCCGGCTCAAGTCTCAAGCCGTCATAAAATACTCCAGATTCTTATGATTGGTCCAAATTTCAAATTGGTGCCTAGCACCTTCTAAGTAGTGCCGCCAGTGCTCTACAGCTCTAATGATGGCCAGCATCTCCTTATCGTTAATTTGATAGTTGCGCTCTGTAGGCAACAAACTATGCAATAAATAGGCACAAGGCCTCCAAAGATCGTCAGGGCATTTAATGGATAGAACAGCCCCAGTAGCAAAATCAGAAGAGTCGGTTTTTAGCCGGAACTCCTTGTCTAATTCTGGAAATGCTAATATGGGCGCCTTTGTAAACACCTGTTTAAGCTTATCAAAAGCTTCTTGTTCCTTGGCGCCCCAGTGCCAAACAATGTCCTTTTTAGTGAGATTGTTCAATGGTCTCATTATTTTTGCGAAGTTTTCAACAAATCTTCGGTAGAAGTTGTTTAAGCCAAGGAAGGCCCTAACTCCTTTGACGCGAGTAGGTTCTGGCCAATCCAATATAGCTTGAACTTTCTCAGGGTCCATCCTGATTCTGTTCTGGCCAATTATCATTCCGAGGAAGTCTACTTCCTTCACTTTAAAGTTACATTTTTTGGGTTTGACAAATAGGTCCCGTTCCTGTAAGCGTCAAAGGACTTCTTGCACAATCCTGTCATGCTCAGCCTCATCGTTTGACTTCGTGAATATTAATAAATTGTCAATGTAAATGATGACACAGTTTGTTTTCCATATCCGCAAAGATCTCATTCATGATGCTCTGGAAGGTCGCCGGTGAATTGGTCAACCCAAAGAACATAACAAGGGGTTTGAAGGATCCTTGGTGGCACATGAATGTGGCCTTCCAAGCATCTTCTTCTTTGATTTGTACATTATTGTACCCCCATCTGAGATCCATCTTTGTTAAGATCTTGGCACCAGCCATTTTGTCTACTAGCTGACTGATCAAAGGCAGCGGATACGCATTTTTAACCGTGTGCTCATTCACGTAACAATAGTCCATAATCATACACTTCTTACCATCCTTTTTAGGAATGAAGAACACCGGGGATGTCATAGGGCTTTTGGAAGGTCTGATATAACCCTTCCTAAGCTGTTCATCTATGAAACCTGAGACCTCATCTCTTTCTGGAGCAGAGAGGGGAATCATATGTCCTTTTCTTGGTTTGAAGGTGTCCTTCAAATCTATTGCATGGTCCCAAGGCTTAGCCTCTGGGAAGCGCTCTGATTTATGTTTTGAAAAGACTTTCCAGAAGTCATGGTACTCGGGAGGTACCAGCCTCTTAATCTCTTCTTCGGGTTTTACCTCATCATCGTCATTGTTGATCTTTTCTAAAGATCTGAGCTCATAAATGTGACCAGTGTTTATCTTCTCAAGACGCTCATTGTGACAGACATGATTTGGTTTACCCAAGTTCACACACTCCTGAGGGCAACATGACAATGTGACAACCCCTGTCTGCCAGTCGATTTCAGGATTGTGTTTAAATAGCCAGGTCCAGCCCAAGATTAAATTAATCTTCCCTAGTTGGGTAGCTTCGGCAGTGACTCGTTCTCTGTGTCCTTGGTATTCAACAACAAAAGAACATTTGTGCATGATGCAGCCACCCGCATTAAGGGTACCGTCAATGTTATAGACGGGAATAGATACATCTAATTTTACAAGGGGGAGTCCAATTTGCGCCCAGGCCTGATCTATGAATATTCCCGTTAGCGCCTGATCAAGCAGTGCGCTGGTGGGGTGTACTATGCCCCGGGCAAGGTTTTCCACACCAATGTCTAAACGGATCTCCTTTTGGAATAAATATGTGCGCATCAACACACACCTTGGGATTTCGGGAAAGGGTGGCTCCAAGGAAGAAGAAGAGGTTTCGAAAGCTATTTGTTTTTCTATTTTATTTTTACCAGAATCAAGCACCCTATTGTTTGTCTCGCCGGGGCCACGTTGGTGCAGCGGTAGTATCATAAATATTACAGTCACAATGCTTCATACAGGTACAGGTTTCAGATAACAAATTTAGAAATTTATTTACAAATTGGGGAGCCATCCATGTCTTTCCTTTGTTGCTCTTGCAACACCCCAGAGCAGGGGCCACTTTGTTGTGGTTTACTTCATTGTTCCAAGGAGCGAAGGCACCCAAGTGACCTAAGCTCCGAACTCTTTTCCCTGAGCCTTCATCTCAGCGACCTGCTGATCGTAAAAGAAGGCCCAGATTTCGTTGTATGAACAACCGGCCAGAGTATTGAGCCAATCATCTGGCTTTTCCATTTCTAATTGGTGCGCCTGGCGCCCTTGATTATTTTTTTGTTTGGCAATCTGCACCCCGTTTCTACAGTCTCGGGACATGTGTCCCCCTTGACCACAGTTGTAACAGTTGCCCTTAAATCTGCGCATCTGTCCACCTTGGACCGCGCTGATATCCATAGGAGGGCACCCTGTCCTGGCTGCAGCCCGAACAGCTTGAACCCGTGAGCCACCTTGGTGCATAGTGTAGAGCTCCATGGCTCTACCGACTCGTCAGACTTCCTCAGCCACCAGGGCCAGGTTGTTGCTTCGTGTATCCTGCAGATAGATCTGTTCGGCAATGCGGGGGTTCACATTGCGTTCTAGCAGCTCTACTGCATGTTCATTTCCAAGCCCTCCTTGGATAGAGAGAGCCAGGAACCGGGTGGCATAATCATCCGTCCTCATGCTGCCTTGCTTGAAGGAACAGATTTGCTGACACACCCAGTCATGCTCAGCCTGCGGTTTGAAATATTTTTCGATCTCTACATGGGCCACACTCCCACTGTGTAGCACTCCTGCAGTCTTACTTGGGCGTATTGACCCGCCACAGGTCCTTTTAGTTGAGATAGCACAGCAGTCGCTATCTCAAAATCATCGGCAAATGTGTCCCAATTTGCCTTGATCCAGATCTGGAGCTTGATCCACCATTCAGCAAATTGAGCCCTATCTCCTTTGAAAGTGCCGCGGTCAGCGACAATCTCGACTTTCTTGTTGAACTTTTGCTCAACCGTAGGTTCCGCTGCTGGGGTAGCCTGAGTCTTGGCGAGCTGATTTGTTAACACTTGAATCTGTGCACGCATGTTGTGTGGCAGACTGTTTATATCGGGTTGCAACAACATGTCGACTTGTTCTCTTTGTAAACGTAAAAAAATGTAACTGGGGGTCCCCACTTGCTATCTGCAGATCTACGTCTTCCCAGCTGAGTATTGGATCTCAATCTCCAACTACCCACACTGTAGTATTTGAAATTGTAAATATAAGGTATATGTAATAAACCCTGGTCCAAATGGTTGTCAGGGGTGGTCCACTTGTTAAGCTGTCAACCCCTTCTCCAGACTGGCGGAGGCAAGTGCCCGGCCTGGTCAGAGGAAAATGAAGAAGAAGTTTGTATGTAATTTCTAATCGACAGTGGTTCCACACCAACTGCTGAGCTAAAGTACTCCCCTTAACACTGGGGGCTGTGTACAAATAATTGCCTCTTCTCCCTGAGCACTACAGGGCCGTAGCTAGGAGCGCACCCTTCTGCTATACGGGATATTCCAAAACAATAACCCCTTAACCCTGGGACCGGGTTTGCACAAAGTGCGAGAGAGTAGTAAGAGCGAGTCCTAATGTAACAACCAAGAGTTAGTTACTCTGGCGCACAACTCAGACAAGCTATAAAGGTAGTGATGAGGGAGTGGTTACCCCTTAGGTAGGACCAAGTTAGTTGTGGGTATACAACAGGAGGACTCGCTGAGGAGTCTCCTGGATCTATTGGGTATTTATATTACTACAGGTTATTTGTACATGTGTACTATACAGTTGATGGAGGCAGTGGCTGATGATGTCATGGGGCACAGCATGGCACAGTGTGTGAAAACTATAGAACAAAGTTAAAGAGGAGAATGAAATTTAAAGGTCCGAAAATTGTGTTATCGTAACAGCCCACCTTTCATGAACTAGCCTCGACCTTTCTCTCAGAAGCTGGAAACCCTCCTGTCACCATGAACTCAGCCTGGGATATCTATACTATATTACTCAATTGTTTCCGTGTGCATGATCAAGAAGTCCTTCAAGCACTGATGAGGTCTCAACCAGTTTTGCGTGGGGATGAACACCCAGACCCAGAGTTCAGGCCCATTGTAGATTTTCCCCCCTACCAACCTCGGCTTCGCGACAAAGCACAAGACTCTGCTGCAGGTGTAGTCTACTCATCAGATGACATGTCAGAGGACAACTATGTTTCAGATTGGACAGAGTTGGGTGGTGTTACGATAACACAATTTTCGGACCTTTCCTTCATTTTCATTCTCCGCTTTAACCTTGTATACTTTAGCTTTCACACATGGTGCCACACGACACTTCCCCTTTTGTTCAAACTCCTCTTTCTCGTGCCGCATTGCCTTCTTCTTATTTTAGATACAACTCTCTCACACAGTGGAGCTGATCATGCGGGCTAGGCCCCATGACATCATCAGCCACTGACTTTATCAACTGTACAGTACATAAGTACAAACACTCTGTATTAGTATATATACCCCAATAGATCCAGGAGACTCCTTAGTGAGTCCTCCTGTTGTATACCAACAAACTCTCTGCAGCTTAAGGGGTAACCACTCCCCATTCACTACCTTTACAGTGTGTTCTTGTGTGCGCCAGAGTAACTAACTCTTGGTTGTTACATTAGGACTCGCTCTTCTACTCTCTCGCACAATTGTGCAAAAAAGTCCCACTGGGCACCCGGACTCCAGGGTGAAGGAAATTTGGTTATTGGTTGGGAATATCCCGCATAGCAGATAGGTGCACTCCTAGCGACGGCCTTGTAGTGCTTTGGGAGAAGAACCAAAACCTTTAACAAGCAGACCACCCCCTGACAACCATTTGGACCAGGGTTTATTACAAATATCTTTTATATACCTTTCAAATACTATAGTGTGGGTAGTCGGAGATTGTGATCCGGTACTCAGCTGGGAAGAGGTTGATCCGCAGATAGCAAGTGGGGACCCCCAGTTACCTTTTTTTTACCTTATAAGAGAACAAGTCAACATGTCGTCGCAACCTCAAATGGATGTCAACGCTCTGTTGACCAATATGCGTGCACAGATCTTGACATTGACCACTCAACTTGCCGAGCTGCAGGTAAATCCCCCTGCGGCAACCCCCTCAGTTGAGAAGAGATTCAATAAGAAAGTCGAAGTCGTCGCTGACCCTGGCGCCTTCGAGGGAGACAGAGCGCGATTTGCCGAATGTTGGATCAAACTCCAAATATGGGTTAAGGCAAATTGGGACGCATTTGCCAACAATTTTGAGGTAGCCACTGCGGTGCTATGTCGACTAAAGGGACCTGTGGCGGGTCGATACGCCCAAGTTAGATTGCAGGAATGCTACACGGGAGTGTGGCCCACCTGGGACAATCTCAAAGTAGAGATCAAAAAATATTTCAAACCGCAGGCTGAGCATGACTGGGTGTGTCAGCAAATCTGTTCCTTCAAGCAAGGCAGCATGAGGACGGATGATTATGCCACCCGGTTCCTGGCTCTCTCTATCCAAGGAGGGCTTGGAAATGAACATGCAGTAGAGCTGCTAGAACGCAATGTGAACCCCCGCATTGCCGAACAGATCTATCTGCAGGATACACGAAGCAACAACCTGGCCCTGGCGGCTGAGGAAGTCTGACGAGTCGGTAGAGCCATGGAGCTCTACACTATGCACCAAGGTGGCTCACGGGTTCAAGCTGTTCGGGCTGCAGCCAGGACAGGGTGCCCTCCTATGGATATCAGCGCGGTCCAAGGTGGACAGATGCGCAGATTTAAGGGCAACTGTTACAACTGTGGTCAAGGGGGACACATGTCCCGAGACTGTAGAAACGGGGTGCAGATTGCCAAACAAAAAAATAATCAAGGGCGCCAGGCGCACCAATTAGAAATGGAAAAGCCAGATGATTGGCTCAATACTCTGGCCGGTTGTTCATACAACGAAATCTGGGCCTTCTTTTACGATCAGCAGGTCGCTGAGATGAAGGCTCAGGGAAAAGAGTTCGGAGCTTAGGTCACTTGGGTGCCTTCGCTCCTTGGAACAATGAAGTAAACCACAACAAAGTGGCCCCTGCTCTGGGGTGTTGCAAGAGCAACAAAGGAAAGACATGGATGGCTCCCCAATTTGTAAATAAATTTCTAAATTTGTTATCTGAAACCTGTACCTGTATGAAGCATTGTGACTGTAATATTTATGATACTACCGCTGCACCAACGTGGCCCCGGCGAGACAAACAATAGGGTGCTTGATTCTGGTAAAAATAAAATAGAAAAACAAATAGCTTTCGAAACCTCTTCTTCTTCCTTGGAGCCACCCTTTCCCGAAATCCCAAGGTGTGTGTTGATGCGCACATATTTATTCCAAAAGGAGATCCGTTTAGACATTGGTGTGGAAAACCTTGCCCGGGGCATAGTACACCTAACCAGCGCACTGCTTGATTCAGGCGCTAACGGAATATTCATAGATCAGGCCTGGGCGCAAATTGGACTCCCCCTTGTAAAATTAGATGTATCTATTCCCGTCTATAACATTGACGGTACCCTTAATGCGGTGTCGATGATGAGAACTGCTGTTAGAAAACCACACACAAAAACAAACTAACACACAATCCTCCCAGATTCCACGGAACTTGTTTATGGGCTTTGCCTCCTAGAACAGTGGAGTGGTCTGGTTGTTCGTGGGGTGGTATGTATGAGGATCCTTCAAAGTAAAACCCAGAGGTGTATGAGTGTGGGTTTTGAGGAGGAGGGATAGTTGAATTTATAGAAAGATAGGGGCTTTGTGGCGAGTATAGACGAGCACTACCTTGCTAATCGTAGCACAAGGTAGGTTTGAGAACAACAAGGATGAGGAGGTGACGAGGTTCCCAGTGATAGCAGGCTCCTGACGCACAAACTGTAGTGCTCAGAAGGACTCTAATCGAAGGGGATGACAATCACTTTCAAAAAGTGATGAGTGACGATGACAGCAGTTAACAGTGGTAGAAATGGGAAGTGTTGTGACCACACTGGATCACAAGTAGCAGAGTAGTGAACTTGAGAGTAGAGAAGAAGTCTGGATTGGAGTTCTTGTTTTTTTACAAGGTAAAATACAGGGGTTTATATAGTGAAAGAAAAGTAGGCTATGCACAGTTTAGCTGTGCAAAAAGAATGAGAAAGAACATGAAGGAAGGAATGTATGCTGACGAATCCTGCGTAGGTAGTACAGGATAAGATTGTCAAAAAAGGAAAAGAAAGAGATAGAACAATGAATGCTGTGAGTAATGTCACAGGTTTGTACAGCCATAAAGTAAAGTCCAATAGCAAAAAAAGAGCAGGAAAATCATGATGTCATGGGAAGATGCAGTAAAAAAAGGGCAAGGCAAAACACTATCAGTATCAACACAGTTCCTTTATTGTCAGTCAGGCATTCTAAAAAATATGTGTCCATAAAAATGATTCAAAAATCAAAAATAATCGCACTGTAAATGAATGTTCTGCTGAAGAAAAAGAAACTGGAGCCACCGGTCCACCACCTAGTCCAAATCCGACAGTTCCATGGCCTTACCAATGGACTGGTTGTGTTGGACCACCTGATCAAACGAGGGAGGGAGAGGAGTAGTTCCAATTTGGAACAAGTGAGTCCCAGGCAGCATGTGGTAGGTGTAGCTGTAGCGAAGACGATGGACAAAAGATAAGTGTACCCAAGTGAATGGGACAGCGATGAACATGGGCGATGCAAGGGGATGAACCTTCTCCAGCTCAAAAACTACCTACCCACGCTCCAACCAGGCAAGACGAGCGACCGATGTTTTGATAGTATATGATGGCAGATCGACGTCATGAAGATGGACCTGTTTCCCTATTTGGACCGGCCGCCGGGGCTTTGCTGATATCAGCAGTGGCACGTGGTAGTCAACGGATCGGCGACGGAAGCGGATAGGAAGTGGTGATATCAGAAATGGTGGGGGTGCAAATAAGATGAGGAGGAGGAGGGTGGAGGTGACGGAAAAGTGGATTAGAATGGGGATCCAGAAATGACTGTCAGGTGAGAATAAAAAGGAGAGGAAGGGGCCCATGGTGGGGCTAGGCAAAGGAAGGGGAGTAAGGGAAACGACAAAAGCGAGGGCACAATGCAATGTGTAGCCAGTGGCGACGCAAAAATTTGCCAAAATGCCGAAACGCGGAAAGTACCGGATGGAAAAGCAAAGGTGAGCATGACTGGATTGCCTAATAGAGGTGGTGCTGATCAGCCACAAGTTCAAAAGGGCAATATTAATTACTATTCCACGTGGCACTGTGCCTGTGTGGCGCAAAGGCGAATCTTTTTGAATATTCGCTTCGTTATTGACACCTGTCCATGCTACCAATCAACTTTGGTGCATGACAGCGGCCCCCTTGGTGGGGAATGCCGCACAATGGTCGGCAGAGATCCAGCTTTGGGCATTACAGCATTTGCATTGTCACATGTGCCTGGATCTAATCAAACAGTTCCTCATCCACCCCCTACAAAACTGACTTAGGCTGAATTTCTACAAGGTGTCATGATCCACCCCCTACAAAGCTAACTTAGGCTAAATTTCTACAAAACTGGATGTGATTTGCCATAGTTGCCATGCAACATGAGAAGTCAACTTATAAGGCCTGCATCATAGCCCACAAGGACTGCTAGCTGTAAAGGTATAAAGAGGATGATGGGTTGACCTTTGCTCATCCACCATCCTTTAATACCTTTTACCCTTAATCTCGCATTCAAGCTATCACCACAAATGGAGTGGTGGAAGATTCTGTCTGCAGCAGTTGCAGATAAAATATTTTGCGTACTACTTTATGTGATAGCTGCAACTACTCTATCTCCACCTTCTGTGAAGTTGGATCATGTCATCTTCACTGGCAACACTAACAGAAGTGTTTCAGCATTCTTGGGTATACAGTTGACTCCCTCATAACCCAAACCTGTCGGGATAGCCTGGGAGGTATGTGTTATCAGGGTGTATGGGTTTTTTGAGAGGTCCTGTGGTTTGGAATAAATCAGGGAATGGTCAGGGAACGGGTAGGGAACAGGTAGTGAATAAAGTTGGACAAAGCTGGTTCAGATAATTGGAGCTCTTGCTGGGGTCAAATTGAGGCTGATAGTATTATTATTGACACCAAATGGGGAGCTCCTGCGTGCCACCCTTATTTCAGAGCAGACCTTATTTGCAAAATATGATTGACTGTTATCATATATTGAATTAGGTAAGCAAGGGAGACTATGTAACTGCGCAAAAAGTACCTTAATTTGTACTGAGCTACATTAATGTTGTGAAAGTGACTATAAAGCTATTCAAAATGAAAAAAATCACTCACTTAAGTATCTTTGAAGCCCTGTATCTCAATGGCACAAGTTCTCTGTCTAAATAAGCCTAGCATTACCTCCAGTTTGTGGGCAAATGCATTATCAATGGTCCCAACATACTTGCGCAGGACCAGCGCTGCTTGCAGTGCCTCATTCCATGTTGGTCCGGGTGCGGATATGTTGTTGTCATCACCATTGTTGTCATTTCTGGTCTCCCTCAAGGTTTTTGCGCCCATCACAGACTTGCAAATTTCTTTGTCTGTTGCATCAAGAATGTTGTGTGACTCAAATGCCAGATTAAGGAGTTCTGCAATGGCCATACAATTGGAACACTGAAGGGCCCAGGTTGCCTCGAGTTTATCCAAGGCGTTTTCAACAAGTGTCTCAAAATGTGTGATAGGGTTGATTACAATATCTGGTGCATGGACAAGGGACAAGATTGGAACAGTGGGTTGCGCATGAGATAATGGCAAGTCAGGTAGAATACCAGCCTTTGTCCAGCAATTTCAGATGGTAGTTGTGTCCACCCTATTTCATGCATCTTGAGTAAGTTGCATAGCTTTGAGTTGGTCAATGTTATAAATTTTGGAGGGCGCAATATTAGTGTTGTAGTGATCAATTACGCGACTAATAAACTGGGCACGGTAATAGGCCTTGAAGCATTGAATTATGCCTTGGTCATTGGGCTGTATGTGTACAGTGAGATTTGGTTTGAAGTTTTCAACTTTGATGTTCATGAGGGAATTAGGCACAATGTGCCCCGGAAAATTATCCTGTAAAAGAAGAATATTTCTCCTCTCATCTCGCAACTTCCAATCCCAATCCAACAACCATTCCTGATAAAGTATGGCTGTCATCCACACCTTAGTGTTGTTTTGATAGTTAAACCCAAGCTGTTCATCAGTCTTGTTCCCAAACAGATGAGGCTTGTATGCTTTTCCGATGATTAGCAGAGGCAATTTTGTTGAGCCATCTGCATTTGCTACAAACAAATAGGTCAGCCATTTTTTCTGTCCTTTAACGCTCTACTGCTGCTTGTTCAAAAGTCCATGGTCTGGAGGCAACTATCCCTCCTCCTCAAAACCCACACCCATACATCCTTGGGTTTGACTTTGAAGGATCATTGTACATACTACCCCACAAACAACCAGAGCACCCACTGTTCTAGGAGGCAAAGCCCATAAACAAATTCCGTGGAATCTGGGAGGATTGTTTGTTAATTTGTTTTTGTGTGTGGTTTTCTAACAACAGTTCTCACCAGTCCATACACAGACCTTCCAAGGACACTAAAGGAAGCCTTATCACGTCCGGATGGAGAATTATGGAAGTCTGCCTTGGAGGAGGAACTCCTAAGTCTCAATACCAATGCAGTATATGATACTGTCCCACTTCCAATGGGAGTGAAACCTATCACATCAAAATCTGTGTTCCGGATCAAGTTTGATCAAATCAGAAACATTGAGAGATACAAACTCTGGATTGTCGCACAAGGTTTTATTCAAAGGGAGGGGATTAATTACCAGGAAGTTTTTGCTCCAGTTGCAAACTTAGAGTCAATCCAAATTATTCTAGCCCTGGCAGCAAAGTACGACCTGGACCTCGATCAAATGGATGTATCCACAGCTTATCTCAATGGAAAACTTGAAGAAGAACTGTACATGCTTCCTCCAGGGGGTGTTCCCATTCAACCTGGATACTGCTGGAGGTTGAAGAAATCCATCTACGGGTTAAAACAAGCTGGTTGTATATGGAATAAAACCTTTGATTGCAAGCTCCAGGAGCTCAGTTTCACAAGACTAAATGCAGAAAAATGTCTCTATGTATTCTGGGACAACAAACAAATATGCTTTGTTGTTGTCTATGTAGATGACCTTCTCCTAGGAGCTTCATCCCGAACATTCATGGATATCACAAAAGCCAAACTTGAATCCATATTCAAAATATGGGACCTTGGAGAAGCAAAATACATTCTCGGAATAGAAATCCAATGTGATTGTTCAAACAAAACAATATCCCTATTGCAATGCCAATACATTGACACAGTCCTGGAGCATACTGGAATGAAGAACTGCAAACCAGTATGGACACCAATGGCCCATGGATCAAAACTCCTTGCAAACGCTCCAGGGGAAGATATCGTGCAACACAAGATGCATATTGAAGGGTGTCAAGTGTCATACCTCTCAATTGTAGGCTCCCTCATGTATGCCATGCTTGGAACCCGCCCAGACATTGCCTACATTGTTGGAATACTAAGCAGACATAGCTCAGGTCCAAGGAGCCATCACTGTGAAGCTGCAAAATGTATCCTCCAATATCTGAAAGCAACCAGGGACATAGAACTATGTTATGATGGCACAGATGTCTCCATGGACATGGATTTCTATGGATATTCAGATGCAGATTGGTCTGGAGACCCAGATACATCTCAATCAACATCTGGCTTTGTTTTTATTACTATCCGAGGAGCAATCTCCTGGACAAGCAAAAAACAAAGCATGGTAGCTTTATCCTCCACGGAGTCAGAATATATTGGGATGAGCAATGCTGGACAACACCTTGCATGGCTTTGGATATTTTTTGAAGAAATTGGACATGCTCAAGATGGACCTACAATATTGCACTGTGACAATTAAGCAGCTATAATTCTTACATGAGATCTGCAGTTCTGTGCTTGCGCAAAACATATTCAATGGAAATATCATTTTATCCAAGATGACTTAGTATCAAAGGGAGAGGCAGTAATCAGATATGTTCCTACAGGAGAATTCTCTAAAGCTATGGGACTATGGTTGCACTCAAGTGGGAGTGACAAAACCGGATAAACCCGGTCTCTGCTAAAGCAGCCATTGTTCTCTATAGAGCATAGCCACCACTCCATGGAGTCACCATTGTTCTCCTATGAGCACAATTGTACTCCTAGGAGTCATTATACTGTAGCGAGTAGCACCTCTGACTATAAGTAGTAGGGGGTTTAGTATAGGAATACCTCAGTCGTTTCTATAGCCTCTCAGACAGCGGCTGAGTTTCACTTAGATTTATTAGGTAGCCTCTCTCAGGCTGTTTATGAGGACTCGGAACAATAGTTGTCACAGTAATTGGTATTTTGTAGATGAACACCACTTGAGGGACTCAGTTGATTTCATTCCCACAGTTTGTTTTTCCATTTTTATTGCTGGTGGTAAAAATCACTTGGGCCTTCTATGCAAAATTCAAATCACCCACAAGCAGTTGAATATCACTCATAAGCAGTTGATTCGGAAACCACCGTACATTCACCATGCACCAATATTCTGTTACGATAACACAATTTCCGGACATCTCCTTTCCCTTTTATTCTCCGCTTTAAACTTTATACTTTAAGTGCCACGCGGCATTTCCCTTTCTCGCGCCGCGTTGCCTTTCTTTTACTTTTAGACTTAACTCTCTCACGCAGTGGAGCTGGCCATACGGGCTAGACCCTATGACATCATCAGCCACTGCCTTCATCAACTGTATAGTACACATGTACAAACAAACCTGTAGTAGTATATATACCCCAATAGATGCAGGAGACTCCTCAGCGAGTCCTCCTGTTGTATACCAACAAACTCTCTGCAGTTTAAGGGGTAACCACTCCCTCAACATCTTCTTTATAGTGTGTTCTTGTGTGCGCCAGAGTAACTAACTCTGGGTTGTTACATATTCACCTGAAACACAGTTGATAGTCATTTCTCACCTCATTTTCCAGTGATAATCACTTTCTTTGGGGTTCATAGTGACTGGAGCCCAAGTGACTGGCAAACCCTCAAAGGCTCTTGCTTTACCGACTTGTGAGTTATTCAGCTTGAAAAGATGAATGCAACAGATGAGCATGATAATGGGGTTATAAACTGAAATGCTCAGTCTGTGGATAATAGACTGAGGTGTAAGGACATGTACAGATCGGAAAGCAAGTTTGTACAAGAGCTAGGATCATACCATGGCCCTCCGGGGCAGACCTGGACCCAGCATCTCACATTGTACAGTGCATTACTGAAGATACATTGTTTCATTATCACTGGTACATTAACACTAGTGAAATCATTTATTAAGCTTAGTAAAGATAGTTGCTTCTCAGTGGACAGGGGACGGGTCATCGCCTGCCCTGCAGTTATATTCAACGTTCCAGGGAACGGAAGAATGCAAAGGAAATAGTGAATGGTGGAGAAAGACTCGGACACAGAATAAAGTGGAGCGCCAAAAAAGAGGCCCACGATATCTCAACAGCCGGTCATGTGGTTCTATCCAAAAAGGGTATAAAAGCTCCTGGAAGGAAAGAAACTTCGATTGCGAAATGGAAACCTGGATCCCACGGGTCCAGGAATATCTGTAGTGCGTGTTTCTATCTACTCCACATAAGAGATCCTTCAGGATCTCCATAAGGGCGTCAATAATAGTCCTCCAAAGGAACATTGAGGAGCATTATAACATATTTACTCCTCAGAGCTTGCGTTACACTCGGAGAATGTACTGTTGACACCTACCTACAATTTACACAGGTGACCAGGTGACTGGAAGGTCGTTGTGGCCATGCTACCCGATCGGTATCGCAAGCGCTACATAACTGACGGACATCCGGTATCAAAGCGTATATAACTCACATACAAACACCGCCATAAGAGACGCATCTCGATATTGGGATCAGCAATGAACAGTCGTAGGTATCTCGGGATCGTCGAACTGGACAGGGTTTGACATAAAGGCTGAAGGCAGTGTCAGCGCTGTCTTTTTGGCGTCCCGTGCCACCCGAAAACATTCGCTTGACATATGAATGTATTGGGATGAAGCTTCAACTCGGTCAAACTGGACTACATTACGCCAATAATCTGACTATTTGCCACAGCCAACATGCTCTATGAGAAATAAACCTGAATGCCCCGGAAACACTGTTGTTCTTAGAAGTATAAAGCCAAGGTAAAATTTGGGTGGTGGGTTATATACATTTTACTCTTCCAACTATTTCCTTCGACACTTCTATTCCTAGTTCTTGCTTTCAATCACGCGACTAACTCACACGTCTTTTATATTCTTTACCGCGCAGATGGTGTTTCGGGGCGTCTTATCTGCTGCCATCCTTTGTGGGATGGTCGCAGCTACTCCTCTGTCGCAAAAATCTCCACCTTCCGTGAAGTTGGATGCTGCCACCTTCACTGGCACCACTAACGGAAGTGTCTCGGCGTTCTTGGGTATACCTTACGTGCAACCTCCGTGAGTACCTCCATTTTCTCGCCAACTTCACGGTCTAAATAGTGTATAGTGTTGGCGATCTCCGCTTCCATCTCCCTCAAGCCATCCTACCCTACAACGGTACTTATAACGCTTCAGCCTACGGGCCCAGCTGTCCACAACAGACCTTCAAAGTCCCTGGGAATTTGACTGCCGAAACGGAGGCTATTCTCGCCTCTCTAGTTGCAGACGGAAGCCCTCAAAGCGAGGATTGTGTGTTCATTTATACCGAGACTGATGGCATTCAAAGTTGATGTATTTCTTTTACAGGTCTTACGATCAATATTTTCACACCAGCTGGCGCCACTTCAAACTCAAATTTGCCTGTAGCTGTAGTGCGTATTAAACGCTTAGCAGCTTCAGTATCGTGTTACTAATGTTGTGCCCAATATCTAGTACTTCTTTGGAGGTAAGGGATGATACCAGCTATTTTAGGCAGCCAATTAAAAAGTTGCCTCCTCAGGTGGTTTCGCGGTCGGCGCTGCATCCAGGTTGGCTTTTCATACACTCACTCTGATTACCACTTTGAACTTATGGTACTTTCAGATATCCTGGAGACGTCATTATCAACAGGTCCCTTGAACTGAATGAGCCTGTTATCTATGTTAGCTTAAACTATCGGTGAGTCTCACAGACCGTGGCAGCAGCCTTTAGCACTTCTCTTACTATGAACTGTAGGATCAACGGTAAGTATTATATCGCATGTATCAGAGAGTCGCGATACAATCAAAATATTTAGGCTTTGGATTTCTGGCTGGGCAAGAAGTCATGGATGCAGGCGTAGCAAATCTCGGTCTTCATGATCGTAAGTAATCTTTTACACCCTTTTTTCTTGCCATAATTGTTCATCGGCTTGTTTAGAACGTCAGGCCTTGAGATGGGTACAGAAATACATCGGCTCATTCGGTGGTGACCCCAGTAAAGTCACAATGTGAGCTTCTCGTTTCCCTCGCTGCTGAAAGCCAATTCTAAGACGGTGTTTATATTTAGCTGGGGCGAAAGCGCAGGTTCTACTTCTATCGCATACCATATGATCACAAATGGAGGTGACAACGAAGGACTATTCCGTGCTGCCTTCATGCAATCTGGCTCTCAGCTTCCTGTCAGCGGCATGAAGGGTGGCCAGCCATACTATGACATGGTGGTAAAGGCTGCAGGATGTTCGAATTCGTCCGACACTCTGCAGTGCCTCCGAGAGGCACCTTTCGATACTCTGAAGAGCGCGATTAATAATGTTCCTACCTTTTATGACTATCAGGTATGTTGCTGCTTGTGGACGCCACTGGATTGTATAATTGACATGGCTATCTGCGTTAGTCTCTCGTCTTGGCTTGGATGCCTCGCCCTGACGGCGTTTTCCTTGTCGACAATCCTCAAACTCTTATCCAACAGGGAATTGTGGCGAACGTACCATTTGTCAATGGTATGAGCATCGGTTCAGTATGTATCATTTCTATATTGTCTCACAAAATCGAATTGCAGGAGACTGTGACGATGAGGCCACACCGTTTTCTTACTCCACACTCAACATCACGTAGGCTACAGATTCTTTTATGTGTGCATGGCAGGTAGCTGATTTCACTCTCACAGGACTGAGCAGGAGCTTCGAGACTATGTTACGACTTACTGGTCCCCTCATGCGTCTAACTCGACGTTGGACAAACTAATGGAACTGTACCCTGTCACTCCTGCGGATGGCTCCCCTTTCAATACTGGAAATAACAACACAGTGACGCCGCAGTTCAAGCGTATAGCCGCCTTCCTTGGTGATATCAATTTCCAAGGCCCTCGCCGATTACTCCTGCAGGCACGTTCTGGTCACCAAAAGATCTGGTCCTTCGGTGAGTCTTGACATGATATGATCACTACACGCAATTTTGGTGGCTAACTGTTGATATACAGTCAACAAACGATTGAAAGATCTTCCCGGGCTTGGTGCTGTAAGAGGATGCTCTAACCTTCCCTGAGACTCCAAACTGACAAACTCAATGTAGTTTCATGGTTCAGATATAAACATGGTCTATGGTCCTGCCGATATGACCGACTACTTAGTCCGTTTTGTGGCGAACCTTGATCCTAGTGGAAACACTGGCATTAACTGGCCGGAGTACAAGACCGAGACCCCCAACCTGTTGACGTTCCTGGATGGCTCAATTCCGGCCAACATTACACAAGACACGTACAGAAAGGAGGGTATCGAGTTTGTGACACAGATGATGTTGGATGATCCCTGGCAGTAATATCCAATTGCTCGTCGATATAACCCGTTCCACGGGCTACTACCACTAGTACTGGTGTTTGTGTTTCTTTGATATGATCTCTTTGTTATCCTGTAGGCACATTCGTTTTGGAACCCTGTGTATTACTTTAAATCGTAGTTAATATATCTCATTGAGATATCCACAGCTTCACCAGTGAGGTATTTCACGATGATCTAGGAGTTTCAGCGTTTGAAGTCAAGGCCCACTGAAACGCTAGAGCACGGACCGATTAATCCGCATTGGGCGTGTTGACGGCGAAATGTTACTATACAGTAAATCTTCTCGGGCCAAACATGTTGAGCGTGTTCGAGTTTAACGCTAGGGAATAAGGCCTCAGTGTCAAATAGAACAAATCCCAGCTGGTGCATGTGCTCACTTTTCAATGCTTTCTCGTCGTCGCCAGCGTCAAGCCGAGGAGAAAGCCGAGGAAGTTGCACGACTTGAGCGCAGTACACTCTTACTCTTTGGGCCTCGAGGACATCCTGGTCGTCAAAATGCAAGCGAATTGTGGTGGTGTAAGCATTATCAGTGGTTGAAGGATAGTGGGTATTTGCTCCGCCGTCGCTATGCTCCAGACTGGGTCCCTTCATGGCAAACCTCCAATACATCATGGGTTTGGAGTGTGAAGACAGACAAGGTCCCCTCGTATGTAGACGTGATTTCATGCGTTGTTTTAGTTGACAATGGGATCCGACGGGGCATTTGTAACCTTGAAGCTGTTCAAGAAATCACGACTTCCCTACGAGATTGAAATAGGCCAGTTATTTTCGACAGAACCACTCTCATCCGACCCAGCCAACCACTGTGTACTAATTTATGATGTGCTCGTTGTACCAGATGAAGAGGATCGCGCTATTATTGTCATGCCCTTATTGCGCTTTTTCGACGACCCGCCCTTCGACACTTTCGGTGAAGTGATCCACTTTCTTCGCCAAATTTTTGCAGTATGTGCATCAACCACTCATTAGAAGAAGAAGTCTCCAACCACTTTCTTCCACCAGGGTTTGCGATTCATGCACAAACAACACATCGCCCATCGGTGTGTGTACTGTTGCTCTTGTATCATTCTGATCCATTCATTGCTAAATGTTATACAGTGACTGCATGTATCTGAACATCATGATGGATGCGACACCTCTATTCAGTGACCCGTATCACCCTCAAGATCTTGAAATGAAACGTGATTACACAGAGCGGGCAAGACATTTCACTCGTACCCAGCGTCCGCCAAAATATCTATTTGTCGATTTTGGTATATCACGCCGCTATGGTCCTAATGATATAGCTCCTCTGGAAGATCCAATATGGGGAGGCGATAAAACAGTTCCCGAATTCCAGCAATCGAACGAGCCCCGCAATCCATTCCCAACAGACGTATACTATCTGGGAAATATGATCAGGAACTCATTTTTGGTGGTGTGTCACTTTTGGTGTTTCTCAAGGAACTGATTACGCAATACTTTTATCAAGGCCAAAGCAGGTTTTGAATTCGTGGAACCGCTGGTGAAAGACATGGTACAGGATGACCCAGAAAAGCGGCCCAACATGGATGAAGTCATTCTACGGTTTGAGGAGATCATCAAGCAACTAAGCAGCTGGAAATTGCGATCACGCGTCATTAATGAGCAGGACGACAATATCCTTGGTTTTTATCGTTGTGTCACTCATTGGGCTCGCCGCTTCAGCTTTGTTATCAGGAGGGTGTCCGCTATACCAACACCGTGAAACTGTCGTACCTGCTACACTTACTTCTGGATCTATCTGAAGAACTAGTTGGTGTGTTGGGCATTCTACGTGCAGTCCATATGTCCAGTGCCTTTAAGACTGAAGTTACGTGCAGCTAGAATGTAATATATCATCGCCCGCTGGGCAGCCCTGGACCGGCTTACCAGGAAAGACCAAAGCAAATACTCGTGGAATGTCCAGGGTCACAATGCAGACAAGCTAGGGTGCACAAACTTCATATTGGACAGAGCAAAAGTCAACGATGAGACTCGAGCGATATTCCCATTGTGGCAAACTAGAAATCTGGCAGAAGGCACGGGGAGGATTGGGTTGCCAGTGGTAACGCCGACAAGTACAAAGTGCTATTCGAAGTTTGGAAGCGCCTAAGCCGAAAATTAGGTTCGTCACGATCCACCCCCTACGAAACTAACTTAGGCTGAATTCCTACAATACTGAATCTGATTCACCATAGTTGCCATGAGAAGTCAACTTATAAGGCCTGCATCGTGGCCCACAAGGACTACTAGTCGTAAAGGTATAAAGAGGATGATAGGTCGACCTTTGCTCATCCACCATCCTTTAATACCTTTTACCCTTAATCTCGCGTTCAAGCTATCACCAAAAATGGAGTGGTGGAAGATTCTGTCTGCAGCGGTTGCAGATAAAATATTTCACGTACTACTTTATGTGATAGCTGCAACTACTCTATCTCCACCTTCCGTGAAGTTGGATCATGCTATCTTCACTGGCACCACTAACAGAAGTGTTTCAGCATTCTTGGGTATACCTTACGCGCAACCTCCATGAGCACCTTGATCTATTCGTCAACCCCATAGTCTAAATAATGATAATTAGTGTTGGCAAGCTCTGTTTTCACCTCCCTCAAGCCGTCCCACCGTACAAAGGCACTTCCGATGCTTCGGTCTACGGGTTAATCTGTCCACAACAGACCACCAGAATCCCTTTTGGGAACTGGACTGCCGAAACTGAAGCTATTCTTGCATCTGTACTTCTAAATACCAGTCCACAGAGCGAGGATTGTGTGGCCTTTTATACTAATAGTGTTCAAAGCTTAATATGTTTGTTGTACAGGTCTTAAAATAAATGTTTACAAGCCAGCCAATGCCACCCCAAGCTCAAAGCTACCTGTAGTCGTGGTACGTATTGCGCGCCTGACGGATTCAATTGTGTTGTCCGATATCTAGTGGATCCACGGAGGTAAGGGACGACAGCAACTATTGCTTGATTGATCAAATACTCATATCCCCAGGTGCTTTCGCGGTCGGCGCCGCCTTCCAGTCAGTTTTTCACACTCCACTCTTCATCTTGCCTTTAACTTACGGTACCTTCAGATATCCGGGAGATGCTGTCGTCAACAGGTCCCTGGCACTCAACGAGCCTGTTATTTATGTTGGCTTCAACTATCGGTGAGCCTTTCATATAGTGGCAGCAAGCTTAAACACTTATCTTACTGTGCACTTTCCGCAGCTTGAACGGTAAGCGATGTATCGATTATATAATACGAACGCGATACGATCGAGCTATTTAGGCTTTGGTTTTTTGGGTGGGCAAGAAGTTATGGATGCAAGAGTAGGAAATCTCGGTCTTCAAGACCGTAAGTGCATTTTTTACCCGCCCCTTTCCTTCAAATGGTTGTTTATTGGCCTCCTTAGAACGTCAGGCCTTGAGATGGGTGCAGAAGTACATCGGCTCATTCGGTGGTGACCCCCAGTAAAGTCACAATGTGAGCTTCTTGTTTCCCTCCGTCAATAATTGAACCATTGCTAAGGAGGTGTTCATATTTAGCTGGGGCGAAAGCGCAGGTTCTACTTCTATTGCATACCACATGATCACAAATGGAGGTGATAACGAAGGTTTATTCTGCGCTGCCTTTATGCAATCTGGCTCTCAACTTCCCGTCAGTAGCTTGAAGGGTGGCCATCCATACTACGACGCTTTAGTCAGGGATACGGGTTGCTCGAATTCGTCTGACACTCTGCAATGCCTCCGAGAAGCACCTTACGATATTCTCAAGAGCGCGATTGATAAGGTTCCTACCTTTTATGATTATCAGGTATGGTGTTGCTTGTGGACACCACTGGATTGTGGAGCTGATATGGTGATCTGCGTTAGTCTCTCGTCTTGGCTTGGATGCCTCGCCCTGATGGCGTTTTCCTTGTAGACAACCCTCAAACTCTGGTCAAAGAAGGTTCCGTGGCGAGTGTACCTTTTGTTAATGGTACGATCAACGACTCAATATGTATATCGTCTGACAAAATCGAATTACAGGAAACTGTGACGATGAAGCCACTCCTTTCTCCTATTCCACGCTCAACATCACGTAGGCTGCAGAGTTTTCTATGTGTGCATGACAGGTAGCTGATTTCACTCTCACAGGACTGAGCAGGAGCTTCGAGACTATGTTACGACTTACTGGTCACGTCATGCGTCTAACTCGACATTGGACAAATTTATGGAACTGTACCCTGTCACCTCCGCAGACGGCTCTCCTTTTGATACTGGATATAACAACGCCGTGACACCCCAGTTCAAGCGTATAGCCGCCTTCCTTGGTGATATCAATTTTCAAGGACCTCGCCGATTCCTCTTGCAAGCACGCTCAGGTCACCAGAAGATCTGGTCTTTCCGTGAGTCGGGTTAGGTGCTGTAAGTGATGTTCCAGCACTACGCAAGACACGTACAGAAAGGAGGGTATCGAGTTTGTGACGCAGATGATGTTGGATGATCCCTTGCCATGATTGGTGACAGTATGGACTGGTGTTTCCCTTCTTTGATTCTGATCTTTTGGTTGCACATTCGTTTGATAACTCTATGTATTACTTTGTATCATCGTTATTACAATGTCTCTTTGAGATAAGCTTTGACAAGTGTGAGATCTTTTGAAGCGCCCGCTTCGTCGGCGTGTCGGTAAACGTAGGTAGTAATGCACGGACCGACCGGTCCGTAGTGGCGGACACCTTTGAACATGATATTGTAATAGCGGAATATACTATACGATGGCTAATGATTTCAGGATCCAGGATATTCCATCCACAGCCCTGTTTCCTCAACGACCAACATTTTCTGTGTTTTTCTTCTGATTTTTAGTCGACATTTGCTGTGGTTCGAACGTGCGTCTAGCGAGTGGAAGTTTCACGCTCGGCCGTTTGTCTGTTCCCGGACCGTTCATGACGTCCATCCGAAGTTACCTGCATTCCGTTCCAAGGGGATTGTCCTCAAAAAGCTAACGGTCTCTTTATTTCTCCCTCCATCCCAAGGGCCCCACCACACTAACTGTGTCCATCGTCGACGACGACGACGTGCACGCCATGTCCGCCCTGCGACGCGCCCTCTTCTCACGCAAAACTCTAGCCTATGTCTCCACCGGAACCTTGGTTGCCGCTGGCGGTGGTTATTGGTACTTGAACTCTGGCCCAGCATATCCTGCGTCTAGCAAGGAGACGCGCAGGCCCCCGCCGCCATGGACACCGCCGTCGAGAGAGTATATGTTGGATGCATTGCGCAAGTCATCGTCCACGCCTGAAGAGGAGTTTGATCTACTCATTGTTGGAGGAGGCGCGACAGGTGCTGGTGTCGCGGTTGATGCCGTGAGTAGGGGACTAAAGGTTGCTCTTGTCGAAAGGGATGACTTTAGTGCAGGTAAGCATTTTATCGCCTTGACCAGATCTCCGTGTCGTCGTTCGAGTCAGTTAGAAAAAGAGATGCAAATTAATACCTTCCTTCGCATATATGCGCATCGAACGGGCTAGTTCACGAGCTCATCCGTACGGGCGTCAGGAGCAGACCGAGAGCAACGTATGCTGCTTCATTCTTGAATTTGCGCGGAACCCATGGCCCATTCGACATTTAGTGCTCACTAGGCCTAGACTGGCTATTCTTTCTACCTCTAAGAATACCTCTTCTTTTCTCACTTAACTTCTCTTACTTTCCTTGGTACTGACGCCGTTTGTATCAGGCACATCTTCGAAATCAACAAAGTTGGTCCACGGAGGCGTGCGTTACCTGCAGAAAGCTGTCCTAGAACTCGATTATGAACAATACAAACTCGTACGGGAAGCACTGCACGAACGTCGTATTTTTTTGCAGACCGCTCCTTATCTTTCGTCAATGTTGCCTATAATGTTGCCTATCTATAAGTGAGTCCCAACCAAGGTAACAGGAATGTCATGTAATCTGTTTCGTCCCCAAGGTATTGGCAAGTGCCATATTATTGGGCTGGTTGTAAGATGTATGATGTGCTGGCTGGAAAGGAGAATATGGAGACTTCCTATGTTATGAGTAAAGGTAAAGCTCTAGAAACATTCCCTATGTTGAAGAGTGATGGCCTTGTCGGTGCTCTTGTTTACTATGATGGTAAGTGAAACCGTATAGACTTTTGTTTTAAATAGTGACCTCAAAGACCATATTATCATATCAACAGGTCAACATAACGATTCGCGGATGAACGTCGCTCTCATAATGACAGCGGTCAAACATGGTGCTGTTGTGGCCAACTATTGCGAGGTTTCCGACCTACACAAAGGTGGGAATGGGAATCTCAGCGGTGCACGCGTAAAAGACAAACTGACAGGTAAAGAATGGAATGTTCGCGCTAAAGTACGTATTCATCAACGAATACTCGCGACTGCCCCTGTTCGTAGACTTATTCGTCTTTTTAGGGTATCGTCAATGCCACAGGCCCCTTTTCGGACACACTGCTCACCCTCGATAATCCCTCGCACAAGCCAATTGTTCAACCATCTTCTGGCATCCATATCACTCTTCCGAATTACTACTCTCCTCGAACTATGGGTCTGCTCGATCCGGCTACCTCCGACGGACGCGTGATCTTCTTCTTACCTTGGCAAGGCAACACAATAGCAGGCACCACTGACTCTCCGGCACCTGTTGAAAACGAACCACGCGCTCAAGAGGAGGAGATTCGATGGGTACTTGAGGAGGTTCGACGGTATCTCTCCCCCGACATCAAAGTTCGCCGTGGAGACGTGCTGAGTGCGTGGAGTGGATTGCGGCCTCTCGTTCGCAATCCAAATGCGTCGAGCACGGAGGGACTTGTAAGAAATCATATGATACACGTTTCGGATTCAGGCTTGGTGACCATTGCGGGAGGCAAGTGGACGACATATCGAGCTATGGCTGAAGAAACCGTTGATGTGGCCATTAAGGCATTTGGACTTGAGAGCAGGGTAAAGAATGGATGTGTCACGGAACAATTAAGGCTGGTCGGTAGTGATGGCTGGAGTCGAAACATGTTCATTGGTCTGATTCAAAGAGTACAACCCATTCGCCCTTGTTTTATTCCGCATTGCTCATGTCAATTCACATCTTCTAGTTTGGTCTCGAAACAGAAGTCGCAAAACACCTTTCGGATAACTACGGTGATCGCGCATGGACTGTATGTTCGTTGGCTCACCCGACCGGCGAGACGTGGCCTCTACATGGTGTACGATTGAGTCGCAACTATCCCTGTGCGTGTCCATGATCAGATTGCTCGTGTTGCTGACTTAATGCGCTCTTGTTTATTAGTCATCGAAGCTGAGGTACGATACGCTGTACGACACGAGTACGCCCAAACAGCCGTCGACGTTATCGCACGCCGTACACGTCTTGCATTCCTTAATGCGCAGGTTGCTCTAAATTCTCTCCCTCGAGTCATTGAGATCATGGCGGAAGAGCTGCACTGGACTCGCGCGCAAGAGAGACGTGAGCTCGAGCGTGCGGTCGCATTCCTCGGAAGTATGGGCCTGGCTCCTGGCACTGCGGTCCCAGAACTTGGTCCCCGAAGTACTGTTGAGCGTCTGGAAAACACGGTATGGAGCATGGTCGGGGCTGATGTACCACCAGCAAAGAGGCACGATATCATGTACAGTCGTGCGCAGTTTGACGCGGGTGAACTGGACGGTCTAAAAGAAGCGTTTGGGAAGCGTGCAGTTTCCGTATCTTCAAAAGACGAGCAAAGACCTGGCGCACAGGAGAAGCGATTGAGCAAACGCGATTTACCAGAAGTATTGAAGGGGCTGCCGACGTATGAAGGAATACGGGCGAAAGACTACGACTATGTTTTCCTTGAGGCTGGATTTGCCCATCAAATCGACGTTGATTTTGATGAGTTTGTAGAGGTACGTTGGTTCAGACTGTTTTACAGCCGACCTGAGGTATTGACTTTCCTGTTTTAGATTTGTGGAAGCCTGAAGGAAATATCGTTTGGTCCTTCTTCGAAGAAAGTTGCCAAGGCGGAGAGGATGCGGATACCTGTGGAGAAGAGTGGCGGCGGCGTCTAAACCTGTTTCTAGTGAATCATGCTACAAATTCGTTCTCTATCTGTTCGAATGTGATCTACATTTGCCAATGCTTCTTTGACACAACACACGTGATGGTGTAAAGATACTGGCATGGTATCCAGAGTCATAATTAGTCGTAATGGCGTTGTTGATAGTCTGGTGACGCTATATTTCTATCTAGCTGAATATCTTGCCCAAACCCGAAAACCGGAATATATGATGCTATCAAAGCTTAGCTTCTAAACTCTTCTGCTGTTGCTGATACTGCTCTTGTAATACCCTCCGTAGCACTTTTCCTGTTGGTGACTTCGGTATCTGTGATGTCTTTTAATTCAAACCTGTAACATAGCCAAGGAAGCATGTACACACCTGATCGATGATTTCGATTCCGCCTCTGAGCCATTTATACTTGCTTAGGCTGTCACGTATCCATTGATCTAGCTGAGCTACTGCTTTCTTCGGACCGATATTGTTCCCTTCAACGGACAAGACAACCCATGCGCGGGGGACACGCTCGTCAGACGTTCGGCCTCCACTTACACCCGCCACAGTCGCATCGGTAATCAGCCGTTGTGGATTTGCTAGTAAAGTGTTTTCAATCTCAACCGGTGATACTTGCATCCCAGAAACTTTGAGAATATCCTGTTTTCTCGGTCAACGGATGCAGCGTTATCCACATTTAGCCATGATTGCTCACCTTTGCACGGTCCTCAAAGCTTCATACGAGAAGAGACAGCTAATCAGAACGGTTCTGAGAATATAGCAACAAAGGAAAGAGCACTTACTATAACACACCATCCTTGTCGATCCTCATTCTGTCACCTGTCCGTAACCATCCGTCGACAAACGTCTCTTTCGTCGCGCGTTCATTTCCCCAATAGCCCAAAGCTACGCAGCCTGAACGCACCCATATTTCACCTGGCTCGTTCACATCGGCTAGAGAGCCATCGTCGCGTACAATGCGTGCTTCGACGCCTGGTAAGAGGATACCTGCTGAGCCGGGTACGTTTTTCGCGCGGCCTTCAAGTAGGCCAGGGTAAGGTTTGCTGGAAATAGAGAGGGTCTTATACAACTCGTCAATCGACGATGCGAAAGTAGGACATAGGACCGACTTACAGCCTCGGACATGCCGTAACCTGACGCCAAATGAAGTGAGAATATCCATTTCGGTGCACTAGATGTACGCACCTTCCGCAACTCTTGCCACACTTGGTACCAAAGACGTGTACTTTGAAGCCAGTTGAGGGGGGAGGTAAGCTGCACCACTGTGCGTAAGTATCACAGAGCTGAGGTCGGTTGAAGGTAGGCGTGGGTGGTGAACAAGCTGATGAACGAGCGAGGGGACGAGATAAAGTCCGGTCACGCGGTACCTGATTTACTGTTTAGCAGGCGGAAAGCAGATGATGTAGTATATGACGGACTTTGGGATGGAGTCTAGGAACACATCTGCATCCCACTTTGGTAAAACAACGATGGTACTAGGGACAAAATAGACACGGAAGCAAGTCATATGCAGGCCAAAAGCGTGGTGCATTGGCAGTACAGCAAATGATACAGGTATGCCTTCTGGAGTGTTATAGGTTTGCGGCTATATTAATAAAGGTGAGATAGTTCTATCTTGACATTGGAGATAACATTTACTGGTTGGACTTTGGCCAGTTCTGGGGCCATCACAAAGATCTGTAGCAATGAGTTGATAAGGTTGCCGTGAGATATCATAACGGCTGTTGAGATGAATGCCTCTGAACAATTATTCTAGTCGCGACTGATCCGACATACCTTTCGGCAATCCACTTGTCCCGCTCGAGAAGATAAGGTATGCTAGCGTGTTCACTTTGGCATGCCGGATGGGAACTCGAAGTATCTCGTTATTGTGCACGTGGGATATAAGGTCTTGAAAGCTTTTCCGGCCGGGTACATTTCCCTCGAGGATGTAGATGCGGTCTTCGGGAAACCCAGCTGAGATCAACTGAGAAACGTACGAGGGGCTTGCGAATATGCGAGTGGCCTTGGATAATGTTATTGCATGTTTCAGTTCGTAAGGGGTATAATACGACGAGAGCAGGGCAAATGGGACCGTTATAACTAGAAGCGAATGCACAAGCGTCGCAAAGTCCTGGATCCAAAAATTGTCAGCACTGTCTCTCGAAATTGTATGACCGTTGTTCACTCACCACACAGTTTTCGCTTAGGATGCCTATGATTTCACCGTTGTCTGGGTGGAGGCCTAGTCCTCCTTGTTGCGAATCTGCACCTAGTGCAGTAGCACCGTCGCGTATCCGCTCTACGAATTCCTTGATGGTTCGACGTTGCCCAGTTGCGGCATTAATGTAGGCAGTATAATTGGGCCAATCCTTCTGATCTGGGCGACTGAAAAATAGACCATGGACATTCTGTTCTGGGATAATGGGTAAGTCTGGATATAGGGATTTGTACTGCATTCTCTGTGTGATTGCAGATGTCGGGGAAACGCTGTGTTGTGAGGAGAAATCATAACGTTGAATCCGTTATAAGTCAAAGATCATCATTGCATCCGGACTTCATGGTTCCCGCATAACCGGTGCCGGTTCATTGCAGCCGCATTGGTGCCACGGCGGTGTTCATTACGTCAGTTACCTAAAATAAATGCAAAAATTAAAATGATTGGACGTTCAGGGGATTGAACCCTGGACTTTATGCAAGTCGCTATTGCAGGAAGACCTGGCAATGCAAAGCATACGCGCTACCACTGTGCTAAACGCCCATGTAAAGAACTACGTCGCAGTAATTAACGTTCAGCGTACAGCACAAGGTATAGCGTATTTTGACCTGAACACTGCAGCATCCGTGCTTCCGCCATGAGTCTCTCGACGTTTCTCTTGGGTAAGAAGGCCTCCAAGGTCATTGATAAAGATTTGGATGCTCTTTTCCAGACGCATGTATGTTGTTTGTGTTCGTTAAATCTACTGATCACCTCACACCCCCATAGAATTCAACAAATTCGAATGTTGCACCAGTATCTCCCGCTCCAGGAGCGAGCGACAGGAAGCGAAAATTGAAGGAAGGTGGGGAGCGGAAAGAGAAAAAGAGGTCAAAGGCCACCAAAGATGAGGATGAAACCATGGACAAGCCTGCGTCTCCGAAAAAAGAGAAAAGCACCAAGTCTCCAAAGCAGAAAGGTCATAGTAAGAAAGTAGCAAAAGAGGTCAAGGAATCCGACGAGGAAAACTCGGATTTGGAGAAGAGCTATCCTAGTACTTCCAAGCAGGCTTCGCAGAAAGGCGTTGATGTCGACTCGGATTCTGATGAGGAGGGCGATCCGTCAAAACTCGTCCACGAAGCTCTGGCCAAAGACGGCTCAAGTAATAAAAAAGGTTCGACTGGTAGCAAGGCCAAGTATATTCCGGAAGATGAAACACCTGAGCAACGTGACGCTCGGACGATATTCGTAGGCAATCTTTCAGTGAACGTCGCTCAAAAAAAAGTGTGTATCTTAGATTTTTGTAACTTCTGTCCCTCATTTACACTGACCTCTACAGACTCTATTAAAACAATTTCAGCGGCATATTATATCTCATGTGCCTACTGCCAAAATCGAATCTACTCGCTTTCGGTCTGCTGCTTTTCAAAACCCCACCAGCAAACTTCCAGGTGACGATGACGATGACTCTAAATCCAAATCGTCAAAAGGACGGCAGCACGACCGTGACCGTACTACTTCGTGGCGTAGCTCCAAACCCGATGAAGATGATTTCAAAACAGACGAGAAGAAATTTCTGACACCCAATCAAAAGAAAAAAATCGCCTTTATAAACCACGAATTCCATCCCTCCGCAGATTCCGTCAATGCCTACGTAGTTTTCTCGCATCCATTGCCTGCCGCATCTCGAGCTCCTAACGTACCCCCGCCCGCGCCGGTAATGGACCCATATGAGGCGGCTCGTCTAGCCGTTGAAACCTGCAATGGAACGATATTCATGGACCGCATGATACGAGTTGATTTTGCGAGTAAGACAGCTGCTCAGGTTGCAGTGGCATCTGCAGCAGCTATATCTGGAGCTATGGTCGGAGATCCGAAACTTAGTGTCTTTGTTGGCAATCTCGACTTTGCGAGCAAAGAGGAGGATCTGAGGGTATTTTTCGAGGGCATCGTGAGTGCTGAACGGGGCGCGCCTGATGGTGAAACAGATGTTGGAGAGAAGCTCAAATCATGGGTAACACGCGTGAGAATTGTTCGCGACAAGGATACACAACTCGGGAAAGGGTTTGCATATGTGCAATTTGCTGTACGTCATACTTATCGTGAAGATTGTGCCCTTTAACTAATTTGTGGCATAGGATCGGGAATGCGTGGATGAGGTTTTAGCGTTGGAGGAAGGTAAACTCAAGTTCGCAAAACGCAAACTACGCGTGCAACGGTGTAAAACTGTTCCGGGGAAAACACTATCAAGCTCAAAGACTTCATCTGCTAAGGCAGCCTCCGCATCAGCATCTCACTCGACTTCTGTGCCTATCATTCCGAAAGGAGACCCGTCGCTAGGCGCTAAACTCGCTCATCTGTCGAAAGAAGATCGCAAGAAGGCCAAATCTTCGGACTCTGACCGTCTTGCGAGAAGAATGGCGAAGAAGAAGGCTAGGAATGTCCTTGCAAAGCAGGGTGTTAAAGTCCAGGTAAAGGACAGGGAGAGAGTGCGGAAGAGTGGACCCGCCAAAACCATTAGGGCACCAAAGAAAGAGAGCAAGGGTCGAGCACGCAGTGACAAAAGTATCGCCAAGAGGAATCTCAAAAAGTGATATGTATATGTCAGAACTTGGTCTCACCATTCGTTCCTACAGTGCACATACACATGTGTCAATTCATTCACGTTCTCCTACTGTGCGTTCCGTGTGTTGTAACGTAACAGCCCTAGAATCCGCGAAGTCAGTTCATTAATGCAGTCCCCATGCTGGAGCTGCAAGCATTAAGGGAGCAATGTCACAGCAACGCACTGTATCAGTACGCTCTGTTTTTTCCAGAAAAGGTAATTGCCCAACTGCTTCATGCTTGTGACCCAAAAGGATCATGATGGCATAGCTTTCGATCAAGCATTCTTAACGCAGCGCCTCTTTCCTCACTCTTGTTTCACCATACCAGTAGCTTAGCTTGTGGCATGTCTCCAAGGACTTGGTTCAGTGAGTAGCATCTTCCAATGACATTGTTGACTGTAATTGCTGATAATGACTGTGGGACAATGAAGTTACTGGAGCGTCCTCCGGGTTTGGGAGAGCTTTGACAGCTATCGTAATGAAAAATGGCGAAAGAGCTATCGCAGCTGATCGCAACGAGGAGGGCTTAGGGGAACTCTCTAAAAAGTATTCCAACGAACAGCTCCTCACCATCCAATTAGACGTTACCAATCAAGAGGCTATTGCCGCTGCATTCCTCAAGGCGAAAGAACGGTTCGGACAGATTGATGTAGTATACAATGGCGCCGGTATTGGTCTCATGGGTGAGGTTGAAAGTATCCCAGATCGTGCTGCTCGAAACCTCTTCGAGATAAACTTCTGGGGCGCAGTCAATATCAGCAGAGAAGCTGTCAAATTCTTCCGGGAAGTCAATCCGCCCGGTGCTGGTGGCACACTACTTCAAACTTCAAGCTCGTTAGGACTGGCAGCTTCTCCAGCGGCATCATTTTATTCTGCAGCGTAAGCCATCGTTTCCGGATGTTTTCGATGCATGGCTGATATATTAAACCTTCTAGTAAGTTTGGTATGTTGGCTGATAATCTAAGGTTTACAGTATGCCTTTAATGTTAGGTATTGCAGCACTGGAGGGATTTTGTGAATCGCTCTCCATGGAGCTCGATCCGGAATGGAAGATAAGGGTAAATGCTATTGTGAATCTTGCTTTGTCGTCTACCCAATCTTGATACAGATCGTCGTCGTCGAACCCGGATGGTTTCGCACAGGAATCATAACCACAGAAGCAGCGTTTCCCGAGCACCCAGCCTATAAGAAGTCATCCTTACCTTCACACCGTGCACGCCAGGCATTATCTGTCGACCGTCATCAAACTGCGAGAGGTGACCCAGAGAAGGCAGCACAGAAGATGTATGAAGTAGCTGGTCTGGACAATCCTCCCCCGCGGTTAGCACTGGGTAAAGATTGCTTGAAGAGTGTCAGGACTAAGACCGAAGGCTTAACCGCAAACTTGAACGAGTACGAAAGCTGGTCAGATGATCTACTATTTGACGAAGCTAGTAAAGTTGGCCAATCTAGGCCCAAGAAGCAAGGCTTATTGTAAGGATTTTAGGGGAGTAGAGCAGAAAGTGCTATCCAAAGCGACGAGTGAGATGTTTGACAAGAACCTAAATGAATCAATAAAATCAAAAATGTTTGCACGTACAGTTCCCTTGGACGAACCTGCTATCTACGTGATATGTATCATGCATACCTGAGCAGCGTATGACATCAAGCAATGGCATATACTCAGTTGTGGGTTCATGATATTACCATACAGCAGATTAATCCGAATGTATGAGCATGTCGTCGACAGGCATGTGGTGAGAGTGTGTAGGAATGATTATCACCTGAGGTGACTGGGTCTGTTGACTCCGTTATCCAAGTCGCCGTTAAGGTTTGCCCGTACGTATCCTGATTCTCAGCTTCAGGCGCACTATCAGCTTCACACAAGGTCCGCACCGCAACTCGTGCAAAATCAGAAAAAGCCAAGAATTTGGTAGTCACAGGTGATAAGGGTTGGCCTTGTCCTCGGGTGCGTTGAAACATCACCATCAGAGAATCGTCATGTCATCGACAGGGATGGCCAAGGAATAGTGACTCGCGACTACACGAATGGGCCTCCCATTTGGAACAAAGTTCATCGCAATTGGTATGGAGCGCCACGCATCATCCGGTGAGGGTCTTCGGCGGGGCAGACGTTTGACAACGTCCAACTTTTTTACATATCACCGCCATCGTAGCCCGTTAGGAGCCTTGATAGATCAAGATGGACCCGGTCTACGTTATCGTATCGTCCCGTACGCCGATCAGAGTGTTCTGATCGAGTGGTTTTGCGTCTTGTACGGATCTCAAGTATCCTCCAGTGGATTTTGCGAAAATTGTACCGGGCATGACCAACATGAATCGCGGTTTTTTCTGATACGTGCCGCTTCCCAGGGCGGCGGAGGATGGTTTCGAGGTCATGCGCGCAAACACAATGGCATTGTCGGTCGAAGTGCCTTGAGACCTTGATTTCTGTCACTGACAGACCCAGGCGCATAAAATCCGTGGAAGACGTTGAGGGTTGCCGGAGACAGACGATCGAGGTCTAGACAAAATCTGCTATAGTACGATCACATCGGTTATTGAGACCATGGCCGATAAGCCGGTGTGAGATGAAGGGAACACCGATTCCGAAAAGTATCCTAACCGATTGTTCACTTTTGACCTGTAGTGCACCTTGCACACCGTGTTCTACTTGATTGTAGTATACCAATGAGTAATGTTGATATGTCGCCAAAGTTACTGTTGAGTGACCGATAGGTCGTCGCTTGTATAGTTTGCCTGCTGACCGAGTTTTGACTGCGGAAACGGCCGCCGGCATACCAAAACACATGTCGTCCAGTATCGTTCTGTGTGTTTACATAAATACGCAGATGCGGCTCATGGCCTTGCAATACCATAGATATTGGTTTGGCCATACCCTGTACTTGGCAGTGTATCACGGGGCCGTGAAACCCTGGAAATAGTCCTATAGGACGGGGACTTGCTGAGAGCTTTTCACGCCTATACCCTGTGTGTGTGCAGCTGCCTGTAGGAGATACACGACGGGTTATTCAATTGGGAGACAACGAGGCCATAAACACAAAAGCACGCTACCCATTGAGGGTCGTGAAGATATCCTCGGGCTAGCAGATTCCCATTCTGGACATGTTCTACAAAGTCTAACTGTCAGCTTCATGATAGTCGCGAAAGAAGCACAGCCCCGTACACGAGTCGTCGCACTTATCACACTCGAAAATAGCAACGATGAGCATCCGAAGAGAGCTAGGGGGTAGGTTAGGTGGTAATGGGCTCATCACGTTCCTACGTACGTCGAGGAGGCTTCTGGCTAATATGCGGAGCGCGAGGTGACTGCGTTCGTGAAAAGTATGGAACACGAGCCGGAAACGTTACCGTGAGCCAGAAATACGACGCGTCCCGAGGTTGAGATAGAGGTGGCACGTTTGATAGCCTGTGGGGGCTGGGGAATGGATCAGTCTAATTTGGATCAATCTAATTGAAGAAACGTTTTGACATACAGAAGAAAGAACGACGACGGAGGTATTGTCAGTGGAGGTCATAAGATGTTATCGACCACTATCTACTAAACTATTACCCGATATGTACGTATATGAGCGTTTAGTGGAGGCGGGGTGGTGCTGCGAGAAGTTCTGAATTCGGCAAAGGCTCTAACCCTTCCAGTAGTAGATTTCCAATAGCGGCCGTTTTCCGCTATCTCATATCTTACATGTGAGCGTGGAGCTGGCTGTGACCCATACCAAGGATTTCGAATTGGGCTTCGATGAAAGGTATGGACGCCTTTTTGAGTAAACACGCCAGCTGACGAGAGTGAATGGCGACCAGAGAATCTGCAAAGAAAATGAGCACGTACATGGAAGAGATAATTTGTTAATAATATTGACGGCAAAGGGCTGGGGAGCGTGATGCCGTTCCGCGCTGATTTCATCTCGTCAGCCAATGGCATTGTTGTCCGGCAAGACTGCAACGCGTTTTGTGCTAGACATGGCGTTGTAGTATATAACGGCAGTCCTGTGCAAGCTAGAGGGGTTGTGCTTTTGACCAGCTGCAGCTTTTTAGCCAAAACGCATCGAGGTTAGCAGTGAAAGAAAGGCAAGCTGTTATTTGTAAGGACTCTTCTCTGTTCTCGGCAACTACCACAGCATCGGCCCCTCATATTTCTTGTGCCTGGCTTGGGTTATTCATTTCTCTGGCTTGCTTTCTTACTCCCTCAGCTGCTCTCTACCGCCTCCTTCTTTTTCTCCAGTCCTTTAACGACCCGCGCTGGCCCCTCCAGACGCACGATATTTCAGTTCAGGCTCTCGTAGAAATTACTATTCTCCACCCTCACCCTTTGTTTCATACACGTCATGTTGTTCCATCCGGTGAGTCCTCTTTCATACAATAAACAATACTAGCTCATCTTCATTTAATATAGCTTAGCTTGACGATCCCGCACATAGCTTATGCCTGTCTCGGAGGCTTCGTAGTCATCGTAAGTAGCTCCACCTTTTCATACCAAGCCTGTTGGACTGAACTTGAAACCATGTGGTAGTTTGGCATGTTCTCCCTCTTCATTCGAGAAAAAGTAAGCATACTCTCTAGATTTGTGTGCAACGGTGACTCATCTCAGCAATAGCTTTACATTGGCGAGGCAATCTGGGCCTTTCTCTTTGGGGTCATCATCGGTATGTGCATTATTATTCGCTAGCGTCAGTATTTCTCTGAATGGGCGCTGACTATTGTGATATCTCTGACATTAGGCCCATATGGCGCTGGTATATTTGATCCCCGTGGTTGGGCTGGAAACAACGAGGAAATGTCGAACCAGATCACTCTCGAAGTTACTCGTGTTGTTCTCGCCATTGGAGTCTTTGCAATCGGCGTCGAACTGCCCAAAGCTTACATGGCACGACACTGGAAAAGTCTTTTGTTTCTCCTGGCTCCTGTCATGACATGGGTAAGAACCCTGCCGTCATCCTTGTCAATATCACGTGCTTATACCTGCGGATCATTTACAGGGTTGGTTTGTCTCAGCTGGGCTTATCTACGCGCTCATACCAGGCCTCAATTTTCTATCAAGCCTCGCTATCGCCTCGTGTCTTACACCCACGGACCCGATCCTTGCTGCTGCCGTAGTCGGTGGAAAGTATGCTGACAAGCACGTACCGGCCCACATTCGACATCTGCTCGCCGCCGAGAGTGGCTGTAACGATGGAGCCGCATTCCCATTCCTGTATATAGCGCTATATCTTGTTCTTGATTCATCTACTGGACAAGCCATCGGGGACTGGTTTTTATTCCTATGGCTCTGTACGTCTATTTTCATCTTGGGTATATGGCCACTTGTCACTGACTGTCGTGATTCCATTTTTAGACGAAGTCATCCTAGGTGTCGTTTTCGGAGCGGTACTTGGCTTTTCTTTCCGACATCTGATGAAGTTTTGCGAGCGTAATGACCTCATTGACCGACAATCCTACGTCGCTCAATATGTTTCCCTCGCGTTCCTGACGATCGGCATCATGACCATGCTTGGCTCTGACGATCTGCTTGCTGCCTTCTCCTGCGGAACAGCCTTTGCATGGGATGGTTTCTTCAACAGACAGACGGAAGAGTCAGTATTCAGTTCCGTCATCGATCTCTTGTTCAACGTCGCCGCCTTCGTATACGTGGGGGCATGGATGCCGTTCGACAGTTTCGACGACGACGTGCTGACCTTGAAGGTCTGGAGACTCTTCGTCATCGCTATCTTGGTGTTACTCTTGAAGAGATTACCAATTATCATCGCTTTGTACAAGTTCATACCAGACATCAAGACTTTTCGCGAAGCCATTTTCAGTGGGCATTTTGGTCCTATTGGGATTGGTGAGCGCAACTATCCCTGATTGACTGACATTGCGCTAACTTGCACAGGCGCCGTCTTCATATCCACCCTTGCTGTCGGTCAGCTTCCCAAACCAAGCAGTCCTCCTGCCAATCAAACTGAGTTTCTTGCTGCAACTATTCAACCAGTTGTGTCCTTTATGGTCCTCTGTAGTGTCGCCATTCACGGCCTTTCCATTCCTTCGTTCTCTCTAGGACGTAGAGTGCATTCGGTATCCTCTCGTACTTGGTCTCGACACGCAGTTCCAGACTGGACAACACAAGCCCGGCACGTGACACGTGCAGAGGACATCGTCATCAACCGCGACCGCGACAGCGCCATGGAAAGAGGCGAGTCTTCTCTGACACCGGAAGAGAAGTCGGCTCTGGAGAGCAAACGCGCCAGCAGTAGCTCGACTCCACCTTCTACAGGGGAGGACGAGAGGAACGTCGATGAACGCGTTTCTGATGAAAGGCAAGAAAGCGAGGACAGGATGAGGGAGCAAAATCCTCCAGACGGGACTGAGCTTATTGCAGAATGGAATGAAGGTCCACACACGATCATTGAGCGTCGTTCCGGGCCGGGAGAAGAGGTAGGTGGACCTTGGCATTGATTCTCTTAGCAAAAGCTAAGCTTTTTCGTTTACAGGTCGATGTCGAAGTCATACGAAATGACAACGGCGGAACACCAATCCGCACCTCTTTCCGAGTCCACGAGGATGCCGTGCGCCAAACTGTTCACTCATATATCGATCGGCTCCGCTCAGCACCACATGAGATGCACAAGGAGCTTGAGAATATGGAAGACACAGTGAAACGCGATGTACATTTTGTAGAAGATAAGGCGCACGACGTCCTCACCCACAATGGCCATTCGGAGGGGGTGGGGAACTCGGGCACGAACGCAGAGGTTGCTGACGACGACGATGAAGGCTGGGCGTCCGATCAGAGTGGCGATGGGACATACAAGGCCCAAGATCATTCTGATCGCAGGAAGCGCCAGAGCTCTTTAAAGTCCAAGAGCATATCTAAACAGCCAAGCACCGGGTGGAAGAAAAAAGGTCGTCGTCGGCCATCCTTCAACAGTGGTTCATTCACTAGTCACGCGCATCAGCTGCTGCAGTCCCAATCACCATCTCGACAGTCATCGGACGCACGTGAGCGTTATGGCGAAGTATTCGAAGGGGATGAGGAACGTGGACGTAGTGATACTCCCCGTCGCGAAGATATGGAACATGCCATTCCTAGCGCAGCAATACATCGGAGACTGGAATCACTGAAAGTTCCTATTCAGCGTTCCCGAGATGCGTCTCCCTCACGTTCTGTACGTTTCGCTGACGAAGAAGCAACAAGAAGTGGTGCTTGCACTCCGCGAACCCCACTGCACCAAAATGAGTTTTATTTCCCTAGCAGTGTTTCGGAGGTGCCACGTGATGACACCGAGTCTGCTGCCCCTAACAGAGTTACGTTTGAGTTGCCTCCAGGCAAACATTGATCATGTTTTCGTTTCGTTTTCATTATTGTTTTCTTTTGTTGGGTATGTGGCATAATTTTTCAACACCGATTGCTCCTGCAATCCTCTTGACGAAATTTTGACGATCATAACCTCCGTGATTCCCTCTAATGATCGCCCTCAAGGAGCTGTATATTTTTTTTTTGGATTCCTCCCTCGATATATCACCCTATCTGTCGCTGCTTTGTATCACATAGCATCAGGCTCGATTCACTGTAACCCTAATGTACTGAGTACCATATGCACTTTACCTATATTGTGTCGATTTGTTACCTGCTGTATAAAAAAAATTAGGCGTTGCAGAACAAGTGAACGAAGGAACGTATAACGGAAAGCAAGAAAGACAAGAGTGATCCCAACACTACACGGAGCCCCGTTATCTCGAGAAAGTCAAAGAGATAGGCAATTAGAACGACAGGTGGCACACGGTCTGGACTCTCTATTTCGAACGGTAGGCGAACTCCGTCGATATGATCCTTTACTACACGGAGCCCGGACGTAAACCCGTCTTCATGAAACCCATATCCGAGCCATGCTCCAGCGAACAAGATTCCACGGCTGCCTTGTATAGTTGACATCTCTCTCTGGGAACGGAGGGCCTAATGATCCATTAGATCCGGTGATAAGATTCACGAAGTTCATAAGTTACCATCGAATCGAGCACGGGGTGATCATAAGAGAATCGAGCGATAGTTTTATCTTTCTCGGGTTCTACTGGAGGATTGAGTGTCACCAAAACCGGGCCGTACTTGTTTTCCGGGATGTGTTGCAATTCATTCATGTAGTCTGCAGAAATGTCGGGTGTATCGAGATGAGTCTTCGTGATTAGAAAAGATTTGGGAATTAATTACATGTCCTATACGGGCGTAATGCTCAACGAGATACTCCATATAGAATGCATAGTCCACTCACAGTGCCACACTATCAATATTAGCCTTATATTGTCCTTTAGCATCAACGGTAGAAGTTGTTAGATAGTTCCAGCATGACCATGCAAGACGGCGTTTAGGCATAAGCTGTTTCCTCCAGTTAGCAACGTGACAGGTAGAAAATGGCGCAACATCACGTTGGTGTCCGCATGCAAGACTGCTTCATTGTTACTCCAGCGAAAACGACTCAGTATTTGATCTTCTATATCGGTTAGACCTTGGCCCGCCTTGAGGATGGAAAGCGCGGTGTCTGAGTGACATGCGAGAATGACACGATCGTACAGGGTTGCACTGTGATTGTTTCCTGCAGTGCGGAGTTCGATGAGAGACGACTTGCCTGGTAGCAAGTGGCCTGTGCTCAGGGAAATGACGGGCGTAGAGAGGTGAAGGCAGTTTTTTGGTAATTCCGCTGTAATTGCATCAACGTAATTTCGACTGTTTTTTTAATTTCTTAGAAAGCGGGTAAACATTTTAAAAGCCAATTACATACCTTCCTCCTCGGATAGTCAGCCAAGCAGGCTTCCCAGTTATTTGGAGCAGATGATGATTGGCCATGAATTGAATCTAGGAACTTGTATTTCAGAGTAACATACCCACAAAGTTACTACGCTAACCTACCAGTGTTCGAGCGGGAAAGTCCATTGCACATTTATCAGGAGGTGTGCTCCAGATCGCAGCAGTCATTGGCTATGAGATGAACGTGAGTATACACAATAATATAAAGAAGTGATAGAAGACTTGCAATGAGGTAGTCGTCGCGAAAAGATAGCGAATACCCCTCGCGATCGAGGTATTTACCAATAGACATGTTGTGATCCTCCAAGGTTTGATTGCACGCAGTGACGAGTCTTCGAGCACATGCATTGAAACGAAGAACATCATATAGTAAACGCCACATCCTGGGTTCAAGTACTCGGGATGGCTGGCAGAATACACTCTTTAAATTGTTACCAGCCCATTCAAATTCAAATAGGCCCTTATCCCGTGAGACGCTAAATGTCATTTCAGTAGGAAGGATATCAACATTGACGAATTGTTTGAGGAAGCGAAGGAAGTTTGGATAAGTGCTTGGATTGAAGACAATCTACATAGTTCAATCATGAGCATTGGTTCGGTTTACTAGAATCCTTAGAGAAAATACTCACGAAACCACTGTCCCAGAGGGGTGAAACGAACACTTTAAAATCTTCAAAATTAATAGTGGACGTTGGACATACGTATCAACCTGGATGCTGCCCGAGTCCCCGAATTGCTGTCCTGGTGGCACGAAACGTACCGTGTTTGCATGGCCTCCTGGACGCGAATCGGAGTCGTACAGATGGACCTCATGCTCGCTGTGTTCGTTTAGAAGCTTGAAATGGACATATACGTAGAAGCATCAACGCGAGGATACGACCAGGCAAAAATGAGAAATTTACCCATGTTACAGCCAGCCCAGACACTCCGGAACCAACTACCGCAATTTTCATGATGAAAAGTTGATTTTAAGTTCCTGATTGTGCGTGGAAGTGGGGGGAATAAAAGCCAAACCATGCTAACGATCGATCTGTAGCGGTTGTGCTCCAGATCGAAAGAAGAAAAGCGCGTCGCGCTCTGCACGTGACAAACGAACATGCAGAAATTGGATTGCCTAAGTGAAAACAAGCTTTAATGGCTACAGAAGATCCTCATATATCCGGACAAATCAGAAAAATATATTCAATATTCAATCCCAATACCTATGAGTTAGGCCGAGGAAAGATTTGGCTTCGCTCGTTAATACAATGATATTTGTGCCCAGGGTGAGCATGGCATCAGCATGTCCTTTCTGTAATGACGGGCAAGTAGGAGATAACAATACTTCTCCCTGGAATATCAGTACTAGAGAAGTTCAATTCGTTAGCCTTGTGTTTGGGCCGTGAGTGATTCCACTCACTCGAATTGTAGTCATGGAATACCGTTGCAGCAACTAACAAAGGTTCGTTAGCTTAATGCTTAATGACAAACAAAGAATAAGAAGAGCACTGACGAAATATTTGGCGACAGAGTTATTCTGTCAGAGTAGGTTTGCTGTGAGTTTAATACAAGGCATGAGGCTCGAGGTACCGAAATAAGAATACATTTGTGATGCAGGATGCAGACAAGGCTCTCGGGCGTTTATCATAGCTTCTTCACTTTTGAGCTCCAGAGATGCGAGCTGGCGGACTAGTCTGTTGAGTGTAGAGACGTACTTCCGTACCAAGTTTAAGCGATTTTGTCTTCATCACAAATCATCTTCAGACTAACGCCATTTCATAGCCTTCCACAGCCACTAATGAGCATGCCAAGGTCGACATCGTCGTCTAGGCACTGCCTAATTACAAGTCCTCCCATGGTGGCCTGTGTTAATAGTCACCGGTCACCAGCAGTATGCACTGGTCGTTCAAAGTGACAGCTTCGAGCTCTAGATGCAAATATAGTAAAGACTGTGTTAGATAACGATTAATTCGTAACCACGTTGAATCAGACCTTTGATAGTCTTCTGCGACCGAAAGAAAGGCATTTGGTGCTCCACTGCATTTGATAGCAATCGGAATGAACAAAACACGACGTCAGATACCAAAAGCACCGAGGTGAGAGGCGAAAATACCCTAAGTACCGGCGCAGGGGATAGAAAAACACGACAAGTAAATTCATACTTATCTGGTGAGAGAGATCGGGGACAATTTCGATTCACATTCTGGTTAAGTCGGACCTGGCCGCATTGAACACTCTTTTGTTCGCAAAAACAATACTCCAAGTAACAAGGTTGAAATGCAGTGGTATACTGACGGAAAATCGAGGAGGCGGGTGTCCCAGAGAAATTAGCGAAATCATACCAAGAGCCAAGGTACGAACAAAGCATCAACTTTGAGATGATACGCAAGCGGAAAATGGAAGTGCAGACGATGAGCAGATTTACCGAGCTCATTTGGGAGCTCAACTGAGGTAAGATGATGGGAACTGCCACTGAAAATGCTAAACCCAACTACTGCAATTTCTTTGACTGTCATCAGGTTGATAGGAAAGAGTGACGATGGCAGTGAACTTCCGATCATTGAAAGGAAAATGCGTGATTGACACGTGATCGCGTGGTATCTGCGCGAGAGTTTATGCTTTGCTATTCAGTGTCATGCTGTAGCCCAAGCGGTCGAATCTTTGATATGTTCGACTAGCAATCCATTCGAATAATAATTCAACAACTTAGGATAGGATCACAGGAGGTTACCTGGCAATCTGGTACTGTAAAGGCTTCTACAATGAAAGACTTGCACCACCTAGATGACCATTCTCATCTTCAACTTGTCTCCCGTCGTTATATCTTCTTTCATGCTTTCCAGTTCTGTCATATCCCAAGTGCTGCTGATATACCTTCCGCTAAGCCAATCTCTACGCTCTTTCGCGAGCCATACGAGGGTATCTGCTGATAATTGTGGCGAGTCAATCAATGTGGAGCGCATGAGAGCAGGGATATCTTTGGTCATGTCGGTGAGAACAACGCCAGGGTGGACAGAAAGCACAGAGATATTGTGTGGTGCACACTCCAGATGAATTGTTTCAGTCAGGCGAAGTAACGCAAATTTACCAATCTTGATAGACTTGGCTTTAGCACCTTCAGGAACTACTATAATGGAAAGGACCACTCACACAGTATGCAGAGCTTAGCGGACTTGCGAAGTGCGCAACGTAGGACGCAATATTGACGATCAGTTTGTTGTCCGCGTCATTGTTGGTTAAGAGGGGAAGTAAGGCGCGAGTGACGAGATATACTCCACGAATATTTACTGTCCATACGTTCCACCAATCGTCTGGGTCACTCATGGATAGAGGAACAGCCTGAGGGTTATCCGCGCGTCCCGCATTATTGATCACTACATCCAGCTTACCAAACACACGCCGTATCTCTGCAGCCACGTTTTCAACGGTAGCGATATCCGTGACATCTAGCATTAGCTTTAGGATCTTCGGGGACCTGTTAACTAATGCGGCAGCTTCGGTCATGGCGATGGCCACTTCATCGAGCAAGTTCATCGATCGCGCAGCGATAATGATACCAGAAGCACCAGAACGTGCAAAAGACATCGCCATGGCTTTTCCAAGACCTTGAGAAGCACCGGAGATGAAGACAATCTTGCCTGTAAGGTCAGCCTTGGTGGGATCAATGGTAGGGTATGTGTCGTGGTGGATTGTATTCGTTAAATGATACCCCGGATAAGGTATTTCAGTAAAAGCTGGTGGGGATGATGTGGATACGTCTTCAGGCGTGGAAGCAATGTTACCGTCTGAGCTGCCTTCGCCATCCAATATAGCTAGCATTTGCTTTTTCATCTCTGCTAGATGATCCTGTAGGAATGATACGTCCCAAACATCGCTGGCCTTTATATCGTAAATTATAAATATGTTCAGTGAGGCTGTTGAGAAACGGAAGCGGACTTACTTGAATTTGAAGATGAATTGATGAATTAAGACTCCAGACGTGAGTCATGCTGAACAAGTCACTATGAGCTACTTATATAAATAGAGAGATAAAATAACTGACAGCCTCTGCCATACCAAACGCTGGCCAATGGCCACATCGTATACTTTAATGACTGGAGACGAAGACTCTCGACCATCTATGGAGAACGTGGACGATAGATAGTCGTGGATATTGCCTACATTCGTGATAGTGGATGCATATGGATTTGTGAAGTCAGAGGATTGACGTGGGGGGTGTAAAGCTACCTGAGCTGGTAGAAGATGCGGTAAATGCGGGTTTTGCATGTAGTGATCGTGTTGATTTTTAATCAGTCTCATAGCAGCCAGCAGTCGATCTTTGGGGGAACCACTCGCTGGGATTTCATTGCGAAGAACTTGAACTGGAACCAATATTAGTCCAGCGACAAAATGCGATGGGCCGTTATGGGGTGGCACCAAAAACTTGTCTTGAGATATCCTGCGAAATCGTATGATATTAGTCCACCCCTTCGATCGACTAATTTTGATCTACGACGTACACCATAGGGTCAAAAGTGAAGTGAGAATCAGCTGACTCATCATTGCGAAGAGGATTCCCCGCAAAAACGGCTAAAGCAAGAGCAGCATCGAAGAGATGCGATAAACTGAAGCCATGCGATTTTGCTGCTTCCGCGAGTCGAGAGCTAGCATGTGGATCCAGGTTGTCATGCACCCTGATCACATCTCCTGGGGTTTTGACGGCTTCTCTGGATGGATGAAGACTAAGAGTAGGCTAAAAGAAGGTTGTGTCAGCCTATGAATAAGGAGGGTGTATGACTGGAGCTCACAGTCGGGTTCGCATAAATTTTTAGAGTCTCCTGGAGCAAGTTGGACCCACTTGGTTCCCAATTTTCACGAAGTCCACCAGTAGCAGTAATGGGTCCAGCTGGTAGACGTTCCCATTCTGATCCCCACGAGAGAGATTCAACAGGTTGAGCAGGCGGATTTACAATAAACTTTAACATAAGATTCAAAACTCTGAGAGTAGGCCGTGCGTCCATGATCGAATGAGTCCCGTGCATGAAGATCGCGCTTTCCCCTTCGTTATTTACAAAGAGATAAAGATGAATATATTGCTCGTGGCCATCAGAGTGCACGTAGGGAAGCCGACGATTGTTCAACTCTTTGACGACCTTCTCTGGGTCAAATGGGCCACGACGAACAGTTAAAGTGTCGGCGGCCCAAGTATGAAGAACTGAACTTGCTATTAATGGGGAGTATACCCACGATGCTTGAGGTGATTCGGGGTCGCCACGCGCGATTGTGCAAGCAATGATCGGTGCTGTAAACCTGTGTGCTGGGGATGTGCATCTGCATGTAGAAAAAAGATTAACATCTGATCACTAACCTGATCCGTGCGAGACTCTCCCTCGTCCTTGATTCAAGCTGTTGGTCAGACAAGCTTGTTTTGAACATTATTCCTGTACAACATTCGCCCAGGCTATAAAGCCGTAACATGAAACCACGATGACCAGAAGTCGAGGCATCACCTACCCATTGCTGTATAGATGAGCAAGGTCTTGTAAGATCTCAGAGCCAAGCAGTGGCCTGATATTTTTGGATGATCAGTTCACTGGAAGAACGCTGTATGATCAATGGGACTTGCCTGGTATACTTTGACGGACTGCCGACTGCAGTCCAAGAGGGTTCACTTGAAATCGGGTGGGGCATTTTACTGAGAAAGATAACAAACGATCACCAAGTTGAGTGGATCTACTTGAACGCCGTCTATTCCATGTCTCTATTTCAGGAATTCGGTGTTAATGTATTGCTCATCATCGATCCCCATCATCCCAGACTGGGCGTCTTCATGTTGCCTGTTGAATCAAACTCTACCATTTAACTGCGACCTGGATCAGAATAGTGCTACCTGATTGCGGGCCTGACAAGAAAGACGGCACCAAAAGAAGTGAAGTCACATAGATCCGATACCAGTGCACGGCAGTGTCCCTCTGCTATAAGTGAATGAACTACATTCCAATAGACCAATAGACCTACGAGCTGACTTCAGCGGAGTACTATATTTTAAGAGGTGTGTGGTTATTTACCGGATGGAACAGGGTCTGGGACGGTCTGGGTCACCCAAAGGACGCCACAGTCACTACTTAGCCAAATAACCTAGTCTCCTTTGTGTATACCATTTTGAAACCCAGATTAATATCCGCCTTGCTCACGTTCTGAGTTCTGAGAAGCGAGTTAATTTCGGAAGTAAAACGCCGCTGGGTTTCAAGAATATCTGCCTCGAGTCTCGACGAAGGAAACAATGGAAAGGACACTCACGCTGGGTCACTTAATCCCACACTGACACGCCCCCATCATGATGGTGATGCATTCATGACGGGTATTCCCTATTACTGATTCCCCATTGCCGATGAAGATGGCTATGAGATCAGCTAATCAATCGTACTTCTGGTCACCGTTCACTGCCAGGCAGTGCCAGCCCATCCCGATAAGAGTCCCATACAATCAGGGCATCGTCTCGGGAGAAAACTTATTCAACACGCTGCGTAGGTCGAAAAGAAGAAGGATGCATATAGTTTCTGAGTTGAAAATGGATATGGACCCTGGTCGGTTTGGTGACACTGTCATACAGAAAACAGCGCTGAAAAATCACGAGGACCCAGCGCTATATATGCCACCTATTGACGTCTCGGTGACATTGCCTTCTTTCCTCTCTCGCAGTTGCACATCGTGACTTAACGTACACGAGGCTTCGGACTGCTAGTGGTGCGTTCGCTCGACTCCTCTCCCACTGTTATCGTCACCCTCAACTGCTCTTCTGACACAGTCAATATGGCCAGTAATGTGGGTTTAAATCCGGAGGTCCTGACATATCTACAAGATACTGCTATTGTTCACTATTGTGCAGGTGCGTCTGTTACACCGAGTCCTCATGCACTTAATAAATATCAAAATGTCTATGCCAGTTGCTGGAGCAGTGCTCTATGTCTACGATTTCAGCGAGTCAAATCATATATAAGTACTAAAAATATACTCAACCTTTCTCCTCAGTTATAACGTTTGGAGACGAGGTAAGTGCTACCATATCTCTCGATCGCACCAGTCTTGTCGTTTTACTCACTTTTGAAATCTAGGTTGAAATCTTTTGGGTACGCAGTTACACTGCGCTGCAAACCAATCTGACCTTACATGTACAAATGATCACAGAGTTCCAGATGGACGCTCCTCAAATTCCTCTTTTTTACAGTACGGATTTTTTCAATTCGTAACTCCACAATCAAAAGGTAACATTGCATCTAGACTCGTTATCTAGCCCTTATCGCCACGGTCTCTATGTCAATTCGTGAGTGGTCACCGTCCCAAGTGAGGGAGGGATATTGTAATAATTGCGTGGACAGTCGCTGTATATCCTAATCCGACACCAGCAATGTAAGCCTTACATTGAACGGCTTAGATGTAAATTTAGTCGAAACTGACGCCTACTGTATTTGATAGGTGTAATACCTATATCCAAAATTTCAGGTTATACTCGTTAACTCGATGATTTTTTTGCCTCAGGTTTTACATTTACCAACTATTCATTTGTCAGTACGTGCGATCATGCAAGTACTTTTTCGGATAGAATGATATTAACCCCATGCTAGCCCTCGTAGTGGTTTCCCTCGTTGAAGGTCAGGAGACTAAACAAATTATGTGATATAGCTGAATCGAATACTTTCACTAGTTATTCTTCTCATCCGTCTATTCGCTCTTTATGATCAAGGTAAGCATGTCACGGCCTACGCCATACAAATTGGTGCAAACTCACCGTTGATCTAGCCAAACAAATAAAAGTTCCAGTGATAGCCCTATTTATCGTGGTAGTGGCTAGCTCATTCGGTATGGCAGTAAAAGAGGCTTTGTATGATCATGGTAACTACCTTCATCGTCAGATAAGAACTTGCTTACCTACTTTCTGTGCAGCTGCACTAGTGCACGCAGGTCCATCCTCGCTGTACGGCGGATGTACTGGCGGTGTTCCAAACTGGTTTTTTATCTTTTGGTAAGCTGCCATCAACATGGTATTGTGTCATTATCCATTAAAATGACGTCTTCGCAGGACACCGTTTATGGTATTTGACACTGTTCTAGTCTTGCTCGTAGCATGTAAATCGTTTCAACATTATCATCAAGTTCCCAATAAACAGTGGTTCGGCGCGCGTCTGGTCGCGGTTCTGGCGCGAGATTCGTTTGTCTTCTTTCTTGTGTACGCACCCGATTTCTACTTCTACTTGTGTTGGAGGTGAACTGAAATGTTATGGGTTTCACAGCAACTTGATGATATATCTGTTCAATACGATGACGTGGAAGCTAGCCCCGGCAGGCCTGTCAGAGATGGCTTCCTTCTGGTGGCTAGCCATACCGCCAATCTCAGCCACTCGTCTACTCCTTAACCTGCGACAAGTTTACACCCAGGACCGCGAAATTGAGATTGAGCTATTGAGATCCCGTAATTCAAGAATACGGTATCTACGTTAACCTGAATCTCTCTATGAGTGGCAGTGCGCTACTTGTACTTATCTCATTACTGTCGCTGAGCAGGTGGCGGCGTCGGTATATGTGTTGGTAATTACTCTCTACTGTAATATGTTCCAAATGGTGGTATCACCTACTGGGTCTTATGTGAAGAATTCATATAAACCGATTGATAAAAACTCTTGGTATAATTATTCATTTGCAGCTATTAAACTAGACTTGGCGTTACAGACCAGTTGTAATCAAGCTCTCAAGAGTGTAACTTGAGGCTCCTAGTCTGTACTAGTAGAAACACGAACATACCTTGCGGTCCTAAACTTTTCAGGATCATCATTCACTACTTATGTTCCTATTCGGCCCACAACATTTAGAACAACAAGGACAAGGACTAAACTGGAAGAAGGAACTAAATGAGGTCCGGGTTGATGCGAAGTTGTGGCAATAACTGGTTGTGCCTTGGTATGCCATTTTTGACTCAGTATTCCCAAGGACCTCCCACTGCGTACCATAACCATCATTCCTATACGTAACTGTCATGCTTCCAGGCAAAAGGTACCTTCCGAGCCCATATCAATTTCCTTCATCTTCGACGTCCCACGACGACATATTGTAAAGTAAACATAGAAAGGTCTAAAAACCTTCAGATCCCCAGGAATCAATCAATCTAGTTCTAAGATATCTTATTATGCGTTGCATCTGTCGCCCATTTCATTTTTCAGTATCCCGTGAAACATAATCTCGGATCATCACAACCATACCACCCATCAGTATGTGCACGAGCAGATCAACTGACAGAAAAAAGTGTGTGATCCTCCTGACTTGATAGGTGTCTGGTTCGTGGCTGATGCAACAAGCACTGCCAGTGGGAGAATCTCGGTAGAAAAAAAAAGTCCAAGGTGTGGTAGTTCCTTAAGGCCGTCAATAAGCTAATTCAGTGGTATGCTAACGCCTTCGCGCCATACATAGGCCAGATAACGATATTTGCTTGTTATGATTGGTGTTCAAGTTGTCCCTAAACGGAAATTGAAGTCATCTGGCCGCGATCACGGTGGTTAGCATCAACCTATCGCAGTTCACTGCGATCATTGTTCCTGTCAAATTCATGATAAAACCCACAAGAGTGGATATTCTTTTCCCGAGAACAGCTACTGTCCCATGATATGCTGTGCTCAAAGGCAATGTCGTACGTATGGGGATATCATTTTTTATGGAATTGTTGTCAGGTAAGCTGCTCATGTTATAGCCTCCAATTCAAGCGGAGGATCAGTCTTTTGAATTACAGTGATAATCATCATCAGATGCAGACTGAGATCCTAGGGCGCTCCTGTTTATACTTACCTAGCGGCAGAACATTGCTTGTATAAAAGCTGCTGCGAGTCAGCGTATGAACATAGAATTTTGGGAAATGTCTATTACATCCACGACAACGTTTTCTGCAATCGTTATAGCCGTAGGATTATGGGGAACTCAACAATTTGTACGGGCCAAGGTATGTTTGGTCTGTCTGTACTGACCAACATCTCACCATGATTTATTTCAAAGTTGCCAAAGAATCACCCCCCAATTATCCCCATACCGGTACGTAGGCCCGCTGTTTTCATAGGCGCAATCGATCTTATACAATATCCCAAAGATGGATGACATACTGAAAAACCCTCGAGCCGCATATACAGAAGCGCTTGCAAGACATGGCCCTATTATCGGTGTTTACCGCAAAGGCCTAGTTAGTTCATTTTCCCCTTGACTGGATGGGATTACTAACTTGATTGCAGTTAGAGTTTGTCGTTGATGACAGCTTGACACAGCTGGTACTCACAAATGATCAGCTTTTCAGTTTTGAAGAAGGCACAGCCGCAGTGAGTATCTTGCTTCGTGTGGATCATCGTTGATCTTGATTTGCATACCCATCAGATTCTGAATCTACATTATTTCTTTGCTTTATTCCGAACCATGTTCCGCAACTTGGATGATGTTGTACAAAATATGATCAGATTCCGCATGCAAGGCATGGTCGAACAAAGTGACTAATCTTACTTCTTTTGAAACCTGTCCTATTTAATCTTATCATCTCGAGTTTTACGCAGTATATCCTATCTTCTTGCAAAGAACAGATGATTTGCTTCGCCAGTCGCAAGGTAAACCGATCGTGTTGTTCGATCACACGCTTGGATGTGTAACGGAAGTCATGGTCAAGCTTGTTTTCGGGGAGGTGAGGAAGGTCTAGTTGGTCGCAAAGCTACTGAAAGCTTATGTTTCTAAAAGAGCTATATGGACCAACGCAGACTCGATGTAGCCAGTGCAGTAGCCGAGGACATTGCGCATCTTGCTGGTATTTACCAGAATACATCGTGGTTTGCCAGAACATTTCCTGGCATTTGGTGTCTCTATACATGGTAAGTAAATTCTTGGTCCAAGTATATTCATTATTAGGTCTAAGAAGTTATCATATTCAGGCTCAGGGTTATATTCGTGACGATAATATTTGGGTTTTTGCGGGTCTTTGGGCCACAGCTATGGCAGGAATTGCGTACACAACAATGGGACCCTGACTGTGAAAATAATGATACGATGGATGTATGGCTCTTTTACCCATCTGGTCAATGTACCCTACTAACAAAAAACCTATAGGAGAATATGTTACATTACATAGCTCGAAGACACGCTTCGAAAGACGGAAGTATAAGCATTACATCCACCCTTAAAGTAATGGGTACACTCACAACGTATGTGACCCTCGACTCTTACATCTAATCACGCTGATGTTTTCCAAAGATTACTGTTTGCATCGATACATCAGACGTGCGTATTCACATACACATTTACCATATGCATGTTCTAACTGAGCGTCCAGTGCATCTGTCGGAGTATGGGTCCTCTTCGAACTGGCTATACGCCCAGAATACTTGGTTAAAATAAGAGAAGAGCTGCACAGTATGACGGATCCCATCACAAATAACCTTGATGCTGCAAACGCGAACGAGGCATTGAAGAAATCAATATGGCTAGATTGTTTTATTCGAGAAGTTATGCGCACCAAGGGCGATACACTGAGTTCTTGTAGGATGACGACGCAAGACGTCACCCTCGCAGGGTACACAGTACCCAAAGGTCTGTAATGACATTACTTGTACGCAGTGCTGGGATTTATGGAACGTTTTTTTTTTGCTTTTGAATCGATAGGTAACTTGGTGTTCCCTTTGACCTCGTTGAGTCACGAGAACCCCGTATATCATGGCCCTGACGCACACGTCTTCCGCCCGGAGCGATGGCACGGTCAGGAAACCAGCCTGGCTGTGACAGGTAGTATATCATACCATCCATTCGGGCTCGGTCGTTGGGCATGTCCAGGGCGTGTTCTAGCTGTGGCTGGTACGTGTATTCACATTGATTTGGGCTTCACGTTTTATCTATCTTCCAGAGATGAAAATGATAGTTTGGTCTATCGTTAGCAAAGCTACACCACGCCTAAAAGATAACACATATCAAGTCGTTGACCCACTTAACGTCACTTCAGTCCCTCCTGTTGGAGAGTTGATATTGGAGCCGTTTTCCTTTTGAAACTGGATTTCACCTTTATTCACATTTATATTTATATACAATTGACGCGCAGCCGTAAACTACCTGTATGAACTTACCTATAGACGTCTTTTCCAGAGCGATTTTATGTTACAAGTTTGACGCACCCTAGATGGGATAAGTGTCCTTTTATTCGTTATGATACATATCAATACACAACAGTGAGATACTTATTTACATTCATTGACGCCCTTCCGGAGACCATGCAGGATTGTTGACCTCAATGCCGCCCACACCACCCTCAAATACACCATCAACTGTTAGCGCGACTGTGGGCGAGATGGCAGTAGGCTCCATAGCCCATAGAGCTATCGCAACCGTGCTGAGACGAGCATGAATATTTTGAATCACGTGAAAACATTTCGAAGCTTACTTTGGCCCACTGTAGTTTAAGATACCTTGATGAACAGGGAACTTGTATTGTGGACTGTGGACCGAATCAGACAAAGGTGAAATCGAGCCAGGAAGATTTGACATACCCCAGATTCGCCACTCGCTTACCCATCATCCAACCATTAACATATAATTGGACCCGGTACGGCTGCGAAGACTGGTCAAATGTGAATGACATGGGCGCGTCATAGTATTCAGGAATTTGGAGATCAAACGTAGTGACAAAGAAGCCGACTCCAGCAGCTGAGCCTGGCAGTCCCTCTGTTATGTCTCGCGATTCCCAAATTGACGTATCAAAACCAGGAAGATGCCATCCGAGCCGCTCGCCATACAAGCCTCCTTCGTTAAGAACACCTCGCACTTTATCAGGATAACTGCTATGCATGAGGAAACATGATAGCTCGCAGAACAACAACAACGTACTTCGTATATCCACCAATTTTGCCCTGTACTTTCCATTCTCCGAAATCACCAGTGTTCAGCTGGAAACCGCGAACACCACGAGGTGATTTTTCCTCGTCAATTTCAGCTAATGTTTATCATCAAACTATGAACGTCAGTTGAAGGTTTGCGACTCACATCCAGATTCATCAAGACCCATGTTATCCTTTGGAACACAAACATAAAGTTCGTCTGTTGAAGACAGATGAATATGGGTGCTTACCTGAAGAATCGTTATCACATTGTCCTGGCCGTAATTCAAAGAGCCTGAAGGGAAGTAGAATTTCTCATCCGTTTCGTCGACAATGTTTGCATTGTTCGTTGAGCTTTGCAATAAATTCAGATCAATCAATAAGCGCAAGCCAGATTACCTACTTTCCATACGATGTGTTCAAAAAGACATCGTTTACCCATACGCTGGCGGCGAACGCTTTGATAGCAAGCCTTCGTCAATAGGTTATCAGATTGCAAGATTAGGCAAATACCTTCGCCTCCGTTAATAGAAAGGTTCACAGACTTGGTATTTTCAGTCGCATTGAAATGACCGTGCCATAACACAATGTTTTCGCAGCTGAGAAAAGTAAGTCAAGTAACAAAGGAACAACTGATCAGACACGTACTATTCATAGTCACAGCCGTACAATACCCTCCCATCACCATAATACGGCTTGAACGGGATGTTCGTTGTTGTATGGTTGGCAAGGGTCCAGCTGGCATCAGAGAAGTTACTCTGTATTTCTGGAAGGCTGTTGGCATACTTCCAATTGCTCAGTGTTGGCACTGGAATTGACGAGATGCCGGACGCGGGTTGAATCTGTGCTACGAACCCTCCTTGAGTGGTTAAGTTGCTTGTGGCTGCGACATCAGCAGAAATATCCATGCCATTCCATGTTATCGAGGTAACGGTCTCGGGAGCAATGACAGTCAACCTGACACTATCATTCAAATCTCCTCGTAGATTGAGAGTAGATCCCGTAATAGTCGCGTTGCGAACAAGATAAGGACCTCCCACTAGAATAGATGTGTTTGTACCAAACTGCCAGTAGTTGGAAAAAGTAGCAGCGTCGCCTGATGTTGCATTTGATGGAATCTCAGGAGACCAGAACGTCCCGGCAGTATCCGCATCGCTGTACAGAATAAGTTGTTCACTGGAATCCCACACTGTAACGAGGCCTTCTATTCCTGAGAGGAAGCTAATGATAGTTCCCTGTCCAGTAGACAAGTGAGACGATATGTGTGGAGTATCTGCCTGTAGCCGAGGGGTGCCCGTGAGGACAAGGGAGACTTCATGCTCTTGAGTGGAATCTCCATAAAGATACAAGACATCTCGACCTCCAATCTGTCCTGCATACAGAACCTGTGCCGTCGAATATAGGACGTTTGAGGAACCGAAAGAATAATCAGTGACTATGAGTTTGGACTGACGACCCCCAAGGGTAATCTCTGGCACGACCTGTGGGATCTCAAGGTTTCCAGCAGAAGTGGTCACATTAAGCTTGAAGGTAGTTATGCCCCTGGGAATAACCGGTTAGGCGAGTACTACATTACTAGAGTAAGGGGACTAACGTCGAAGTAGAGTCGTTTTGCCTCGCAATATAGAACGAAGTCGAGGTGTCAGGGTTGCGCAGAAGCGTCACGAATGCAGAAGAGTTTGATACTATCACTGCGCTAGTACTGCTATTCCCGATCCAACTCGTTTTATAGAACTCAGGTGAGCTTCGAAGGAACAGTCCTTCACGCTTGAGTTCTGGGTACTTTGTGGTTAATTCCCTATTCTCGGCGATTGCGCTACCATAATCATACGATGCTATGCATGCAATATCAGAGAGAGAGATCCAATACTTGAATAAGCTTACTGTATACTCCAGGGAAAGGGAGACCACCCCACGACGTTCCACTGCACCCATTAAGTAAAAATAAATAATAAAATAGTTTTATTAAGGAGAACCCGTACCCGTAAAGCATGTAATAGTTAATCAATTTCGCATTGGATGCCCAAAGATTAAGGTTGAAGACATTTTCAAAGTCTGCACCCGTAAGTACACGACACTGATCGTAGCCTAGACAAACATCCCTTCAGCAGTTGATTAAAATCGTTAGAATTTACTAACCTGGTGCCGTAGGTCCCCAAGCATCGAAGGAACCGCCTTGAAACTATGAGTGCCTGGATCAAAAGATGTACAATCATCAATATGAAAAGTTTGTGACGAACCTCGGGGAAATACCAGGGCTCGCTGGGATCAACGGCTACAAGTGGAGTTAGAGCAAGACAGACCAGAGCATTGAATAGATACTCACACTCGTGATAGCTGTAATAATTGGTAACTACTGGACTCCAAACAGTTGGATTAGAACAGTCAAACCCTTGGGGATACGAGTCCAAGCTATAGGCCATGCATAAACTAAGTTTACCAAGGTACTGACTTAAAACCAATGCCTTACCCATAGATATCTACTGCACCCTGCAAATCATTAGGTTAGATCCAGATAAGTCTGCAGTTTCCATACCGTTCCATTGACCCAGTCTCGACCTTCTCCAGGATCATTTGCAGTCAATGGGACAACAATACTAGAATTGTGGAAGACCTCTTCAAGCTCCGCAAAGTACTCAGCGTGTCCGTATCCACTCTGAGAATACTCATTGTCTAAAGGTGGTCATTAGAATATTCGACTATATGCGCGTCGTGATTTATAATGAACAAACGCACCGACTTGGACAGCTAATCAAACCGAAGAAGGGTATCATTAACGTTCTTTTTAACTTTTGTACGCATACATACCAATGACTGGTCCACCTTGAGTGATTTGATATGGAGCAGTTTGATCAATGATGCCTTGGATATAATCTTGCCAAGAAGCTCGCCAGTCAGTAGCATTCGTACGCAATTCACCAGCAACCTGTGATGTTATCCAGTGTGCAATTCCCCCAGCGGTTGACTCCGCGTTGATATACGGGCCTAAAGGTATCATAAGCAGCTACTTTCGTTGAAGCAAATAGCATACGTACCAGGACGCAGAACTATGAATATGCCCGTTTGTTTTGCAGCTTCATATAAAGGCTCCAATGCGCGATAGTCGTTGAAATCAATCACCCCTGGTGAAGGGTTGACCAAAGCCATATGAGTATAGACACTCAGCGCATTAAATCCTGCTGCTTTGGCCTTCTGGAGGATATCGAGCCATAAACCAGGAACAGGTAGCCGGAATGTATGGAACTCTCCAGAACTGTAATATGATTCCTCAGCCCTGCTAACAATGTCATGTAGTACAGCCGACTTACTGAATAAATACCCTTTGACCTTTTATAACAAGACTGTATGAATCCCACTCGACCTCTGTAGTACGTCCGTTGCTGGTCAAGTTACCAACACTTGACTCTACCGCGAGTGTTTTGGGCGCCCCATTTACATAGCGGGCGTAGACGTCTGGAACATGTGTGAGAGAAAGAGAGGATGGAGTGATCCAGTTTTTGACTGGAGAAACGATGATGCATAACAGTGACAGAGCAGCAAACGAAACCCATGTAAACCCTCGCGTTTTCTTAGATGCAGGACCCTTGAACGGGCCTGGTAACGAACCATCCGCCATGACTGGTTGAAAGTAGAACGACTGGGGCCCAAATTCTTCCTTTATATCGCCTTCATGCATCTTTATATCGCTTTTAGACCTCTCATAGGGTGTCTTCGATGCTGACGTCTTGAGTCCCATGACCGATCACGCGTGAGCAAGAGATGAGGAGAGCCTTTCGCCGTCGGACCGCCTGTTGGCGAAGCAGTAACTCGTGAGACGGCAGCACTGAAGAAGATCAAAGCAAATGTAAGGGAAAGTAATACAACGGAGGTCCTTGCTATGCTGCTTACGCGACGAATACAACTTTCTGAACTTGGTGCGGAAGCGAAATGCTGGACAAGACAGCGGCCGACGAAGCACACGTTCTTCCATTTTCTCCCACCCGAGCTACGTACAGCTTATAGCAAACCCGACAAGTATACCATCTGCATTTGCGCCCACAACGCCGTCGAACAGATAAAACGGCATTAAAATTGAGCAAAAACCACAAAAGAACATATAGTATGTACAAAAGGAGTACAGATAGTAATACAAGCTCATTTCCACTTCTTCCTATCTCTGGCAAGGTTAGGGTAGCAAGTTTTAAGTTTGCTGTTTCAAGTGATAAGTATGCAGGTCCTGCCTTGGATAAAATGTTTAATAAACCACCGCAAAAATGAATGAGGCAAAACGATGTTGCATCTATTATTGAGAAGCGAAAGCGGAGAGTAAAACAGCGGTTCCAAAGGTAAACCAAGATTTTGTGGAAAGCACAGCGCGGCACTGATATGACCAAGTCAAATATAGAGGACCATGGTTCTACGTCGAGTATTACCAACCATCAGTATAATGTCCCTAATCAAAGAGACGTCAGAAACATCAGACCACCAAAACCACTCGGCCACGTACTGATGCTGATGGTGAGTAGTCTGAATGTACACTGTTGACCTGATATCGTACATGAAATTCTGTAATACATCCATGAGAAAACGTACGCATACCTTCCGGCGACTCTGTGGCGGAGCAGCAGGCATGCGGACAGATCCATGGCGATGTGCTGCTTCGGATACCATTATAAAGGACGTGCTTTTGCCTTCCTCACGATCAGTGCCTCTGCCTCGAATAGCCTTGCGAGTGTTCATCCTGAAGCACAATAATTAACTCAGTGACAAGGGTACAGAATGTGTTTTCACGCACGTCGCCATGAATGATATAGCATACACTAAGGAAGCAACACTGTTAGACTAGGTTTGTAGAGTCAGAAATCGAAATCATCACTGACATTTACTGAGCACGAAGTAGAAACACATGAAGATGAAGTTATCTGTCATGCAATCGTACTTATGCAGTCCTAGTATTAGCAAAGATGGTTATGCTGAAGCACATTTCTAGCTCACCAGGATGAGAGTAACGATACTGCATGCGCTGTATGTCGAGAAACATGAACTTGCGATTCAAAACAAGTTAGGCGTCAAACTCTACCTTGTTAGAACGCCAGTATTGACAGCGTAGATCGTCAAAGTATTAACCAAAGAATCAGAGCTGAAACATGGAGTATATGTTAAGCATAAAAACAACAATCATGAAGGTCATTGAAACATACCCCGAGTAGCCACTTCGCATTCCCTGGAGGTAATAGCATAGCGCAGCCGCAATAGACATGTCGGTAGCCACTCCAAATCCAAGTGCAAGACTACCAACTACCTGCAAGTTATAGTGCATTAGACTATGGCCGTGCTCTATTAGCATTACAGGGGAACGAACGCGAAGGCCAGTGAGGTCAAGTAAAGTAGTTATCTGGAAACTGATAGATATATTTAGCAATAGACAGACAATGCATAAATAAAATATTCACCCTCGAATAGTGTATGCTAACAATGAAATCATTTCAGCTCTCAGATTTCAGGTGTAATACTATGGATACTCACCAATGGCAAGGCCTAGGGTAGAGCCACAAGATCTTAACTTAGTTCAAAACTTTGACCCAGTATTGCATTAACTTACCCATTTGAGCTAAGGTTAACAATACCTGTTTGACGTTAAGTACGATCGATACAGTTGCAAATATCAAAATATCTTACCAGTGAACCAGTTAGGAACCAATTCCGGTAACTAACTGAAAAGGAAATCAGTATCGTTTCGATATAAGGATAAACTCCCTTACATCTCCAGACTCTCAGAGCAAAACACCTGAGCACAGAGTAAGTGTACCATGACAACAAAGTTGGCATGAAGGCTTACACTTTGACGATACATCCGACTAGAGCCTGTAGCAATTTAGTTACACGTGTTACAGAGCACTAACGACTAAGGAGCTTACGCCAAATGCTACTTGCAGCTAAAGGCGTAAAGAAGAGCTTATTGAGAAAAAAACGAGGGTGAAAGGACATTACGTACTACGAGCGTCCTGAAAACAATGTCAGTACAAATATATCACCAAGATATAACTCGTACCATACGGGTTTCGCGGTAAAAAGCACGCTCGGATCAACAAAATTGCTGAATAAACAAAAAAATATAGATGAGTAAAGGTCTGCAGGGCTCATCATTACAACCCACGTTACAAGATAGTAATAGACGCAATGACCGATGAAAGCTTCGTCCGCTGTTTCCAGTATCCTAGATATGCCGTCAAGATACTCAACATATAGTATGTCAAGATTATCGTAAAACACACCAAATGAGAACCACCTGAGGTGGAGACTTCAGTTCAGACAATAATTAAAAAAGTTGTCGTCGAAGTGCTCACAATAGTTTTATAGAAAGCTTTGTCTGACGGGTAACGTCGGTAGTAGGTATAAACTTGGACACTGAATACACCATAGGCTCTATTATGATAGGTTTAGTTTTGTACGCAAGGAAAAATTGAACGTGACAGTACTTACACGGCTGACACTGCGAGCCCAACTAACAATGCTCCTAGAGTGCTATCGAACTTTGTGTTCGGCGGAAGTGTGAAGGGGGTAGTCATGGTTCCCAAGGTAAGAAGAAAGGGTGAAAAAATAAAGAGTGGCGTTCTGCGTTATGCAGTAAGAGTTATTGTTCGTAGACCTTTTGAATAGCCTTGCTGAGCCTTCAAAATACTGGAACTAATGAGTGTCCGAGACGGCGCACGGCACTGGAACTTGAGCGACAGATAACTTGATATATAAAGACCAAAAGAATCAACGCCCAAGGAATGTATAGCAGCTGCGTCCAAAATTGAGAGAGTATCAGAAAGAGAGAGATGTAAACCAGCGCTGCTGGCCACGCCCAAGAATTCCAGGGGATCTATCCGGTTACGGCACGCTGTCATTGTTTTTTAAGGTCACCCAATGGTGATTAGGAACTGGGCCGGTGTGAGTGTATAAGTGATCGAAATTTTTGAGGTCTGCGGTACCTTTAGTGCCGGAACATCGTCAGCTCCTTCGAAACTCATACCCATTTGCGAACACCCACCTGACAGATATAGATCAGAACAATAGAGCGCTATCATACATGACCCGAATTCTAGCGCCACAACCCAAAAGCACAGGATGTTTCCTTGTTCGACTATCCTGAAAAAAATGATTGCTTTGAATAGGACTGATTGCATCGATAAAAACTGTTAATAGGGCCACAGATATAACCGCCAAGTGGTAACTGAGTGGTTGGAGTGCGGCTGGACAAGAGGGCTCCAACCATCAGGTCCAAAATAGGAAATAATACTTCAAAGGGTTTGACGTTTTCACATTCTCAGGAACTCAGGAGACGTAATCATGCGCTCGTGTTGCGAAATGCCCTGAGATGGCGACCAAGATGCTTCCTTACAATGAAATTTTTGAGAAGTCAATCCTCCGTCAACTTGAGATCCGACTGAAGGCATAACCTTTCAACCGGAAACAATTTTCTCAGTGTTCGGTGCCACATTATGAGTATCACTGGGACCCAAACTTACAACGTAAGTCTCGGTGTTCAACACAGATTAATAATGTTACGAAGGGCACGCGGCAAGTAACATAGGTGACTAGCGCTGACTCACAGACCTGGTATGTTGTGAAGGGCCAACTTGGTAACGCCGAAATAAGACCGAATTCAGTGTGATGTGGATGGACGAAATTACTTACGAAGAACCTCAATAATCATTTTCAATTTTGACGAGTACCTCGTCGAGCCTGAGACTTTTGCCTTCATCTTCTTGTACGTCTTCAGGAAAGTCCCTGCCAAATACACTCGGAACCGCCAAACGCGTCAGGCACAGCGCAGTTGAAGTCTGTGCGGTATCTGTCATCAGACCACTGCGAATTCCGCGAATAATATGGGAAGGTGTCAATATGCAAGACTTGGTTTTTCTCCGTCCCTCTAGCAAAGCCCTGGTCATGTCCCACCTGGCGGTATCCAGACCTCTGTGGACAAGAACGGCGACGAAACTCTTGAGTGCAGCTGAAACAAGAGCATAAGGCGCCATTCGGTCCTCCGTGGATTTTCTGGACTCCGAGGAAAGGGTTGTTTGGTCTAGGCTTCTCCGATTACCATGGGGAGCGAATGGTACCGTATGCGTCATGTTCGCAATGCCGCATACCGCCGTAATGAGAGAAGGAGGCACAAGCGATATAATATCGCGTGAGGAATACCTACTTAGTTTTGACCGAGCTGAGTGATGAAGTTCTTCTGGAATGGTTGGGGCGGATGAGGTAGGCACTGGAGGGCGCAGTGCATAATCCAAGGCGCTTCCGAAAACACCTTTGAGATTAAGAAAAGGTGGCTGAGTTGCACAATCTTGAACAATATCGCAGACAAATGCTTGACCAGATGATTCATTTTTGACTGCATATGATGGGTGAAGCCGACACTTGATACCGCAGAGGGAACATATTTCGCTTTGGGCAGACTGAGCGCTATTGACTGTTGACTTCTTGATAACGCGAGCGACGGTCGGATTTTGGGGAACAATTGCAGCTGGGCGAATGAAGTAACCTTCGTCTTCCAACCAGCAATATACGTCACCGGTCGTTAGAGAAACAGCACCTCCCGATGGGAATAACCCGATTTGTTTGTCATACAAGCTATGTAGCGCTCTTGCGCGCCCCCACTATTAAACCAAATTGGCACGCTGATAGAGAAGTGGTGTATATATTTCGCACTGACCTCAATGGCTTTGCGCCGTCCTGGGACAAGCGTAGAGAAGTGTGAGGGGCTGGATGTTAATTTGTAAGGTAGTTGAGAGGGAGGCCGCCCTTTCACATCTATTACTCACGCGAGTGAGAAAGTCAGCGGCACGCTTGGGAAGAACCCACCTTTCATTGTCATGGGAACGCGGGGAAGAAGGGATTTTAAGACAGCAGCATATCCTTTCGCTTGTATTATATCAGATAAAGAATTCCATGAAAATCGCGTACAACACCCACCAGTATCATCCGCTTTGGATGAGGAAGCATTCGGAGGCGTAGCTTCCCTTTTCGTACTTTCTCTCTGTAAAGTCGGTAATTTTAAGTCTGTGCGCACCGGCAATAGCTGGGTATGTCGATCAAGTTCTATATCAAGGACTTGCTCCTCGCCCAACACAGCACTCGTCGACTTAAATGGGTCAAGCTGTAGCATAGATACTGTTAAGGAGTGAAGGCGTCATCGGATATACCGAATGCTTACTTCTACCCAATGCTCCACCTCCATAGAAGCATTTTGCTTCCCCACCCACACGAGCGTAAGACGAGCCAAAAATGGCCTGTCGGATGTACCCATGACAGCAAAAGGGGGTTCAGTGACAACGATAGGAACCGCCAATGACGACGGTGGAGGTTGAGATAAGCAAGTGACAGTCATTTGACATAGAAATGCAGTTATATGCAGACTCTGTAATAAATTGAGATCATATTGCGAAGATGATGACTGAGTACGGACATAGGATGGAGAGGATACACCCAGCATCCAACGATGCGATATATCTTGTGCCACATTAGCACGATCTGCAAGTAAAAACATAGGGGAAGAATGTGAATATCTGCGCTAAGCAAAAGAGGTGTCTTAGTTACTGGTACGTAGCCAAAGGCTATAATCCGTGATAATGACGCGGGCCGTAATATGGAATCGAGTGCCTGGATTCGTATTAGAGTGAACAGGTATGGGAGGCAGCTTTGCATCCGTAGGGGTGTTTACAAGGCTAATAGACTGAGGTTTAGGTTGTGGCGGAGGTGAAGGCTGGGGCTGGGGCTGGTGTTGAGATTGAGGTTGAGGGCATGGTAGGTCTACGACTGTATCCAACTCTTGGCGAGCATTGTTTCGATGTGAATAGGACATACGCCAAGGAACGGTACCAGAATCTTCAGAATCTTTATCCAACGAGGTTATATCTACTGTTTCGTCGTCGTAAACATTGATGCAGCGTCTTTTTGGCGCTCTTCCAAGGAAAGGTGCCAAGGCTGGCGTATCAATATGGTGACCAAGAGTTCTTGATAAGTGAGTACTGGGTGCAGGGTCGCGACTCTGCGGTGTGGAAGTTTGCTCAGTTTCCAAAAGGTCACGTTGCTCAGGGACTATATCCACTATATCCATGTCAGCGCCTACAGCGATTTCAAACAATCTTCTCAAACTCGGTTGACTGACGCCACCAAGTTCAGTCCCTTGAGCGAGTACCCAATCTTGATCTTCTGCTGGTACCAGAACAGCACATTTTTGCATACATTCATCGTGGCTTCCGAAATCTCGTTTATGCCGCAGTCGACAATGGTTCAACAGACCCTGAAGATTGGTAAAGTCGAATCGAGCACAGTCTGGACACACCATTTTGGCGACAACCGGAGGGTCGATCGTCGCATTCCGCACAAAAAGCAGCTTGGTGTTACCGCGATGAGATCGAACAGCACCACGAGGTTTGAGCGTTCTCGAGGGCTGTTGCGGTTGAGGAGGTGCGGCAACTTTCGGGGAGAAGGAGCGAACCCAAGGTTCTAGAGCAGCGAAAGGCAGCTCCCGCTCGAAAAGAAAATTGGAGTGTGTGTCGATAGCGTCCATGGCCTCGAGAGCGACATCTTGGAAGTGACTGCTGGTAGCGCAATCTGTGGCTAACGAGTCAGTGAGTTGAACTCTGTAGCTTTGTACAAAATATTACCAGGTAAATCCTTCTCTAGCGAATCCTGCAATAGGAGAGCCCATGTAATGCGTGACTCAATAGTAGCAGCTAGCCTCTGCCTTAGGGAGATCTCTAAGTCAAACTCCTCCGCAAGTAGCTGACGAACGCCACGTTGATCATCTGTAGAGAAGAGAGCATTATATTGAAAATCAAGGTCAAGCCTGAGGTATATCAACCGTCGTACCGTCTATTGACGATTCTGATTCCTCGGTTTGGCATCTTCTCCGTTTCCTAGATATATGCGAGTCCAAATAAGGCTCGCTAGAACATAAATCCAGAGCCATCGTTACTGTAATGGTTTGAGAGACGAAATGAGCCAAATAACGAAAAGCTATGCTATAAACTGAGGTGCCAATGTCGGTCTCCAACGAATCCCATAAATTTCTGTCACTGAAACGCGTTACATAACATCACATAGTCACGTGCGCACTGGCGTCACAGTGTTGTTTTTGACCGCGTTCACTTGCACCTCTATAGTTGTACGAAACTAGGCGAGTCTCAAAAACAAGAGCTGACAGCACTAGAAAATGGGTATCAAAGGCTTGACGGGTCTTATTGCAGAGTACGCTCCAAAAGCAATAACAGTATGTTCAGGATCAGTCTTGAGACTCCTCGCTCATATACCATAATACACAGGAGCATGACATCAAAACACTCTTTAGTCGAAAAGTCGCCATAGACGCGTCCATGTCGATATATCAATTCCTTATAGCTGTACGTCAGAAGGATGGTGAAATGCTCACGAATGATGCTGGAGAAACTACAAGGTATCCATATGCTTAAGTGTTTATCAGAAGTAGAGTATTCATCCATCCACATCTAGTCATCTAATGGGTTTCTTCTACCGTACTATAAGAATAGTAGAAAATGGTATCAAACCGGTATATGTATTTGACGGCAAGCCACCTGAGATGAAGGCTGGAGTGGTGCGTATTTATATCGAGTCATCCCTAGTACTTTTTAAGTGGCTTGAAACAGTTATCCAAACGGTTTGAGAAGAGAGAGGAGGCAAAGGAAGAAGGCGAAGAAGCCAAGGAAATCGGTATCGATTACATGTTCATTCTATTGTTCGTTTGCTCAAGGCGTTTATTTTCACAGGAACTGCAGAGGATATGGACAAGTTTTCACGGAGAACCGTCAAAGTGACGAGAGAACATAATGAAGAATGTCGGAGATTACTGAAGTTGATGGGAATTCCTGTTGTCGTAGTAAGTCAGAGCACTGTTTCCATGTTTACTCCTGTCTTTATAATCGATATTCTCAGGCCCCTTCAGAGGCTGAGGCCCAGTGCGCCGAGCTCGCAAGAGGAGGAAAAGTATACCGTCATGCTATATGTTAAGGGTCCATGCTAAGACATTTTTGCAGGTGTACGCCGCAGGTTCTGAAGATATGGACACCTTAACGTTCTCTGCTCCGATACTTTTGCGCCATCTCACTTTTTCTGAAGCTAGAAAAGCTCCTATAAGTGAAATCAATCTTCAAAGGGCTTTGGAGGGACTCGAAATGGACATGTCACTAGTAAGAATTTTGGAGTTTTTCACGAAAATCTGAATTGAGCCCTCCATGTTGACAGTTCACCGACCTATGTATACTGCTAGGGTGCGATTATCTTGAGCCTATCAAAGGTGTTGGGCCTAAGTCAGCGCTGAAACTCGTACGCGACCATGGTGGGCTTGCTGGTGTAGTCGAACATCTACGAGGAAAGTAAGGAAATCTTTTATTCCAAGCCGCTCCCGAAGTTGATAAAATTTTGTGCGCAGAGCAGCTGAAAAGGCAGAAGCGGGCGAGGATGGAAAGAAGAAGAAAGGTGGTATTCATATCCCGGAAGAGTGGCCATGGGAAGAAGCAAAGAAAATATTTGTGAAACCCGATGTCACCCCAGCAGACGAGGTAGAGGTGGGTTAATTCAATTTCATGTACTGTTAGTGTTTGCTTTGCTGACGGATAAGATATATCTAGCTTGAATGGAAAAACCCGGACATTGATGGCCTGGTACAGTTTTTAGTAACTGAAAAGGGATTCAAGTCAGTAGAATGTATTGCACGTCGTCATCATTCGCTGACCCACTCCACAGTGAGGAACGCGTGCGCAAGGGTGCAGATAAACTACAAAAGTTTCTCAATTCAAAACAACAGGGCCGTTTGGATGGCTTCTTTACAGCCAAGCCGAAAGCGTCGCCGAAGAAAGGAGACACGAAGGGGAAAGATAAAGGCAAGGCAGTAACGAAAGGCACGAAACGGAAGGCAAGCGAATGTCACCCATAATGAAATCCCGTGCTGATGTTCTCCCACACCCACAGGCAGAAGATAAGACCGAAGCTGGAAGCAGCAAGAAGGGTAAAACCAAGAAATGAACTGCCCCTTCTCTTGACTCGATCGATTTCCGCGCAAGGAGTTTCACTAAGTATTATGGACCGATGGTTGCACCTTGTTGGTTGTGGGGATGTTGGCTAACACTGTACCGGATAATCGACCTGTATTTGTTGCAAGTGACTGTATAATCTCATAATATTACATCTCATCATTGGCACCTTTGACATGTTGACACATTCGGAACATTCGGCTATTTCCGGCTTTCGGGTAATGTGACCGAATTCATGCCAGTCCTTTACAGGGATTTTGAATTTGAAGTTGGCCATATCTAATCAGTCTTTGTGACCATTTCGACTTGTTCTCTTGCACGACCGCAGCCAAACGTCCCCCAAAAAATACAGGTTAACCACTCCGGTCTCACGTTTTGTTATAACTCCTTCTTACCTTACCTTTATTCTAGCTTTCTGTAAACTTACTTTACTCATTTTCGTTACACATGGTACCCGTCGGACCATTACCACCCCAGGCCTCGTCTTCGACGCTCTGGGCAACAGGTAAGCAACGTGTTTCTGTTGTCCACATATTCTAACCCACCATACGTTCAATAGCTTCCAAAGAGTGGGTGATTCCAGCTAAGCCTAAGCCTGGACGGAAGCCAAAGAAGGACACCATGCCCGTCGTACCGCAGGTTATAACAGAAGACGAGGTCCGTGCTTTTGCCTCGTTGTTCTAGATATTCTCTGATTCATTGCTACTACAACATTTACAGGATGTCGATAGTAGTGGTAGAAGAGTGCAAAATAGGTTCGTCGCACATGAATGACTATTGCCATGTGCCATGATTTACATTACTTTTCAAATTCAGGGCTGCACAGCGTGCCTTTCGTGAGCGAAAGCAAACGCAGTTGGCTGAATTACAAGCAAGGCTCCAATCGTACGAGCAAGGGGAGATTAAGCGCAATGTCGCTCTACAGAACATCGCCAAAAGACTGAAGGATGAAAACGAGGAACTTCGCAAGGAGAACAGCATGCTGAAGGAAAGAGTAGAAAGGCTGGAGAATGAGCGAGTTAATGGGGTCGAAATGGAGAGGAAAAGATACGGAGATGAAGCAGCGGATCCTTCATCGTGCATTTCACCAGAAACGTCCAGGAAGAGGGCAAAACTCTCTGCAGATCCTCCTACTATCCAACTTTCTGGGGCATCTTACAATTCATACTCATCTACCAGCTCCATGATACCCTCGCCATCTTCCGTGGATTCGGACAACGCACTTTCAGCGATGGCAGTTGAACATCAAACTCAAGATCTCATGCAGCCCATGTTCCAATCTCCATCGCCATCTCTCGTCAACGTACTTGACTTCTCGTCTCATTCTAAACCAGATAATATGGAGCACCAAAGCTCTCTCGACTCGTACAGATGCATGCTTTGTAGCACAGATATGCCCTGTGTGTGTAGAGACATAGCGATTCAATCGGTGCAGAATGGACAAATGGGAATGCCCCATTCCGATCATGTGTCACTCGAAGTCGAGAAGTACCAAAGCCACGTTAACTCTACCATTGCCCAACCCATCCCGATACAGGCCACTATGCATCCCCAAATGTCTATCCTCGAAAATCTGCCCAGCTATCAAGCGCCTGTCCCCATTCGTCGACGCTCAAATCCAAACGGGAATACGCTATTTTCGCTACTCAAGCCCTCCCACTCTCAGACTTCCGCCAAATGTTCTGGTGATCCTGCCAATTGTATGGCCTGTGCCGACGACACATTTGGGAAAGCTTTCTGCTCAGCCATAGGGCAATCTGTGGCATCTAAGATGCCGTGCATAAACTGTCCAGGTCAGGCGGATGATGGCAGTGGGAACTCATCATCCAAGGTTGTAATTGCTGGCTGCTGTGGGGACATCAGCAAATGTGGTTCATGTGGGATCGCACCGATGGCCTCATCGGCACCACAGCGCCTGCCTGGACCAGAGACCATCGCGACGGATGATGCATGGCGCCAACTCAAGTCACACCCAAATGTAGCTTTCACCGACCTATCCCTTTTGGCTGAGGTTGTCGCTCGTAGATCAAGATGCACTGGTCCTCGCGTTACTATCTCACCTGCACCAGGATCAATAACCCCTGAACGTTCGTCTCTACAGGCGGAAGCTTATATGTCGCATTCACCTAGAGAGGCGGAACACAGCGATCAGTCCATCCTGCTGACAGATCCTCACGAACAATACCACCAAAAGCGGAGGTCTTCAGCTGCCTCCTCGCCGCCGCCCAGGCTGGTACCCCAAGAAATTTTAATTGAATGCGGGCGTCGGAGGATGCGGGAGGTACACGCGGAAGGGGTTAGGGAAGCTTTGAGACTCTTGGATTCCAAGTTTGCACATGCAAGACCTTAGGATGATGAGACAATGGATGTTTGTAAGTCATTTGTATATGGATATTCTTCGTCTGTAGGCAGTATTTATTGGACAGTTGTGACATATGTATGGGCAGGTTGTTAGTACACACCTAGCATTAATTTGAAAATACAACTCAAAGTCAGATCCACTTACAGGTGCTTATCTCGCAAATTTTGGATAACATAATTATGTGTCGGTTGCAAGGGTACCTAGCCTTGAGACTGACTCCAACTTCGGTTTCGGTTTTAGGGGTGTGCCACAGAGAAGCACTAGAGTGAGGAACCAGACAGCCAATCCGAATTTTAGACATCGTCAAGTTGAGGAAGTAAACCCAAGTGGCTAATGTCATATATCTATATCCGTTCTTTCGCAAGATGGAGTGGACTTCAAATGAATTAAGCATTATCATTATACCGTGACTGCAACCTATTCATGTTGCTATAGCTGGGTCGTAGTATATCCGTCGCGTCCATCGTCTGCGTCTCGTCATTCCAACACTCTTCCAAGTGTCGAGAGGTACAGCAGAAGGATTAAGCCAACTATCATTTGTATACACCCATCCACCTGATTCAACAAAGGCTAGAAGTCAGACTGGGCTTGGCAACCGACAGGGCGAAACCAATACGCACCATCGTCCGGCCCAACATTGGCAACCCACGTGGCTTCCAAGTCAACCCTCCAATCTTCCGTCTCTATGAACGCCCACCCAGGAGCTAGTGAAAACGTGAGATTGCTGCTGCATGGACTCATAAGTCAGCACTCTGCGCTTCGAAAGAATAAAAAATCATCTGTCGCTCCCACCTGACTTCTCCACTACCGTCCTCCTTCACGCCGCTCCATCCATCCTGGGCACGAGTCCAGGCACTCCTTTCGCTTGATTTCAAGTACGACTTGCCCCAACTTCCTGATACAGCTTCACCATCTGAACTTGCATTCCATCGTTCGTTTTCGAACAGTTCGACTTCTTTGAGCTCGCTTCGCCAGTGACGGTCCTCAAGACGGTCGTCGTCTATTATCCGTAAGACACGTGCACGATGAGACTTATCGTGCAAAAGCGAAACGATAAGTGGAAGGACGCGGTACATCATAAAAGGATGCGTGAATATGAAAGGGCCCAAACCCAGTACCAAAAATGTTGGACGGAGAGGGATGAGAGGCAAAAGCGGGATTGCGAAAAGGAAGGTTGCCAATAAAAACGTCAGAATGAGAGGCGTGTAAGGTGTTGCATGTGTGAGATGAGGGACGAATGGGAGTATAAGGTCGTGTAAGTCCGCACTGTGCAAATTTTGTCATCAGCCAGAACGATCTGAGAGAGATACGACCACTAACACTGCACCCATAAGATTTTGTATTGCTTGTATATTCGCCTGCCAGTCTACAGTACCCTCACCTGCATTTGAGGGGGGAGTTGGCGTTGCGCCACGGTCGTTGGTAGACGACAGTTGTTCTGACGGATATGTTGCAAGTAAGATGCCTAGTAGAATGGCATGTGGAACGAGAAGCACTAGTCGAGGAAAATAGCCTTGAAATCTACAGGTTTAATATAATAGTTAGACCATGCTGAGAGATTGTGACGTACATAAAAAGGCATAAGCAGCCATCCACACCCCTGTTATTTGCCAGCCTTTTCTCCACATTACTATCTCCTCCACGCGATCCTGCACCCAAAATATAGGCCCACTCTTTGATACAAACCGTTTAAAATTTACTGTTGTAATAGGTATCGACAAAGGATCGCGGGTGGAGAGTAATTGAGGTTGACCACGGGGATTGTGAGGAGTAGAGAGAGGTGTACTTGATGGGATTTGTAGTGATGATGAAATTAGAAGCTGCGGGAGCATTGTAAACGCGGATTTAGTGGGCGAAGTTATATTACTAGTAGACCCTGGCAGTGTATCGGAGGATGGTGCTTGCAGTTCGGGATGTGGAAGGGAGGTCATAATTCTTGAAGCGGGGCGAGCACCGTGAATCTCAGCGTCCTTTAAGGAGGATTTGAGACAGACTACGTCTGCAGGTATCTCAACGTAGCCGAAGGTCGCCATTGGAAGCAGCCTTCAAGGAAAATGAGATATGTTGTGCTGCTTTAATGACTAGGCACATAGTAAGAAATCACATGAAACAGTTAGAGATATTTTTGAGGTGCTCATGAGAACCACTCACCCAATGGTCACCTGGCTATATCAGTGTTGGGTAAAAGAGGCTATCTCTGCAAGTGTGTAAAGGGTTTAGATTTGCACACCCTGTAAATTCAATGTCCAATACTGAAACGTTGAGAAGCAATATCACTGACAGTACAGCAAATTTGTATGGTTACAGGTATGTCGTATCGGAGTTTGATTCGTCTCGACCGACTTTGGTGAGACTCGGTTGGCGCCCAATAACGCTTGGACCAGGATATCTTCAACGTGCATTGCTGGCCCCAGAGCCAAAGACTGTAGCTCTGGCTGGAGATACCTGAAAGTCAACTGAAAGCTACCCATATTTCTTGCATATCTTGGCGGGCAACTGTGAAGCTGATGTCGGACACGAGCTCTCTTGCAGAGTCGTCCAAGGATCTCTCAGAAAATAACCTAGTTCCAACTTTGAATAGTCTTATTACCTCCCTTTTTCTTCCATTCGAACTCGAATCGCCCCAAGACCTCACACCATCCTTACTTCTCGCCATCCTCGAGTCCATTCTCGAATCCCGTCTCCCCATCGCTCCATCCATCCGCGAGTCGCGTACCACCCCGGCAAAGATCGAGGCCATGAAGATATTCCTCGGTGTCTTGGAAAGCGATGTTCTGCAGATGGACGTCGGTCTGTCGGACGTTGACCCCAGAAAACTGGCTGCTGGTTCTTGGGACGAGGTAGTGTTTGTGGGCGAGCTTCTTTGCTGGTTGGGGAAGAAGCGCGGGATATTGGTGGCCTCAGATGAAGTAGAAGAAGACTTTTCACAGTCAATGCTCCTTCGCCCTGAACCTAGCGGATTTTCGCATATCACGGATGTGCCTCGACACCCTCGTGTGGCATCACCCTCCACCCGGTCATCTGCTACAAACACCAACCTATCTATGCATTCATCCCATACCACTTCTAATACGAGCGTTGGCCCACCCTCTCATTATAGTTCCACGCAGTCCTTTCTGCTTCCCCCGCGAAGTCCTATTTCGAGCCCTGAGCCACACCAACCGAGGTGCATCCACGAGGTGGAGGATCCATCGTTTTTGTTTCCGTCGGACGAAGAAGACCTCAACTCAGAGCATTCTGACAATGATTTGTCGACCGAGCGCCCTGATATATCGCATGCGAACGCTTCGTTCTGTGATTGTTCTACAACCGAGCCGTTAGGACGCGGCCGTCCTATCCGATATACAGGCTGGATAAACGAAGTTGATGACGATGCAGAGCTCGAAAGCTTCACATCTAGCAACGACGCTGATCATGATCACACGCCAAGTAAGAATCACCGCACTCGAGGTTTATACGGCGGGAATGGGCACTCTACTCCCCGTCTGCCTTCAACGACCTCGAGGCGCACCATCACAAAACATACGTCACCAACGGAACATACTCTTGCACTCATGAACGAACGAGCTCGACTTCTTTCCGAGCTAGCGAAATTAAAACAAGCAAAGCGAAGCTGATCGGTTTACACCTTTCTTGATTCAAGTATCGCCTCATACGTTCTTTCATCGTGTCTTTGGTCACTTGTGGTACCCTTGCCTTTACGTGTTATTACAGCGGACAAACCGGAAAGATAACAGCGCGCAGGGTTGCGTTAGTACGCACCGCATGGTTCCAGTCGTGGAGCCTGTGGAATCCACTTTGCCGGCAGATGCATTTTGGACATAGTATGTGACTCCAAGTGATCTCCAACAACGTTTCATCCCATGGTCCAACCTTCTCCGAGTTGCTCATCGCAAAACGATAATCAGAATCTCTTCCATAATTTGGACTGGTCTTTAAATTCATGACCGACATGACCGAAAATCTATTCCGTGCGTTCAAGGGCCCATCGACCTGTCTATCCATTGAATGGGACATCATTCCCGCGCGACGTTTCCGAGAGAAGGTGGCGCTAAAACTCGAATCCGAGTATCCCTTGAATGTTTCATGGAGAAGGTTGATTGGATCAGCCCGAAGAAAGGTGAACGGGAAAAGCTTGGAAAGCGCATTGCGTCGAGATATGTCCGTCAATATGAGCCCGTGATTAGCTAGAGGGATGGACTGAAGATGATCTATCACTAGTGAAGTCAAGCAAGGCCACCGAAAATCTCCCGAGTGATACTCGCACATTATGTTTTTCCAATGGATCGTATCAATGGAGATCTGAGCGGCGGGGCAATCACCGTGATTTGGTGTGTCCAAAAGAATGTATACATTGAATAAGGCAGCTCAAGGGTTCGAGAAAGAGAGATGATACAGGACTAGAAATATCTCGGCGGCCTCCAAGTCAGTGATATGCCATCGTAGTCACATCATCAGTTATTCGATTTGAAGCTTGAAGCTTGAAGGCCGGTAACGTTTTCAAATATCTGAAGAAGGCGCTATGAATAGATAGAGAAGTGCCCAGTTGAAATGGGGAAGCAGGAAGATATGATTTTGCTATAACGATCGTTACGACGTCACACATCCCCTACAGAGCATCCGTCTGGCTAGAAATCCTGTAGACCCGATTTTCTGAGCTCTTCAGTGTCGTATGCAGTGGTTCTTGTACACCTTCCTTATTGGGCGACCTTCTCCTCAAGCCAATATATTTGCATATACTTTGACGGTATAAATAATAATTTTCGGCGCTATACCACGCTTGTGCAACTATTGTGTGACGGAGCGAGCACCTTTCTCAGAAAATGCAGTGTATACAAGTGCTACTACGCACAATGTGTACTTCAGAGTGGACAGCTTCCGTGAATGATGTATATAGAAGATGTCCTGAGAAACAACGCGGAAACGGCTTGGGTCATGGTCTGAGATCTGAGAACCCTAAATAGCAGCAACAACTGCGCATATCGTTTCCAGCAAGAAGTGTGACAAAGAGGGGCAGAACAATTCAGGCGCGGAATCGATAATGTGAAGTCGACACGGGGAAGAATCCACGAGGCCGCTGCCGAGACAAGGCACGTTACATCCATACCAATGCTGCAATGTGAGAATGAGAAGACTGTGCTTCTTAGAGGAGCGGCCCGCTGTGTGATGAGGGTCCGGGGCATACATAAACCTAAAGAACGAAGTTGAGGTGGTTCTGCGCCACAAGTCGCACAGACAAGGCGATAAGCCGTTGAGCGCTTCACACGTACTATATAGTTTTTTCTTTGAAAGAAACGGGCAGCGGGGGATGGGAGGGATAACGATGCAGCGCGTAAGGTGGCGTTTTCCTAGGCTGTAGTACCCGTGCTGTGGGCTGATGCGCTGGCCATCGTGTGTAAAGCATATTAGCCGCTTTTGTCCCGAGCCTCGGAGAGTGATTCAATTCGTGCGGTAATGCCTCGAGAGATAATTATGAGAATGTCGGGGTAACCGCAGCCTTTAGCCTATTAGAAGTGACGTATAAGACCGTTGGTATGCCCGAGGCCAGTGTTTTCGGGCCCAGGTTTATGGTCGGCGTCGATTGATTGCTATAGATCTTAACAATGGCATCGTGTTTGGAACCGGTCAATTGGTAGCGATGGCCTTCTACCAACGCAGAAATAGTGGACCCTTGGAGTGAACAAGACATCATATTCTTAGGAGCTGTAGGTATGGAGGAGGGAGAGTTTTTCCTATCGAGCAAGGGCTGTGACCTCGAAATCGAATAAACTCCGGGTATTGCAGAAGGATAATAAGCTGTCTTTACGATGGACCAAGAAATCAGATTTTCCTTCGCAAATTCCAAGTTAGAATTCCTGAGTTTATTGAGACGAGATGCCGATGAGAACAGTGCCGGGCCGTTGGAATATGAAGAGTATACAGCGATTACAAATTTATAATGTCGATAGCCAAGGCCTTAGCGTGGTAGGCGCTTGCGCAATTCACTTCGTTGTTGCCAGAGTACTGATAGAGGCCGAGAAGGGTCGCAGTGCGCTGAACGCGTTGGAGTTTCGCAAATTGTATCAGCAGTAGAGTAATGTGAAAGAACACCAAGGTCGGCGCATACCTATTATTTTTTCGAGTTTTCACTGTTTCTATTAGTGAGATGTGTGGTAATAGATGCGGGTTCAGGCACAGCAGTCGAGCTGGTCACAAAGTCAATTATTCCACAGTGATTTGTATGTTTGTCTTGCTGTGCCACGGTGGTAATCTCCACGGACCTTCCGACTGCAAGAAGAAGATCATCCAAGCATTCCAGGTAAACATGTCGTGTAACACAGCTACTACGAAATGGAGAACAGCGGTCTGCTATGAATTGGCTATTTCTTGAAGCGATGGTTGTCCTTTAATGATGTTTGTTAAGGATCTTCTGGGAGTGCTGGACGTGTTGCGAGTAAAGTATCATATCCACAAAGCTTTTTGTACTAATGTGGTAAGCGTTGGTGCGTATTTTAAAATATTCGGACCAGATTTATATTCAATTTTCCTTATCAGATTTCTCACAGTTTTTACGTCAAGCTCCATTCCCTCTCATTTGCTACCATGTCGCCGTTGTGCAGGATACCGCAGCGGTTTCGCATTGGACTAGAAGGCGCTCAGGTTGCACCGGTCGAATAATAAGCTACCACACTAGCTTGTTTCTGATGTTCTTTTTCACGGAGGGACATGAAAAAATATATTAGCGGCGGATCATATGACCCAAAGCTTTCCCTATCTGTGACCAGGGCACGTTTCAGGACTCAATGAGGAGATTTTAGCTCTGCATGAGAGACAATCGCACAAGGGTGAGTTTATCTGGAAATTACGGGTTCACTTATATAGATCTACCAAGGCTTGCAATCACGATTGATACGTCCGTTCTTCTCATATCATCTTCAATCGTTAGCATATACGATTTACCTACTGTCATCTATGTCACAATCATCAGAAGACCATCATTTTCTGTCCTTGCTAAAGCCAGTACTCCTAGATAAACGTGAGGCTCTTATCTTTAGGCCTTATATCGGATCGTGTCCCGGTTTCCAATGGGGAACAGTCACTTTTGGCGAGTTCGATCACCATCTAGCTGCCAGCGCGAAACATTGGGGCGAGGCTCTCGAAAATAGCGGGTTTAAGTCTCGCGATATCATTGGTGTATGGTGTGTCTAGATCGTGATATCTGGCTCGTGGAATATCTCAACGTTTGCAGGCTGACAGGAAGCAAATATGAAGATCTCATCAATATTCTCGGTATCTGTGCTGCTGGTTATGTGCCACAACTATTCAGTGTAGCATTTACTCCTCATATTATTCGAGATCTCGTTTCTCGTAGTGGCGCCAAAGGTCTTGTTTACGATTCGGCATTTACTTCTCAAGTCAACTCTTCCTCTTCTTCTGTACCGTTGTTTCCTTCTGTGCCTGTTGGAGTACTCGAGAATAACTCTCATTTCGGGAGAACTCTTGGGACATTACCCTCAGTAGTTGAGAAGGATACGGCATTCGTTGTTCATTCTTCCGGTACAACATCTGGTACACCCAAAATCATTCCCGCCAATCACCTTTGGGTTAAAACCTTTATTCAATCTAAATGGGCGTCATCTCTAGAACAAGGCACTTTCGAAGGTCAGACCGTGGTTAACAGCATAGGTAGTCTCGCGCATGTGGGTTCACTCTGTGGTAAGCACGTCAACAATGGTAACTTGGTTCAGCAAATGAAATTAGCCTCAGCTTTTCTCGGCGCCGCGTACTGTGGTTCCTGCACTGTCCAATCCTCGGCACTGGACGCATCGACCTCTGAGCTTCTCGGTATGATCAGCACTTGTGGCTTGAATCGCGTTGCCCTATATGCCACATTCTTGTCCACACATATTAGAGCCGCACGAACGAACCCTGAAGTTTTGCACGCTTTAAAATGTATGCGTCAAATCCTTCATACTGGAGTAGCACTGAATCGAGAAGACGAGGAATGGGCGCTGCACCATGCACTGCCTCTTACTGTGAGCAAGCTGGCTTGATCATGAGAAACTTCTGCTGATCGGTAATTGCGCATGGAAGACGATGTATGGAACATCAGAGACTTGTAAGTACTACGTGATCATATCAATTTTAACTTCACAACCCATTTCGATCTGCCCTAGCTCCTCTTCTCACATCTCTCCTGGGTAACGACCCGTCGGACCGCTTGCTGCGCCCCGTGCATGGAGCTTCCGGTCAGCTAATCCCGGCGATTCCGTCCAGCGAAGATGGCTCACGACCCGCGATGTTCGAGATGGTCGTTCCATCTGATGCACCGGATAGCCCGCACAGTTCGTTCTTCAGTGCTGACGGCTTCTATCACACTGGTGACCTTTTCGAAGAAGTCGAGAAGGGATCCTTCGTCTTCCGCGGGCGATCGAACGACTGGATCAAAACTGTCCGAGGCTTCTGCGATACTAAGTTGAGGATGTCTGTTCTGCCACCTGGACGAGGTTACTTACTTATTTAGGTCAATGGAAGACATCGTTCGCAAAGCATGCGGCGATCTGATAAAGGATGTTGTCGTCGTCGGCCTAAATCGCCCTCGTCCTGTACTGATGGTCGAGATTTCGGATAAGACCTTGAGCGGAATGGAAAGGCACGAGATAGCGGAAGAAATAATTGCTCGATTGGCGCCTCACAACGAGCGCCTCTTCACGCATGAACGTATTGACGATCCAAAGCGAATTCTCGTTCTGGAAGAGGGAAATCTACCTAGAACCAAGGTATGGTGAATCAATGTTCTTCCATTCGCTCAAATGATTCATATGTCACTCTCGTCCAGGAGAAAGGCAACATCAGGTATAGTTTTTCCTTGCTATGAAATGTTTAGCAGTGATGATATGTGACTGATGGCTAACGTGCAGACGTAATGCGACAGAGGAGAAGTACGCAAAAGATGTTGATGCTATATTCGCATGAATCTCGCGTTCATGTGCCATCCATCTGTATCAGTGATATCATTCAAAATCTCTGTTCCCATAGGCTGCCCGACTATTCGGACTTTCGCGTGAACGCCGAAATTTACTTCGTCGGCCGTGTTTGTATACGGAAGCACTATCAAGAAGCTTCCTAGACAATGTGGTCCATCGTAAGACCATGAGTAGCTTGAAGGGCGTGGCTCGAACCATATCTCCAAATGTAATTCCTTGCTCAGGCATGAAATTCTTCTCATCATCAAGCAAGCAATGTTAGGTGCTAGGATTGGAGTTCTATTCTCATAACGCGGCATTAAGAGGCAAGCATCTCATTTGCATTGCATATTAATAGCATTAGCAAAAGAAAAAGCGAAAGCAAAAAAAAGGTTTGCTACAATGACAAGACCTGCTTGCATACGCTATCTATACAGTAGTTGTAATAAATGTAGAACGTGAGTCTTCACTTGAAAATTATACTGTCCACCAAATGTTAACATGCTTCCCTAGAATGTGACGGTAACCGAAGTAGATAATGATAATTAGCTCGGTCGTATTATCGAAGAATTATTGGCTGTGGGATGGAGGATAAGAGCGGGAAAATTTCAGTAATAAATAATATGGTAAATCGTTGAAATCACTCACCCCGGGCGCATGCGCTCTGACGCAAAGAGTTCGGGACACAAATAAATTGAAACTTGGCTCCCCGTTTTTCTCGCAGCAATACCTATGTAGGTTTGGATGCCCGTCCGAACGGACAGATCTCGGTGATTGCTTTCATAAAGAAAAATGATAAATATTTTCCACGGATGTATAGTCCTGTGACTTACAATATGGCTTGTACATCAGACACGTAACGCTCCCCAACAGATACGTTCCCTGTCTCTTTATAATATTGCGCCAGAGCTCTCGCGATGTGCGCATCGCTATCGCAATAATGTTGAACAGGTATGTAGGCTTTCGGCATTGGGGTGGGTCGATCGAGAGTCATTTCGTAATACAAGACGAAACCGCTGGTGAAATGACCTGGATTGCTCGACGTTAGAGGAGTATCTTCATCAATTCCAACGAATAGAAGATTCCACAGGTGTCGAAGAGTAGATAGTGCGGCGTCAATAGATGGATCAGATAGCTGTCCTCCAAGTGTCATGAAGTCGGCAATTGCGTGGTAGTGTGTGGCTTGTGTACGAACATAAACTTTAGCACGATTTATAGAAGGTGCAGTGCAGTCTATGCTAACAATCTCGGGATTTGCCTGAAAATGCTCTGGCAATGTGGACAGATACGATGTCACTGTTGACCAAGGGGTTTCTAAGCCCATGATTTCCATGGCATTGGTAGTCAATTTCGTAGTTGTCAGGTTAGATACTTGACATCGTATATGAGGCAAAAAATACGCCTTTCCGACCAGTCCCTTGGAGGTCAAATCAGCACCTGGGAGAACTTGCTCAGGACTTGAAACACATCGGACAAAGGAGATAGGCGCACCAAAAGAAAACTGTGACATGTGTTGAGAACCGTGCCGATTAACCGGAGATGAATGAAGCAAGGTATTATAACAAATTTGACACCACGTTGTGTCGAAACCCTCTACTAGCTCAGAACTCGCCAAAGAATTCAGGTATGGGATCCAAGTACTCGGGGAAGTCGGTGTCCCGTCAAAAATTGAGAGGGGTTCTGAAGTGAATCGGACGGTCATCTTGTTTTCTGAATCGATGACCCAGCTAAATTCGATTGGGCTATGGTCGTTACCCATGAACGATGTTGGTTGAAAATCCCCAAAATTTGAAGGACTGGGACCCATGTGAGGGACGATGTAAGTAAAGTAAAAGATGGCGATTTCGCGGTGAAGCCATCGAGGGTAGGAGGAACGCCGGAGCAGCAAAGACAAAATGCGACCGCCTTCCTGTAACCAGAATGAAGCGCTCGGAGTCCGGTCGTCAACAAGTTGCTAACGAGACACTATCAGACCATAGCGAGGGAAATATAGAGAATTTCTCTCACAAGAGCACGCGAGTCAGAATAGGTAAAAGGCTCCTTGTAAGGTGAGCTTGCTATGCCGCCTTGAAGGAACGAGAGTGAGCGGGTGACAGCGTGCATGTCAGAGAAGAACTACGGAGTAGATGGGGGAGCTTAGATCAGGGCCCTAGGTAAATTTATAGGAGGGCCTCGGTTTTGTGATTAGGATCAGTACCGGTAGCAGCGCAGTAATTTGAGATGAAAAAGAGTGGTAATGCCAGCTAGGCACTAAGGGATTCCTATACCGTGCAAGCAGACCGATCAACTGTCGTCTGAAAAAAGGAAAGAGTCAGAGGGAAACAAGTACAGGATAGATAACGAAGGTACATCACATCAAGATTTGTCCAATAAGGAATATTGTCAAGATCCCACATCTCGATGGATGGTGCCAATGGCAATGGATATGCATGGAACTAGGCTCGTTGCCTTCTCAAGCACCCGGAAACATACTTCTAGATGCTCCCGTGGGTAGATTCGTCTGTGAGTGATATTTCTGGAATGGTGATGGCAGGCTCCGATGCTCTGCATGAACAGGCAATCAGCTTATTGCACACTGGTGTTCCGCGACGAAGGAAATTCTTTTCAGCCAGCTGTTCAGCCACTCGCTAGGACCGCCATTCCAGGTCCAGTACACATGTCAGCTGAAAAATAATGTGGCGCTCACAGATTATGCATCGATTATACAGCTTTCCACTCACGACTACGCTTACACCTGCCGTACCACATGCTACAAACCCACCAGCGCTGTACGGCTCAGAGAGAAACCCCTTCTGTATGTGAGCTAATATCCATCGTGGTTAACAGATGAAACTGAAGACTCTGGTGGATACCAAGTGGCGGCTCCCAAGTAATATTCGGATCACGGTCACAGCTTTACATTGGCGTGACAACCTCAAACAGGACGTCACGCCCCTCACTCTACAGCAATGAAATGAAATAGCAAAAGTCGATGCAACTTTTCATTTAAATATCTTTGGGGGAAACAAGCTAACAAATGTCTATTGCAGTGTACTTTGGTTCGTCTTGGAAAATGTCATCGTCTTTAACAGTCCATGGCACAGGCCCCGGCATTTACCCCTTGCACCAAAGTTGGACATCAAGGGAACAGGGGAATGAATATAACGCTGGTTGATCCGTTGAGAATCACCGATGTGTACACATAGTTCCGCCATTTCGCATCTCAGAACAGCCTAAACCACGATCGGACGCTCACAGCACGGGTACCCCAGTCGGCATCTTCAGCACTGTGACTTCTTCAACCATATTTCAATCAATGCAAAGCTTTTCTTAGTTTCTATGTATGGTGCACGCATGCATACCTATTCTGCTAAGCCATTTTCACGCTGGTACATCCTATTCAGTGCTGATAAATATGGAACACAGCGCTACCGTAACTGTTCAGGGTTACTGATATCACGGCGTTCACCACACATTTGGCATTGCTTTATCCTGAAAGACTCTTTCCAGCAGACAGATGCTACGTATTTCCACCAGCTCGCTTCTCAAGTCTGACAATGCACGTCAAAGTCCGTGTCTGCCGCTCCTAGAGCTAAGCGCTTTATATCCTGCGTAGCATATGTAAGAGACTTTTCGTGAAAATTTTCGATGTCATGTGAAAACCGACCCCTCTCATTTCTCGGTTAGTTTGCTGCCTCAGCGTACTCCACACGAACGCACTTCTTTTGTCCCGTGAAAGTTCCCCGCCTTCCTGTGTGATCGTGCAAATTCGAGGTTTCCCAATCATCCTAATAAGTATCGTGGCATCATGGTTACCTTGTGACCAGAACAGCGTAGGAATCTAGTTCCGTTGTGGAGGTACTACTGACTTCCAGAAGACAACATGTGTATCCATGGCCCATACCTTATCTATCGTGTGCGTCAACGCTTGTAATTTGCGAACAGTGAATCTCCCCGACCTGACGAGAAAGCATCTGATAGCGCGAAAACTCGACAGAAATAAGACGCCCCTACTGAAGCAGTCACACCAGGGCCTCCATCAACCCCCAAATGACCGTACCCGAGCGGCATTGATACAAGAGCATACCGATCTCGTTATGGTATCTCTCAAACGGTCAACCATGGCCATAATGTCCTAGTACGCTATCCTTGCGAGCTTACACAACCCAGAACAAATAAAACCAGTACTGCGGCAGTGGAGTAACAGTGAGGATATATCAGACAAGTACAAAAAATCATGTAAGTACGCTAAACCATGATAGACATAATACAAATCGTGCAAGTACGTTAGATCAGTTCCTTGATCTTCCCCGCAATGCTTATATCCTTCACGAGCGCCCCGTCTTTCTCTGTCTCCTCCAAAGTCGGAATGCCCTATAGATCGTTAGCCCAGACACACCATGTTTGGATAGGAGCATGACTAACAGTGACGAAGTCCAAGTCTTTTAAGGGGTGCTAGAATGGCATCCTCAGATCAAATGTTCGCAAACATCCAGTCACCGCAAACACCACGTACCATCTTTGTCTTCTTGAATATCTTAAACCCGAGGAACAAGCCAGCGAAAATAGGTAAATTAATATCTTGACAGCAATAGTTATGATCACTTCCGTGATGTGTAGGCACACTGATGACAGTGACTTACAAGCGGCGACGAAATCTGAAGCGTTAAATGACCAGAACACCGAAATGCCGCTAATGAGAATGAAGAACACAACCCTGACACAAATGTCAATCACCAATCCCTTAATTACGAGAGTCTAGACTGACCAAAAGAGACCCCACATCGCCGCGAAGGGTTGTAGGGGTGACCTATATATTCCCTCCGGATTGATCCCTTGCACGCGAAGACCATGATCTAAGAATGATGAAACATTCAGACAAGACAAGATATACTGCATCAACACTCACAATAACGAAGGTACGTCAAGTTCATGGTGCCCCATCTATCAAAGCATGGATTAGTTATTATTCAAAGATCATGTACGTTGAACGATGTACCCTAAAAGGCCGCCTACAGTAGCTATAGGTTGGTGTAAAAGTTTAAAGCCTATTTCCACATTATAATATACAGGAATTAACTTACACAGGTTGACAAACCAGCTAAAAAAATAATACATATTAGCACCAAACTGCCTAACGGTGATCCAGATCGGGATACTTACTTGAAAACTTCCCCAGCTGCCGATTGAACATTCAGGAAGGATAAGAGGGCGAATGCTCCCTGTATGTATCTAAATTCACAACAGTGTTATTTCGCCATACAGTAAAAACCTTACAGCAGCTAAAATCGCCACCCATGGAGTGCCAGAGGCTGTACACTTCGCAAATATCCTAGGCGCTTGCCTTCGAACTGCCAGGCCGTATAAAATCCTTGAAGCCGCGTATAGCAAGCTGTTTCCTGATGAAAAGGCACTGGATAGCACCACTGCATTGATAACAGATGGTAGAGCTGTGGACCTGATAATCAGTGGGGTAGTCAAATATTTCAAATTTCGGGACAAACTTTGGATCCCGGCGCGGTTAAAGGCCAAGACAAATGGGGACTGACCCGTGGTACTGGCTTTCCTGGAGCATTGGCTGAGCATAGCCTTAGTTAATGAGAGTATTGAAACGCACTGGAACAACGCTGGGTCGTTTGAGGGAACCAGTAAGCCTAGTATAAACACCAATAAGATCTATCATGAATAGACATTAGTCTCCGGAAGGTTTGATCTCTGACGCGAAAGATAGACATACATAAAAGAAGATTATTCGGAAAAGAATGGTGCGCATTGCCATGATGATGTTGCGACGAGGATTGCGAGTTTCTGCGGCTGAACTAAATATAATTTGTCAGAGGGAAGAGAGAAAAAGAGAGCTACCTGGTAGCTTACATAGCGATAAGTTCTACACCTCCCATTGAAAATGCTGCTGGCACAACTGCTACTAGAAGACCAACGAATCGTCCACGATTGCCTGCATCAAGGTCTGCAAAACAGTGAGAATGGGGATGCAACATGCCAACGAAGATCGTACTAACATGATACCATAGGCCCTGGATTGCGCCAGTACTGAGGCATTCCGTGAGCTGAAGACTAGTGTAAACTAAAATCACATGCCTGAAACCCATGTCTTATGGTAAAACAGCTGATTGAGCTGCAGGGCGTGAAAATTACAATATGTACACACCTTTGATGATCGGGCCCACCCCCCGAGGTTACCACTATACCTCCGATGATCTCAAGAGTGATATTATTATGGCAATTCCTTTCCATTTTTCTCAGTCACGACTCACCAAGCCAACCAAGAGCATGACTGCAACATAAATGTAAGTTGCTTGACTTAGGATAGTATTCACACACGCACGTTTCAAGGTTGCAAAGAAAACCTCGGCTATAAACGTAAGCTGTATACCAACACGTTGTGCGTCGAACTGATCACGTACAATGGCCAAACACTCTATGGGTATACCAGTCAATTACATTCGGGGAAATACGAAAGAGGCTCACCGAACACCGAACAGGTTGATCGCGAATAGTAGAATGCATATTACGGCTATGTAGATTGCTGTATGATTCAGCTGCGCAAAAGTCATTAGAATGATTGAAAGATACAACCCCCTTCGCTCACATTGCTATCCCAAAAACCAATCAAGACAGCACAAGCTGTAATTTCGGCAGGCACCGTTATGGCAGCATTCTAAACGCCATTCAGTACAAGCATAAAGCTAAGATGATATCACTCACGTAAAAATAATTCTAAAATATTATGGTACTACATTAGGGGCTCGGAGACGATAGTCGCAGAAAAATCTTACCCATCCTATCTAGCAAAAAAAAAAGGCAAGATAAAACTTAGGAGTTAACTAGGACTTTCTCGAACTCACAGCGAAACCCAAGGCAGGATGAACCCAGCGCGCAGCTTTTGTTCAGACGCTCATAATCAACATAGGTAAATAAATCCAAGTGGATCTCGTACCGTAATGAGGGAATGTCCCAGATATGGGTGCGAAAGCGGTCATTTCTGCCAAGGACGCTAAGGTACTATAGGCATCCAGAGAATATCAGATTTTTTGTCCGGAGTGACATGCAACTGGCGGACTGACGCATAAACAACGGAAGAAACCAGAATATATATCAGAATCATCCCTAATGGCCCAGTAGCAGCCAGAATTTCTCCAAGGCCAAGGAACAGTCCTGTTCCAATGGTGCCTGCAATCTGATCAATAATGACTAGTCAAGATATTGTGAATTATAGTATCAGTGAGTTTTACCGCGATCCTGGAGTGGAAGAGACAATATCAGGCAGAACACAAACTCTGAGCGATAACAAAACAGACATTTGAATATGACCTCTGCCCAGTTTTCTCTGCATTCTATCGATATCCGATTGATGGAAAGGGCCGTTCACCACAATTGCTGGGTCACCTCCATTGATCTGAGCTGCGCGATCCTTTTCCATATACGAACCCGAGCGTGAAGACATTTCCAAGATTTGAGGGACAAGACGGCGTATGAAATGATGATACAACTAGTTGTACAGTGGGGCCAACGATGTCAACAGAACTACGAGACACCGTTATCCTGCAGGTGTCCAGGCCGTCTGGAAAAGAGGCAACTGATTCGTATACGGGACACACCTTCTACTAATTCACGCGGAGCCATTTTGATGTCATTCAGTCAACCTTCGAATATCAGGCCCCATGATGAGAGTCTCGCTGTCTCCCATGAGTATAAAAATCGATGCTATTTTTTGGCTGAGAAGACCATGCCTCCTCCGTTTCCACAAGCCTTTACGATGGCAATGAAGCATCTCAGAGCATGAGGAGAGCCGATGGCCACCGTTTGATATGGATAAGAAACAATAATATCGAACTTTACCTTGAACCTTACTCACAAAAAGGATGAAGGTCTGCCATGAAAGGACGCTGAACGGACTTGCTCTCAAGCTTTCCAAGTCCGCGAGCAGCGAGTCGCTGGGGTCCTCCGGTATTATTTCGGACGCCCTTCGGTTCGTGTGGGTTCAAACTTTGAATTTGAAGCTCGCTGTCGAATTAGCTTGTCGTATATCTTTTCTTCTCGGTACCGTTCACACAAAGGTGCGATATTTTCCAATATCGGTACTACTTCTTATCACGATGCTCAGGGAGCTGCGGGAACTGTGCCTAGCTAATTGAGTCTATGCGCAACTCAGTACAGAAATAAGCCAAGAGACAACTTTCAGGAGAGAGATGGGATGAAGTAGGCTAAAGGGTCTTCGTAAGAAGGTAATCACGCCACAGTTACCACTGTATACCTTGCACACTATGTGTGATTGTCGTGGGCATTTTCCCCATGGTACCGTCGTTTTTTTCTCTCCCGTGAGGTACGCACTGAACATGTTGACGACATTGGCTAGAATATCTCCACTCATTGCCATTGCATGCAATCCCATAGGCTCGCTACATGTTCTGTTGGTATTGAGAGGTATAAATTCGTGTTTTCTTTCGCCAGTACGTTTGTGACTGATATAAACCTGATGGCCAAAGCCCTTGCTCACATCTTTTTTGATATCAAAAAATAAACATTCGATAAACTGATCCAAATTTGAGTTGCGGCAGAAAAGTACGATCTCCGTCACCGAGGCAAGCTTTTTGACATCGCATAGGCATGTTTTGAATTATATATTACAAGCACCCAAGCAGGATAGTTACCTGAGCTCAATGTTGTTTAGTCCTTGCCTTGCCATGTGAGTGCCTTCATAAGTGGCTGGGGTCTTTCTGGTGGGTGCCTCCGTTGCTGGCTTATCACTGCATGAACCAGCAACGGTACAGATGTGAATCCACGTCAAAGCTTACCTAGAAATAATAGTTTTTGATAGCGGTCGACACGGTAGATATAGCACTTCCTCCGAAGCAAAGAGTTCGGAAAGCCTTGCCTGAGCGCTTACACAAATTACACACGCGGGTTGTCCCGTGGACTGAGTAAAAATGAATACATACAAGACGAATGCTCGGATACAGAGCGAGCCAGGGAAGCTCTCTAGCTCGTCTTCCCCAACCTTCAAAACCTCGCAGGCCTCACGCTAACAAGTCTGGCGAAATTCTGTCTCCCTAATCACTATGTCGCAAGACACAACGCAGAGCATCTTTGAAACGCTCGCAAGTAACGTGCGTAGTATGATCATGTCATCTGTCAAGCGGGCGCTTTCAGGTTAACGTTTCACACAATTAACGTCATACGGTTTCACTTCTAGTACACTACAGGTAAGTATGTCGAAAGAAAAGACTGGTAAAATTTACAAGGGGTAATCATAATCTTATCTTCCAGTGGCGTTTATCACTATCCTTCTGTATGATCATGCCTTAACGCTCGCCGACGAAGTGAGTCATTGGAGAGATATCATGCCTTGGCAACTAGCTAAAGCGTTTTTTCTCAGATAGAATTCATCTGGAAACAGTCAATGAGCACGGTCAGTAAAACTCACGCTAGTATAACTGTAGCCTGACATTTGTACTATTACCAAGGGTAAAATACTATTCCTACTTGTAAGTCTCAAAAAGTTGCGCCCACAAGCTTGCAGCATTTCAATGTTGAACTTCGACGTCCTGTCAGAATCGGTATATACCGGAAATCGATCTTTTCATCCTGATGAACTGTCAGTCCCAACATGATGTAGACCATACCCATTCCGTACTCATGTCTACCAATAGCGTACACAAACGAGGCAATCCACAGCGAAAAGGTATTGTGATCCCTCACCTATTCAACCATCATAACTGACTGTTTGATAGTTGTCAGTAATCTTACCTCAATCGATCACTTCTTGCTTTAATGTTGGTTGCAGCTGTCTACTGTGGTTTCAAATTGACAGTTGGCTCGGTATATTCAATGTAGTAGTTATCGATCGTAAGAACCCTTTAACTACATTGCTTCCAACTATTAATTTCCTGTGTACAGTAATAATGTTGCTTCGGACATGGGTGAGTTAAATGTGCGCCCTATCAGTGCCAAGTCCTAAACTGGCAATTAGGCATTGTGGAGGCGATCAAGGATAGTCCTTGTCATTCTCAGCACTCTGCTCGTAGTACGTAACTTCCTCCTAACTAATTAATATTTCAACTAAACTGTATGTTTGGCGGCAAAGCTATGCATATGTGCAGCTGCTGGAGCAACGCTATACGCTTCTATTGCTGTTGTTCGTAAGTCATTTCGTCGTTGCTCCCTTCTATCCATGGGTTATAAATAGTCCTCAGACGAACCCTCTCCTGGAAATCTACGCCCTTGTGAGACTGGCTTTCCACGAACTGAAATTCTATACGGTCTTTGGGTCGCAATTATTGTGTATGATACTGGTGAGTGCCCATCGCACAACTGCAGGTGTGCTGCTTTCATGCAGCGTTTTCAGCCATCGTGATACTCCTGCTAGTCAAAGCCATTCCAGCACGTATGTATAGAAGCCTGATATGTGTGCAGAAACTTACGACCTTTACAGTGCGATTGAATGTTCCCATAATCGATCAACTACTGAAAGATGGTGCGTAGTGCAGTCAATTGAATGATAACTTACTTGTTCAAACTGTGTTCCTCAGGGATTCAATATTTCGTCATGATATTATGTGAGTAACCTCGTGTGCAGAGTTTAGTGCCTGTTCTTAGGACCCTCCAGTCACATCTATAGCAAATGTCATCGTCATTAACGCGGCCCCAGTACGTGACATTTGAATCGTATTCACGACTTGCTTCTGATATAACTTTCAGCCTGCTCTGGCTACAATGTTGTTTACGTGAGTTTTATCCATACTCACCTGACGGGCAACATATACTCAATTTTATGTAGCTTCTACCGTGTTATGACTGCCACTCTCGGCTCGCGAATGGTGCTGAATATTCGTGGAACCCTGTTAAAACCAGGATACAACGATGAGGAAACGAACGAACTCATAATATTCAGCAGCAAAGCACCATCGCTTTACCAAACGATGACCTCGCCCGATTTTGAGATGGAGCGCAGTGTGCGAAGCACGCCTACAGTCACGGTGAATGACAGCATCGTGGAAGAAATCGAATCAATACCATAGCCCTGTAGCCGCCCTCGTCACACAAAAAGCATAGACGCGTGTCTCGAATTCATATACCTTTTGCAAATCCACGATACCTTAGTTCTTCTGCCATTTAGACCCTTGGGCTTGGGGGTCATTTTTCCTCGGGGATGGGTGTTCATGGTCTAGCAGTTGTGATATTATTATTCAAGTTGATGTAACAATACCTGTCATTATATCCCCGCATTTGTATACTTCAAGTTCATTTTTTGCACATTCCTGACTGTTATTCATGTCACGGACTTTGTAGTCGATAGTGACTTTATGTTCCAACTTTGATCTAAGTGATATCACTTGCGACTGACTCGGACTTGAACTTGTTGAAATGTCACTGGCAGTGGTTGTATGTCTCAATCCCGAGCTATAACTAGTGCCATGCTGCGAACTCTAAGGCAAAGATCCCAGCTGGCCTTTTACGTTTCTCACTGGCATGCCAACTGACTGGCAGTACCCACGACTCGCCGATTCATCGACTCGGACATATTCATCTTCGACACCAGTTGTATAATGTCCTACTTACGCATACATGCATACACGATCAACATGAACGCCATATCGATTCTACGAAACACGTCTGTTGTGACCAAGAAATGCTATATAGAAGTCGAAGAACCCCTTTAATGGCTGAACGTGCAAGACGGTGGATGGGAGAAAACCGAAGCGGAGGTCCGAACCTTGTCGCCATAAATATGGGTGATGAGAGTTTAGAGGGTATATAATGAACCAAGAAGCATATACAAGCTCCTCATTGTGTATCAGAGTAACCGTACTCCTCAGCCCACCAGTAGGACGTTGAAAACATGAAAGTTTTGGTCATTGGGTGAGTGCTATTTTACGGTCGTCAAGGTTTCCCTGTCTTGTTCTGATCTACTTGTAGAGCTTCTGGGTTCATTGGACTTCCTGTGGCTCAGGCTTTGAGTCGAGCTGGTCACACAGTATACGGTTTAACTCGTTCCCCCGTTAAGGCCAAGCAACTCGCAGCAGACGAAGGTTTGCTTTAGTTACTCACAAGGTTGCCAGTATTCTTGTTCAGATGATTTATCCTCTTCTAGTTATCCCTATCGTGGGCGAAGTTGCCAAGCCCGAACCATGGATTGGTCTTGTTGCCACTCTTGACGTTGTCATCGAAGCTTTGGGTGGTACAGCAGATTTACGATCAGGCGCAATAGCTTTGCTGGAGGCAGTTGGTGCCGTGGCGAAAAGCACCCGCCCAGCATCCGCCCCCAAGTTGACTTACATATACACGTCGGGGTGTTGGGTTCATGGCGAGAGTCTTCATGACTTTGTTTCCGACACAACGCCCATCACGAACCCCGTGAAGCTCGTAGCGTGGCGGCCGGAGGTAGAACAGCGATTCCTCCAAGACCCTATTGTCAAAGGGATCGTCATCCGTCCTGCACTGCTTTACGGCAAGTCAGGGTCTTTGCTTGCCTCCTTGTTCGAAGGAGCCTCCAAAGGAAAGGTCGAGTGGTACGGAAAGCCAGGAGGACGCTTCTGTCTCATCCACCCTGATGACTTGGCAGACATATATGTCAGAACTGCTGAGAAGGCACAGATTCTGGGGTCCATCGCTATCGATGCTTCCAATGATTATACGGAATCTGTAGATGATGTCTTACAGAGGCTTGTTGAGGTCTCAGGGGCGGAGGGCCCTTATGAATTCGTTACGCCTTCGAATTGTAAGCTTGCACTTTACCTCGTCGAATTTTTATGCTAAGCTGAAACTATATGTTACTCAACCAGTGTTTGAGAGTGCTCTCGCTACAACAACACTTCTTCGTCCTTACCTCGCCAAGACACTTCTTGGCTGGCAGCAGAAAAAACCCGGTTTACTGGAAGGACTGCCCATGTATTATGCTGCATGGCAAGCTAGTCAAGATGGACAGGAAAAGAAAGATAAATTATTTGCCAAAGTATGAAAGACTGTCAAACTGTACTATATCTAGCCATCGATAGTCCAAATGAAAGAGTACTGATACATGATATGCAATCACTCTTGACCGTCCGCTCTAAATAAGCAAAGGTAGTCCAAAGAAGGTAGTCCAAAGGGTATAAGGGTATAGAGTCTTTGCGAAAAGTTGAAGCCATTGTACTGAGATACACCTTTAACGTAACTAGACTGGGAGACTTTCGAGATAAGAGCATGCTTCAGCGATTTGAATGGAAACACACTCGATCTGCAAGGCTCGCTTAGTGCATGGATTGCTTGCAACGCGAGTACTCACATGGGTGTCGTGAAAAGGTTCGAAATGATTGCCAGGGATATCCCATATCCTTATGGATACGCCGACCAAGCTTTCCCAGCCTGACGTAGCATCTCGATGGTTTCGGCGGTCCGCAAGCCAAGCCGGCACGTCAGATAAACCTTCTGGGTCGAATCCTTCCCTAGAGCGAAGCAGAGCAAGCGCTGGAAATTTTTTAAACATTGGAGTGTATTTTTGGAGCAACTGGGAGTTCATTCGAAATTGTGTTTTTATGAGGTGGGCGATCATTGTGTCCTCGCTATGTTCGCCAAGTCTTGTGGCAAAGTCGAGAATAGCATCAGAAAGCGGAACATGGTTTATGGGGCTGGGTGCATCGATAAGTAGGACACCTTTGACTATACTAGTAGCATTCATCTTCGTGAGTTGATTCGCCACTTCGAAGGCTAAAACTCCGCCAAATGACCAGCCTGAGTGATAGTTGAGTATAAAAGCACATTTCTTCACCACTGTAACATACCTCCAAGGAGTATTGGGCCCCGAGCAATTTCCATGATGTGCTGCGCATACTCGTGAGCCATCACCTCCAAGCTCTCCCAAGCATCCCCAGTAACAAACAGGGGGTTGTGGAGGGCCCAGATATCACGGCCTAGCGGCGAGAGTTGACTGTAATAGTGGATCAAGCCGCTACCATCATGAACCAGAAATAGCGGAAGATGATCATCGTCTTTAGATCGTTGAAGTAAAGTTGGCTTGAAGTCAAGCTGAGGTCCAAAGCGAGGAGTCTCGGCCGCATCCCGAACGCATACGTCATGATCTAACTTGTCATCTGAGAGAAGATGTTCGAGAATATAAGTATGCACCGACTGGACAGTAGAGCAACCGCGAAAAAGATCGTAAGGTAGCTTCAAACCAAATTCGGCTTGGAAGGTCTGAAGAGCTTCAATAGAAGTCAGCGAGTCCAAGCCCAAAGTGTGAAGGTCCACATCATTCCCCATGTCTTGGATATCCATGTCAAGGACAGAAGAAAGGATGGATTTGACAGAGGATAAATCGTCAATAAAGGCCGGAACACTGTGTTCTTCAAGGGATATGAAGGTCCTTGGTGATGAATGTGCACTAGAATTTTGGCTAGTCACGCTGGAAAAATGACATCCACACAGATCAGGTTCGAGGCAACCCGTATAACACTCCATACTCCTGTTCACATCCAAGCCTCGAGGTCCTACATCAGCCTGCATGTCAAACTTTAACACACGACCGCGAAAACTACTAGTAGAGTTATCACCAGTAGAAGTCGAGCTTTGCGTGCTGGAGCGTGGTCTGGAAAAAACAAAGCTCTCCAGAGAAGATGGGGACAACATGGGATTCGAATTCGTTCGTCTGCGCGTCTTCACCGCTTCGGTTTCACCTGCAGCAATAGAGAGCCCTCGCTTGAAGCTACTGATACCAATGCGACGGAACTGCATTCCCTTCAAATGAGCCACAATTCGCTTGGGCTCTGCTACTTGAATGGCATAAGCATCTGCACGCATGACGTTTTTGACCGACGTCCACGAACTGCTACAGTAAATGAGGTAGGGATTCTGATAGTCGATGCCTTCTGATACCAGCTTGACCGAACTTACGTCACTGCATATATAGACTTCGTTGATGCCACCTTGCATATTAGCCATGAAGCCAGCGATATGTAGGAGCGTGTCGATAAAGATAGGGTGAGCGACGTAGGAACCCTGATCATAGTCACTTGGAAGTTTCATGAGTGCAGAACCCACGGTTCCATCGGCGCTAACAGTGAGGGACTGCATGGTGTGGTACTCTTTCGAGTAATCAACGACTCTTGAGAAGACAACTTCATATGCTGTGCGTGTGGAAAATCTTTCGGGGAGTTGTTCATTTATCAGGGTATCCACAGCTTTTGCCTGACAACATATATTGGGAGAAGCGCGAGCAAATTTCCCTATTACTTCTGAAGTCGGACGGAAGCTCAACTTTCCGCGGACGTGAATAGACTCTTCGCAAGAGACATGCGAGGTAGAGGTAACGGTGAACATGCCTGTGCCATCTTCATGTAGGGTGATATGTGTCCTCACTGCGAGGGAGACTTGGTCACGATACACAAGAGGTGACGCAAATTGTACATTCTGCAGAACTGGGACGTTGTTTCGACTCAGTTTTAGATATTTTTTAGTGAGATCGATACCGGCAAGGACTTGTTCCAAGTAGATAGAAGCAGGACAGAGCGCGTACCCAGCGACCTTGTGGCCTTGAATGTAACCCGCAAATACATGAATGGGGGTATTGAATATGGCAGTGTTTTCATTTGAAGGGGCGGGGTACTGAATCCACGAGTGCAGCATGGAGTATTCATCAATCAACGACAGGGTCTCCTTTTCCGTAGTTGTACTGAGGGTAGGCGTGAATTTAAGGGGCTCCTTGTATGTAATCCAGAATTTCGAGTTCGCAAACGGATAAGATGGTAAATCGATACACGAAATGGAGGGAAGGTGTGAGAAGACTTCCCTCCAAAGGACACGAATATCGGAAAGATAGAGTTTCGAAAGACTACCTGTCAAGATTGCCCAGGGGTTGCGCCCCTTGCGTAAGGATGGCAAGAACAGAGCGCGACTAGGCTCTATTACTACAGATTTTATCATAGGGAGGCATGGGGTATGGGGTCCGATTTCAATCCAGGCGCTTACATGCGTAAAACCTGGTTGAGCGGTGAGAGCGCAGACGCCTTGATGGAAAAGTACAGGATGCCGGCAGTGACGCGAAAAATACTCCTTAACGAAGACAGAGGAGTTACCAGGGTATACAACGTCACCAAGTACATTAGAGACGATGGGAATTGTGGGTGCATTGATGATGATGCCTCGAGTGACCTTGAGAAGCTCATCCGCTACAGGCTGCATCGCAGAGCTATGATAGCCAAAAGGAACACCGAGATCTAGACATGTATGACCACGGCCAGACAAGTAAGCCTTCAAAGACCTTAAATATGTGATGGGGCCCGATACGACGCAGTCAAGTGCACTGTTTACACACGCGATCGTTACTTCTGGAAAGGACTGCGATGCCAGGATATCCAGCAAAACGCGATAGCCTACGTTGACTGCCAACATTCCGGTAGAGTCTGCACTACACATGCGCCTCATGAGACGAGCACGCTTTGCAACAATGAGGAGAGCATCCGCGATCGTAAGCACCCCAGCGATAACCAAAGCACTGTACTCGCCCAGACTGTGTAGAATATGATGATCAGCATGGAGTAGTGATTTCAGCTTGCTAGAAAATTATCTACCTGTGGCCCACGACCGCACAAGGCAATACACCCCATTGCATCCAAAGCTTTGACAATGCATACTCTAAAGCCACTATAGCGGTTTGGTACGTTTCAAATTCTTCTGTCAAGCCGGTTTCATCTGACTCGGTGCTAGTACTGATGACCTGGATAATACCAGGATAGCCATCTGCCAATAACAACGACTGACACTCATCGATATGGTGTTTGAACAAAGCGCAAGTTGAGTATAGCGTGGATCCCATACCAAGATATTGACTTCCTTGACCAGAAAAGACGAACACGACATTGCCTTGCGACGGAGTGACTTGAACAGGTTTACCGATTGAGAGCTTTTCGACGAGTTCCTCTTGGGTGCGTGCAGTAAAAGCTATGCGATGCTCATATATTTGCCTCCGAGCCATAAGTGTATAAGCCATATCGCCCAACCTTATCTCGCTGTTATTCATGTTCCGAAGCCAATCCAGATATCGAGTGCGAATTTCCTCCAGAGATGCCAATGACTTCGCGGATAACCCAAAGACATACTGCACGTCATGCACTTCTGGCGCCTTTCGAGTGGAGTGCTCTTCAAGGAGAAGAGCAGCATTCGACCCTGCTGCACCGAAGTTATTGAGCACAGCGACACGAGATAGCCCACCTTGGGGGGAAGGCCAAGGGCCAAGGGAGGTGTTTATCATGATGTTGTCGGACTCGAGCGATGCTATCTTCGGATTGAGATTGGAAAAGGAAATCTGGGGAGGTATGGATCGATGACGCAACATTAAAAGCAACTTGGCTAACCCAGCTGCTCCAGAAGCAGCTTCCAGATGGCCTATATTAGCTTTGACAGAGGTAACGTGTAGAGGGTTGTCGGGTTTTCTCTGACGTGCAAAGACAGCACGGATACTACAAAGTTCTCCGGGGTCCCCAGCTTGTGTGCCAGTGCCATGAGCTTCCACCACACTGACTCGAGATGCATCCATCCCAGATTTCTGAAGAAGCTGCTGAAATAAAGTGGTTTGCGTGGCACTGTGGGGATGGGTGATGGATTCAGCCATTCCGCTCTGGTTCACTTCGATTCCACGAATAACACCAATAATATTGTCTTGCTCGCTTATTGCATCAGATAGTCTTTTCAGAACAAAGAGACCTGTTCCTTCTCCTCGAGAGTATCCATCTGCGGCTGCATCAAAGGTCTTGCATGAACCTGTGGGGCTCAGGAAGTGCCCGCGATCCAGCCCAAGAAACATCTGAAAAGTTGGTGTTTACTACTTCGCATGGATTCAAAAACAAGAAAAATTTTACTGACATCCGGACTAGTGATGACGTTTACGCCTCCAGCAAGTGCAGCTCGACAGTCTTTATTCGCAAGTGCTCTACAAGCCTGATAGATCGCAACTGCAGAAGAAGAGCACGCTGTGTCCACGACCATGGAAGGCCCTGAGAGTTGCATGGCATATGAAATACGCCCACTAAGAAATGCTTTCAAAGTACCTGTAAAATTGGACATTTAGCTAACGTGATACTCATACAATGTGAAGTTCTCGACGCACCGGTACTATAATATACGTCGATATCATCACGCAAATTCTCTACATAGTCTTGCGTTGCAGCACCAACGTAGCACCCAAACGTACTTCGCTGGAACGATGGCGTTGCATCTGGGACATATCCCGCATTCTCCAAAGCTTCGTAAGCGGTATGCAGGAGCATTCGTTGTTGCGGATCCATGCTCCTCGCCTCTCTGGGAGATATTTTGAAAAACTTATGGTCGAACTCCTCTGGGCTGTCGATAAAGTTGCCAGTATGCGCCCGCATCGTACGGGAGCTCGTAGTTTTTATCGTGGATGTGTAGTCTTGAACTTTGAATCGAGATTTCGGGATCTACATCAATTATATTCAGTGAAGGGTAGAGATGAAAACGAAGATACAACTAATTACCTCAGTGATAGTATTGATGCCCTTTTCCAGCACTTCCCAAAGTTTGTTGGTGTCGGGTGCGCCTGGCATATTAATGGCCATTCCAACGATAGCAATAGGCTCTTGCTTTAATATAGTGGACGAAGATGGCGCCTCTTCAGTTATGCTCATGTCGACTGATGTCATATCCTGGAATGATGTTTCGTCCCGGAGAAACGATCTCTTAAGACCGTGAAGAAGTCCAGAACCCGGGCCAAAATTCACAAATCGTGTAGGAGCATCAGAAGGCAAAGCATCAGAGAGTTTTCTAACTACAGTGTCCCAATTCACAGGTTGAAGAAGCAACATGTCCAAAACTATTTCGACAAGTGAGCCTGATTTTTGATGGCGATGGATCAAACGGCCGGAGAAGGTAGATCGAATAGGGCATTTTAAGTCCGGGAAATTGGGAAAGCGAATATCACGCCTGATGATGTCAGCGAGTAGTTGCGTTCGGACACCAGTGTTCTCCCCTGGCGAATGGTATAATGCATCAACCGTAGTCTTGTGAATCGTGCAGATATCTGAGATAGTAGCTGAGAAGTCCTGCAAGATATCAGGGCGGCCGGAGATCGTGATACAGGTGTCGCCAAGAATGGCCGTTATACCAAGCGTTGCAGTAAGACCGCGCTATGAGTAAACCGTTCAGAAGGGAGGAAAATGGTGATCTACTGAGTGTACTTACACTGTGCTCAAAGTGATTTATGAATTCATGGGCAAGTATCTTGTCGATCCCAAAACACACAATACTCCAACATGATGTTGGTTCTGCCCTTACCGATGTACGGTTATCCAATAATACTTTCCGGCGCTGGCAGATGCGAACGCCAATCCAAAATACTAGTCTGAATGCCTCGACGGAGTGGCATATATACGTAAGTCTGTTGGTAGAAGTGCCAACAACAGAGGCGGGTATAATTCCTGAAGAAAATCCGAGAATGCCTAATGAGAGAGTGCCGTTACTTGCCAAGATGTCGTTGAAAGGAAGGGGAGAATTGACGTCAGGAACTGATTGTTGAAGGAACGAAAGATATCGTAAAGACTGGACCAGAAAGAGAGATATTCCCGAGATGATCGGGTTGTGGGTATATTGCTGTGAGGGAACCGGGAGAAGAGATCGTGGATCCTTGAAGTCGTGTGGAGAAACGCCAATCTCCATGAGATCCTCGCAGGAAAGAGTGAGGAGTTCTACATGGAAAGCCTCAAAGCAAGAAGCCAGCAAGAGGCTGCCAGATGGCGATGCAGCATCACACAAGGCTCGTTGGCGAGTCTGTAAGGAATTGATACTGTCAGTCCCTTGGCCTGCAAAAACAGGGACAATACACGCTTGAGAAGGCGACATCCTGGAGAAAAGACAAGCATCAGGTCAAAGTAAATCGCCTATGTTTTATAGTAAAACTTGAACAAGCCAGCCCTTAGCTACCTCAATCACGTGGAGAAGCATTACCGTTCCAAACACAGCACGCAGCACGATATTCTATGACGGGATCAACCTTCGAGAAGTACAAGCTATAGCTTGCACAGAAAGTTTGAGAAATGTATGGTCCTTAAAGGTTCTCCGATGAATCCCCCCTCCTGGACTACGGCATCAATCAGGACTAAAATCCAATTTGTAATCACAGAAGGAAAGAATCAAGGAACACATTGCCTTGCGGCAGAAAGGTATTCCTTGATAAACCTAATGCCATGTGAAATCAGAGGGAACAGTCATAGCAGCTATGCATCCTTGAACAGAGAAAAATAACACGAATTGACGGCCATCAACGCGGCGCATGCTCAAGTGGTGTTGGCAATCTTCAAAGGCGTGCAAGTCTCTGATAAAAGGACAAGTAAATCCAGACACTCACGGTCCAACTAATCGCGGACCCCCCTGGCCTTTCACAACTTTCACCGTCTTCCATTCTTCCCATAGCACGGTCAAAAAATTTCGTCGGCGATGCATTACTCATAGCCTTACTGTGTTCCCTAATTTCAATACTATACTCCTGCCATCGGCATTTGGCAACCACTGCGTCGGAATCGCACGTAGGCAGTGTGTCCGATATGGTGAAAAGGTGAAAGAACCCAGGGACCATTGTGGGTCCCGAATAGAGGCGGAAATGGATCAGTGTTCCGATATATGGTTGCAGATATACAAGGTTCCAATTGTCATCCATGTCCATCCTGTTAAGAGATTCTGTTTCTTCCGCCGTCATCGTATGAGAGAACTTGCGCCCCCGATGTAGATCGAGCCCATCTCATCGTATCTTCATGCCCAAAACCAGTCTTCGGCTCCGGAGTCGGATGTGTCCTCAGGGTACAATGCAGCCTGCTGGGCGGGCGAGGGAAGCATCAAAATGAAAGGCTAACCTGCAAAGATATAAGAAAACCATCGAAATACTAAGCTGCGCCAGCCCTAATGGTCGTTCTATCTTGGTACCATGATGGAGGGAACGAGGGAACGCGGTACCGCCCTGTAGATCTATAGAACCAATCAGCTGGAGTGCGACAGCAACTGGAAGATCGCACTCGTCCTCATAGATTTGGAAAACAAGGACCAACCTTGTGGACCAGGCCCTGATGAGAAAATGGAAACCTTTTCTGATACTTGAAACCAACTCTCCAAGATCAACAGGCGATTGCTAGACTCCTGTTGTCGAGGAATTGAAAGCGCAGGTGACGCGTCGCACTAACCTCTTGATATCGTCCTGCACAGCCCTACAACCCATCATCCTACCGACGAGTCTGTGATTCGTAGTTGATTGGTCAAAGGCTACACGTAAAAGAGGCATTGTTCACCTATCATACCTCAGAATCCCTTCCAAATTATTTCAGCAGTTGAGTTTAAATCGATTCCTAAATGATTCGAAATGCTAGAATGGTCTGGCCGCGTAAGGCAATTCGCTGACATCTGAAGCCCGCTGATCAAGTACGGAAGATCAGTTGGAGCTGTCATGCGTGGCATGGACGGCTGCCGAGTTCTAGATATCTCGACTTTTGAATTTTTTTTGCCTCGAATGGACCTTCTAACGTTTGACTGAGAAGTGTGTCTTGCCATCATGACGAAAACCGAACGGATATGACGAAAGTTCAAGTTTGGTGCTGAATTTTCCTGCAGAATCGGAGTGGCAAAGTATATTCCGAATTAGGAAGGTAGTATTCAGCAAGCCATGTATACACGGCCAGAGATTCGTAGCCACTCCGCACAAGTTTCTCCGACGTAGCCCCCGTACATGTGGCAGCCCAGACTCAGCTCCATGTGTTCATCAGGTCCAGCTTTTTTTTCAAATATAACCATGGACTCTGATCCAGATTCCAACCGAGCACCTGATTCCTCAATTTGCAACCATACCCAGACCCCAGCTCAAGATAATCTTCAAATGATCTCCAACCCCGCTATCAAAGCTTATTATGACCGGTTAGATCGTGATATGCTTTGCCGTTGTTACTCTGTTTTTGTATTCATACCATAGTACTCCTAGATCAATACCAGTGCTTAATTTCTCCCCCGTCTTTTCCAAGATGCCTATATCAATTGACAAAAGTAAGTGCTGGCTTGAGTTCACTGTAAAATACCAAGGCTGAGACATATCATTCTCGCACTGTAAGCATTATGGGAGCTCATACACAATTCAGAAGGCCAGCCTCGATATAGGTGCTGTTTGTGTCGCGATGGGCGCTTGCGCTATCCATGGCACCTACCCCACCATGTACAGTCTCTTTTGCACCAGGCCCAAGCCGAGTATGCTTGCCAATATGAGCTTGATCAAGATCAAGCTCAACCTCCTGAATCACCACCTCTGGCTCCTGAAGCCTCGGTCTCCCAAGCATTTACATTAGTCGATAATGGTATTCATACTTTGCTTACATTTTTAACAGGTGACAATCATTCCAGCCTACAGTCTCAACCACCTGCCAATCCACTGCCATCTTTCCCCGACATCATCAACTTTGACTGGGGTCTACTCGACAACCCCTCACATGTCGTTCTTGATCTGCCACCTGAGCAGGAAGCAGTTGCCTCAATAGCGCAGGCTGCTCTTGACCACTTCAATGCACTCTCGGATTCCTCAAACGAAGACCTTGAATGGTCGGATGCTCCCAGCAACGATGATTTACCGGAGGTCATTGTGATTGGTAAGCCTCATGCTTTTTTTTTCATTAGTTATATCTGTGACGCTTTCCATTCGACAATGGTATTGAAACAGCCAGTCATGGACGCAAACGTGCTCGTACTGCAGACCATACAGCAACCTCACACCGGTGGTTCCCTTGGCAAGACAAGGTTGTAAGTAGTCCGCTCCCCCAATATGTTCCTCTAGCGTACCATCTACATTATATCACTTATGCAGACATGTACCCTGGATATATTAATGCATTTACCCTGCTCAGTTTTCTCGCAGAAATAACTTGATCTGTTTCTCTGGCTGCTCAAAGTCAATGATGTGGATGATGTCCCATCAGTCAAGACCATGCAAAGTCTTAATTCTGCTTTGCAGAAGTGCTGTGGCATTGGGACTATCACTTACAAAGGAGCGCTGGGGCATCATTACCATGTAAACAACCTTGCTCATATTATATCTCAGGTAATTCTAACCTCATCTTTTCGGGCATGACACAACATTCCTATCCTTTTAACAGGAGATGTCAAACCCCAAGGTTAGGCCCCACTTACACTTCTACCCCGAAGACAGTGGACTATGGCTCTCAGAGGCTCAACAGGGTTTGTGCTGGCTGCGTGAAGTTCCAGATGAGCAGCTCACACCTATGGCACGGCTCAACAGCCACGATTATTACATACATGAACCTGCAATGCTCTCGGATGGCCGTGTATGTATCCCCTTCCGCTGGTTTTATTGTACTCAGAATGACCGTCCAATGATGTTTGCCCGGCGCTGGGCCATGGAACCTGTAGACACAGACCACCAGCGTAGTTGGAAGGTCATCAAATATGATGATTATGTGGTTTTGCAGAATGAGTTCCTCATGAATTTCCCGCAGCTTTGTCAGAATGTGAAGTGATATGATCTTTCTGACCCCAGGCTTCTCTCTGGTACATTAGAAAATGAGATTGTTTCCTCAACAACATATTGATTATTTTATTTATCAGCTGTTGTAGACTCCAAGACATCCTCAACTTCCGAGTGGGCATTTACAGATCCCAATGTTGGGAATTGATGGCATGCACTGTTGAAAGGGCACAAAGTGCTCAGTTTTCCAATATGGATGTACTGTGATGACATGTCTGGTAATACATCCAAGAAATGGAATGAACATAACAGTTTTCTGTTTATTCCTGCAGGTCTTCCACAATCCAAGGCCCAACAAGAATACAATGTACACTTTTTGTGTACATCCAACTTAGTACCTCCACTGGAAATGTTGGATGGTATTGTTGGCCAGCTCGAGCATGTCAACTTCTTATTACTTTACAATACCTGGACCAACAGTATCAACTTTCTAGCAACACACAAAAAAGTGGTGTTTGGTCATGGGACTCTGAAACAAATGAGCCAGTCCTTCTTCTACCCTTCGTACTTGGTCTGTTGGGAGACAATCCTATGCAGAGTGAATTCGCTTGCCACATAGGACTGTATGGCAAACTTTTTTGTCGTGCATGCTGGGTCAAAGGAACTCATGCTACTACCAACATCCTCGAGTCAGCAGGCCAGCGTGTCCACCAAGAAAGCAATGGAGCCAAAAGTGATGCAGACAGCCAAATGGCCAGCAACGACAGTGCAAATGAAGGAACATCCAATCCAGCCAGTGAAACCAAAAGTGTACATTCAAATACAACAAAACGCAAGCGCAAACAAGGGCTGGAGACCATGGCTAACATGCTTAGTCGTGTTCATGATTTTGTCAAAGTATGTTCTTTTATTATGATGCAACTACCCATAGCTGATCTGTCAAATTCTATCTAGGTTGGTAAACCTCGAAACAAGCAAGAAAAAATCACTCAGTTGCATGCCCAATTTGTTTAAGCATCCCAGCTTGATTCAAAGACAAAAGTCAACAAGATGCACACAGAATCTGGTATCAAAGACACCTTTCAGAAGTATTTTATAGATAAGGTTGTTGGTTCATACCAGCATTTGAGAGGTGTGGCAAGCAAACAAGCTGCATTAGATGAGTCAATAGCATCTCTTCCCGACACGATCATCAGTCCTGTGTGGAGAATCAAAGGTAATTTCATTTGTGGTATTTTCGTCAATTTACTCAAAACCTTATGCCTCACAGGACTTGACCCACACCAAGACACGCCTGTTGAAATACTACATGTTGTGTTACTTGGCTTTGTTAAATACTTGTGGCAAGACTTAGTACAGCTTCAGCTTAAGGGTAAACTCGACAAGCTCAACCTCCTTGCCACCAGACTGTCATCTCTTAATGTCAATGGCCTTGGCATCTCATCATTTGCTGGAAAAACTTTGGTACAGTATTCTGGTTCACTCACAGGGCGGGATTTTCGTGCCATAGTGCATCAGGAAAAACCCTTTTGCTATATAGCGCTATATAGCCACCACCTATATATATAAACACATTCATAGAAACTATAGTACTATCAGTGCAATCATAGCTCTTATAGCTCTTATAGCACAATAGCAGGCAAAATTTTAACAAAGGGGAGAAGTATCTATAATTCCCTCAAACTCTGGATTAATCTAATAAATTTGTTCAATAATAGAAAGAGGCCAGAAGTGTTTGGAGTCAAGTATATTATTATAGGCAAGGTACTATAAGTGCTCTTATAGCCTATAGCAGCCTACATAGCTCCTATAGCTGTAAAGGTCATAGTTATAATATAGTTCAAGGTGCTTAAAAGGGCTAATGAATCATACAGTATTAATTAATTATGTAGCCTGTATTAGTGAAATAGTAGTTTGTATCCCTGATACTCACAAAATAAGAATAATGATTTATCCAAATATAAGTAGTGACAATGAGTAAAAAAATAATCTAAGTCCATAAAAGGTTAATATATAACACCTGTATAATATATAAGCTCTCATGGTGTAGTGCATAAATGGGATGTGTGGCTATAGGTTGCTTAGTCACCCAAGAGCTGACTTGCAGGTTGAGAGTTCAGATCCTGTCTGTGTTAATTTTTTTTATCAGCCACACAACAATTTCCAACATCTATAAGAGCATTTATAGAGCTATATGAGTCTCTATAAATGGCAAAGGTTCTATAACAGGTTTGACCACTATAACAGCTTTATGAGTACTTATAGTGCTATAGAGCTCTATATAGCTACCCCCATTTTTCCTGATGGTTCAGGTGGCCCTATTCATCATCTATGACCTTGTCTCCAAGGAGTGTATGGATACATGGGTTGCATTATCCAAGTTGATTCTGTTGATTTATCAGCCAGAAATACATGACATCAACGCACACTTGGTCAGTGGCGGCTTATTTAATATAAAGTTTTACTCATGACCGTCATTAGGACATACTCACAAAAGAAATAGAATATTGCTTATTATGTTCAGCACAATGGACATGTTGTTGGTTTAACAAGCCAAAATTTCATATTTTTGTACACTTAGTACAACATATCCGCTGCTTTGGTCCCGCAATTCTGTTTGCTACTGAAGTATTTGAGTTGTTTTATGCAGTTATACGGGCCAAAAGTATCCATTCTAATCAACATGCCCCTTCTCACGACCTTGCACGAGCATTTGCGCAAGGGAACTGCATTCAACATCACCTCAGTGGAGGCAAATTTGTTTATTTGCCTGCCTCACCTGCCGAGAACACACTGGATGGCCCCATTCCCATGCAAGGGCAACAACCTTTCTCTTTTTGTGCATCTGACTGGCGTGAGGTTGGGCCTGGCCCTTTATCACTAATTGCATCCCCAAATACAGTTTCACATTACTTGGGTATCCCCACTTTCCAAAACTACGAGTTGGTAAGTGTTCTAATTCTTGCCACTACAGGACTTTGTGTATCCGACAATAAAGTCATGTGTTCATTTGCTTCCACCTTGACAGGGCAAAAACTCCCTCATGCAATGCCCGATGCTGGTTCCCGTCTTTGCAAAACCAATGATACTATTGTGCTCTCAAACGGTGACCAATGTGCCCTGGGCCAATTTGTAGTTGTCTGGCCACGAGGGTCTCTTGACCTCATTTATATGGCATGAGTGGAAGAAATTTTGCAAGTAAAGGACACACCAAACGAGCTTACACAACTCGCAGATGGCATTCTAGTCCAGTCGGTATCTACAAGTCAACACTCAGATGCTTATTCAATGCCTCGCACTATCTTAACTGATGGATGGGGTCTCCTACGTGTCGAGGCAAGTCATTACAACATAATCATATTTTTACATTTTTTACACATTCTTAGGACATTATATGTACGGTCAATGTGCAACACAACTGTAACAACAATCTATGTGATATGTCAGGGATCCGCTATGTGTATCAAGAGCGAGTGCGGACTGATTGCACTCTGCCTACTGTGGCCCATAAGCACCCATCGGACCTCATCCTCAACACTGCCCAGATGTGAGATACTGCACATGTACAGCATTTCCGAATAGACTCGCCTATCCTGGATGTTGAAGAAGTTTTGACTGGGAGTGTGGCACATGAAGTTGATGCACGGAGATCAGGTACTGCACAGAAGGCACTGAGTTCGTTGAGGAATGCAGGGCTGGGACGCCATTCACAAAAATGCCACAAGCCCTGGTACAGTCCAAGCATCTCGAGTGTCACAGCTTTGGCAGTAGATACCTTGCAATAGTGGTTCTGATGTAATATGAAATCCTTCAGCTGCTTATATCAGTTCCTACAATGATAGCTTCTCGGGCCATTCATCTGCGAGGTTATTTTCCAGCTCAGTCCAGCCCCTACAACAATAGTTTCTCAGGTCATTCATTTGTGAGGTTGCGGTCCAGATAACATTGTCAATGTGATTTGAATTGGCTGAGTTGTGTGCTGCTAAATGTGGCCTGTTCAGCACTTTTGCTTCCACGCACCATGGCAAGAAGGTTTGAACTTGCAAATTTGCTTCCGTTGACATTAAGCTGCAGGCTAACTAAGCCCAGCAATAGTATACTCAATATATTCTAGACTGCATATTTTGTCAATGTCAATCATACCTTGTATTAATATGCTCTTTTTTAGGTTTCAATCGAGCCTCGTTTCTGATGTGTTGCCCACAACAATTTCTGTCTCATCGATCGCACTGCAACAACTCTATCACACAGGCTCAATCAAAAAAATACTCAATGTAGTGATACACTGCTTCAAAAGCTCCAATCAGCCTCTATTTGATCAAGAAACTGGCGCCCCCGCAGGTAAGTACTCATAGCGTGCTTCATGTGCTCCACTTCCACTAACAGCTCTTTCACATGGAATTTGGCCAGAGCTTCAATTGCATCGTGTAGTGTTGACATGATGGAATCGCAGGTGTGACCTGCTGAGGTGCCGGGAAACAATTGAGGGGATGAGAGTGTCTGGAAGGAGTTCAGCTGTTGCTGGTCTGGTTTGAATCAAAGGTCAGTCTTGGTGCTTATGATGTTGCATTTGGAGATACTCACTAGGTCCTGTATTGTTTGCGGATGTTTGTCCGCCTGTCAAAGCCCATGCCATGGTCCATCAAGTAAGTCATGCTCGTTATCAGAGTAAACAAACCACTCACGTGTTTCCAGTGGTTTTGCAAGGCGGCGGCGCTTGTGGGAAGGCTGAATAGCCATGGCATGCGGCCTGGAACAGGTGAGTTGGGAGGAATGAGCCTTGTGGCAAGACATTGAGACACATTGTACTGAATGAATAGCAGACGTTATGCGCTGGCTGCAACATTGTTTTATGGTGACCAGTGTGACAGGAGGTGTGAGCATGGTTGAGAATGGGATAGTGAGTTGTTCTACGCTATGCAAGTCATAAATTGATGCATTGCCAGCTTGCAATCAGTCTCCAGGAACAACAAGCCAACACCAACAAACAAAAGCACATCGTGTTCACATTGATCACTGCAGGTGCATTGTGCATTTTCGGAGGGCTCACATGAATTCTATCCGAAATGGTATAAAAACTGTACATCAGGCTTCAATGTCTCAACTCCCCACTTAATCATGCCTTATTCACAAGAAAGCTCAAGGTTTACCTTGCCATCCCCGCGTCCTTTCATGGACTCGGGAGTGGCCCATTTTTCCCTTAGCCTCCCTCGTATTGACGCTCTGACAATATTTGGTGGAAATGCAGGAAATAGGCTACTGCTCAATTGCACTCCATCCTCAGCACTGGACCCACACAACTCAACAAGTCCTTCCCCCTCAGCATCTCCGTTGGTGTATCACAGGAGCATATCCCCACCACACGAAGTGGTAGCTCCGCATACCAATTCGGAAATGTGCACGGCACCCAGTTTAGCACCCGGGTATATAATTCCGCCATTGTTTATTGACAGACTGGCTTGTGACCAGAAACTAGAGTCTGCACAAAGGGAAAGCCTACATGATTTTGTCAAGGTACAGTTACAACATGTTTTGTGCTTATTTGTTCTGCTGATTCATATTAGCTGGGCTCACTGGAAGGAGGATTGACTAAACCAGAAATGGCCACTTGATTATACCTCCTGGCAGCATTATTTGGTGAAGCGGCAGAACGGCGTTGACAAGCCAGAGACAGCCCATTTTCTGGTGAAGATATCAGGGCCTTGTTTGCAGACTTGAATATATGCTTAGAGGACAGTTTCTGTTTTACAGCCGAGCAAAAGGTAGTTGAGTATGGGCAACCGGGTCTTTTGTATTACTCATAGAAATTTCCTTATCAACAGGCCAATATCCAAATTATCGCACAAGACATCATCTTTCAACCCACCCGAACTGGATTCAAATCAATCAACATTGAAGTTGAGGTAATCCATTTGAAAAATCTCGGTACAAATTCTGCTGCTCAGCTTTTGGTTATTCAGAAAATATTACAAACAGAAAAGGAAAATATAAGGTTGATGAACGTGTTTGGTATACCGGCACGAGAACATTAGCTGGCAGCTCAAATAAGAGATGTCTGTTCAAGTGTTTGGAATAATTTTAGGCAGGTTGTCAGTATAAGTTTATGCTGCAATCACTGTAGATTAGCTGACAGCCTTCTGAGTCAAGATTCGAGACAGTATCACTGGGCCAAAAGCTGTCAAAGTCGCCAAATTCACTTACAGCATGGCACTGAAATACAAAAGAGGGGGGATAGCTGACAAACTGGACACCGCATATACATTCCATATTGCATTACTGGTATTTGATTTACATGAGTTTTAATTTGTTTTCTGACAGATATCACTGCAGAGGTGTTTCGGCTATGAACATGGAGCTCATCAGTAGCACAGCAATAGAGAGTGAGGAATATGGAGGCAACTTGGATGATGTGAACAAACGGCCCAGGAAAAAAAGTAAAGGACAAACAGGTGGCCGTGTCACCCAGGGAGAGGACTTCTGGGGTCAAGTGGACTCGTGGTTTGTGAAGGGGATGTCAATTTGAGGGCAAAACCTGAAGGGTGCCAAGTGGAAAGAGTGAGTGACACAAATTTCATTTGAATGAAAATACTGAGGATAATACAGATATATCAGCAAAGCAATGAAACTCGACAGTGCCAGGTTCTCAGTGGGAATGGATACTGAGAGCAGCATGGACAGCCAATGTTCAATTGAGAACTTCTGGGAAGTGTCTAGCCACTTGCTGAGAGCTAACAGAGACAGAACTAGAGTCCAGTATGAGTAACTATATTATCAGAGAGTACAGAATGTGTACAGTACCTAGAGTCCAGTATGAGTAACTAAAGAATAGGAATACTGGACTCTGCAATACTAGTCCGAAGTTTTGTAAACAAAGGTAAACAAATCAGCCACAAAGGCGAAATTATAGAATGCTCAGTGAATACTGAACAATAGAGCAAAAAGAATAAAGAGGAAAGTGATTTAGAAAGAAGGGAAAATAGATAGCACAACTAGGTGCAGAATCACCAAAACTAACAGCCAATGTAGCAGCAGAGGAGGGGCATCTTCGACTCAGGATTCAGTGACTCATGCGGGGGATTCACTTTTTTCTTACATTTAATTCATTATTTCAGAAATAAGGATTTGTATTACTATATTATATATATGCTGTCTGCCTTTCATTGGGGAATGTAAAAATATGTCTGATTTGCGTTCCGAGGGACTCAGCATCTGAGCATTGGATGAGATGGTCTGTGCATTGGAGGCATGTGACTGGTTGAAGTTTTTTTTTGGTGGTTTGTGTGGAGGAGTGATATTTTTGTGCCCATTGTTCTTCCCATCCGTTCAGGTTGGTTCATCTTTACTGTGTGTCCGCCTGTGGACTTTTTCAATGTCAAGTTCTATGTCCTTCTTGATCCGCTGAGGATTATTATAATGCATTTGTGGCATATCCGTCTGTGGATTTCATGGTGCTTGTTTTGGCAGTACTAACACTTATGCATGCTCATTTCTGACACAGGTGCAAGCCTCATGGGATGGATATTTGGTATGTTAATCTCCGCTAATGGTATTATACCTACACTGACATAAATCAACACAGGGGGTATCTTGAAAAACTCTGACTGGGGGGTGCGTAAATGCTCTGCAAACATGTGAAGTTGGGATCACTGATGTTAATCATTGATAATATGGTTTGTACGGAGTCCAAAGTCATTTGAAGCTGGATTGGGAACAGCGTTCAGATGGACTGAGCCCGGATTCTCTCACTCCCGATTGAGTTGGAAATCAACCCCAGCTCCGCACTCATGATGGGAATCCTGGCGAGGGCTGGTGAAATTACCTGGCCGTGTACGTAAAAGGGATCACATTCTACGACCCATAATACAAGGCTATCGTTATCAACGCACCACTTGCCAGCTCCAAGCTAGAATCAGGTACGAATATATGATTACATGAGCTACGAACGGTATAGTGTGCAATGCTTGCATGCGTGATATAGAAAATCAAATGCAAAAAAGAAACGACAGAAAGCAGAGCGACATAGAAACAGAAATCCACCTGGAATACAAATTATTATCACAACGGTATATTCTCCTTCTGTCCCAGCATCTCCTTCACAGGGCTCCCAGCCCGCCTACCAATAAACCCAATCGCTTTCGACGGCTTGGGTTTAACTACATCCGTCATCTCGAAACTCATGTCCTCAATCACGCTCCATTCATCTTCTGGCATTTGCTCAAGCAAACTAGGCTGTGCCTTGGCTCGACTCAGCAAGTCTATTCGGACCGGCGAATATTCATCCTCTTCGGCAATTGCCACATTCAAGTTACTGACTCGGCTCTGCTGGCGTTCAGCAAAGGCTGTGGTGGCACCTCCAGGCGTTGGCTTTGGCAGTCTCACCTTTGACACGGGTGAGACGCTACCTCCGCCGAGTCCTAGTGCATCAAATTTGCTAACAAAAGCAGCAAGCGCTCGCCGTTCCTCTTCAAGCTTCATCCTCAGCTATTTGCAAGTCAGCGACCGAGCGCAATGAATAGAGAACCATTCTTACCTTTTTCTCCTTCTCCACCTGCTTGACCAACTCTGCAGCCCACACCTCCTTCTCCTCGCGTTTCTTCGTCTCCACTTCCAACTTTTCCATCCACTCCCTTTCCACATCTTCCCGCACAGCCCTTAAAGGCTCGCCAAGGTTGTCCTCGTAACCCCTCACCACTATTTCTAGCTCCCGTATCGTTTTGCTTTGCTCACCAATAAGCTTGTCCTTCTCAGATTCCGGAGCATCAGGAGGCAGCTCGGGTCGGGCGAGTAACGTTGCTTCTAAAGAAAGTATTTGAGTGGCTTGCGATTCCAGCTGCCTGTGAGCAGCCAAAAGCTCTTGCTGCAGCTGTAACACGGCGTTAGCGTCTCCTAAGATACATATACTACACGTAACATACCTGGTATGGAGACATATCGAAGTCGACTTTCGAAGGACTTGCTGGCCTCGATTCATCACCCTTAGTTTCGTCCACCGTTTGACTTGTTAAAATCAACTTGGTCAGTTGTTGAATGCGTGAGTTGAGATCCTTCATCGCTTTGGACTCGTCCAGTTGCTATAATTCACATACAATCAGTCATGGCCTAGCATTTAGATATAGGTGGCATACCTCACGAGCTGAAAGTCTCCTATTCCGGACAGGAGCCTCTGCTTCTCTTTCAGATAATTTATTCTTCAAGTCTTCGATTTCTTTTCTATACCGTTCGATGAGTGCATCCGTATCCAGCACTTCCTTCTTCTTTGCATTCAACTACAAAAAACGCGAATGAGCTTATTCTCAACAAACACATGAGGCATAACTTACTTGAACCTTTTTAATTCTTTGTGCAAACAGCAATGTGCTAGTACTCTCTGTCACTGCATTAGGATCGGGGTTTATAGTACATATCACGGAGATGCGCGCATTTCCTGACAGAGAAGGTTGCAACATGCGCGTGAGCTTCGAATTACGATAAGGAACATGGTCACTGCGGGCGCTGTCAGATAGCATAGCATTGACTATAAGACTACCAACTTCTTGTTTTTGGCAGCATTCTCTGCCAATGTTCCAATGACGCTCCCGAGGGTGAGCAGACTGCATGCGGCTTGTTAGCTTATTTCGGAGAATAGGTGACAGAACATACCTTGTATTGATATACTTCCCTTCTCTCGTCCTCTCCTTATCTGAGGTAGCCTTCTCGGAACCAGCAAGATCTATCAAGCTCTATAAAGTGAAATTAGTCCTTTTGTTCCTTCCGAGTCGGTACCACACGTACCAGCACAGATGTCTGCACACTTTTCCCTCCTCTGGCCTGCAACCGTGGTCCTCCAGGCGTTGGCGGTCTAAAACCTGGTGTCTGCCTCCCACTCGGTGCACTTTCACCCTCGTCTCCACCCCTCTCCCTACTCTCAATTACTAATCTGAATACGCTATGACTTCGACTACTCCTCTCGTTCCAATCCGTGCTTGCTGTTCTCCTGTTCCCTTCACCACGCTCCAACACCTCCTTTACGCTCTTTAGGCTCGTCACAACCTCTTCTCGGAGAGGTAGCATTATCCCATTTCCATGAATTTGCACGGGTTGAGCGGCACTCGACGATGGTGACGCGAGAAGGTCATAGATAGTCTCATTATATATCTCAATATACGAGCACCGCAGGAGGTATTCTCGCGTTGACGTTCTTCGGATATATGCGAACACGTCTTTCATCGCACGGGGTATAATTCCTGGTTGTTCTTCACTACCGGACTAGCTGAAGTTTCAACAAGAGCTTATGATACCAAGTGAAATTAAACAGACGGACCAGAGTAAATGTCTTTCCACTAGCCGTTTGACCATAAGCAAAAATGACCGAGTTATACCCATCCATTGCAGCGCAGACATGACTGCGTGCTACTGCGTTGTAGATAGGCTTGTTTTCAGATCCAGTCAACACTTCATCGAAGTGAAATTCTTGCGGCGGCGTTGCCGTCGACTTCGCATACTGAGGTTGCAGTTTGACACTTCGATTCATGGTTGCTGAGCGATCCCAAGCAGAATGTGAGTTTGTAGGGCGGATTCTATGGGTTAAATTCAGGTCAGTTTCAGAGAACATTTGACTATCTACATTAAAACCCGTCTACCTGACGGACACCAAGACTTTGTCTTCCCTTCCATAGTCGTTTAATAGTGATTCGTCCACCTCTCCCGATACGTCACCGGGTTCAACGGTCTGATAATCGATCAAGACCTCTTCTGGATCAACCCTGCTAACGTCCATCTCACTCGAAGCAATGAACATCGGACTCTCGGCACCACCTCGTCGAGGTGTACCGGGTGTCTTTGGGCGATTACCATCAAGGGCTGATTTCTTCGGAGGTGATCCTGGTATTCCTGAAAGTGCTGATTTGGGTTTTGCAGCAGTCCTCAGACGTGACTCTGAGGATACTGTTGCCTTGAATTTCTTGATTGAATTAAGTGCACTGGGTGTGGTTGCTCGAGGAAGTTCAGATGCTGAAGATAGAGGTCGCTTTGGAGTGAACGGCACAGAGCGAGTAAGCTTCGTCGTTGATGAGCTTGAAGATGTCATGTCACTGTTGGTAGATGGCAAACACCAGGTTAGGTGAGCTTGCCTTTGTCCTTGTCGTCTGCAAGCGTAATTTAGAAAAACAACCCTGGGAAACTTCAATTACCCATATATGCGAGCACGCGTCCGGGTCACGTGACGAAGGAAACGCGTAGATCACCTGATGGGATGTAATAACATTCACGCGCTGTCCCCAACTCCATAAGGAGGAGGGTCTCATAGTCTCCAGTAGCTTACCTAATCACAAAATATGAGAATGATAATTTGTGTGTATAAGGTCTGCTTCATAGTAAGAGCTCGTATGGGAACTCAATTTTCAAAAAATATTGGTTTTTCCAACTTTTCAGCCACATGATGTTGGGGAGCCGTCAGAGCAGGCCATACTCTTTTTGGGAGTACAGTTTGATGGCATGAGGGGAACAATATATATGTTGTCCAATGGTCAACACTTCTTCTTCAACTGTCCTCATGCCCCGAATGAAACGAAAATATGGTGTAGGACATACCCTGGACCACGTCCCTCCTGGAAAACAACCACGACGATCCCTCAGAATGAGCAAAAGTCAGAAATCTAACAACCAAGAAGTAAAAGATGAAGGAGAGAGTGTCAGTCAGAGCAGTAGTGGCAATGTCATTTGGACCAAGGTCAAAACTACAGCCCTTTTCAGCTACATCAAGAAACATTGCGCACAAGGAGGGGATGGCCTCAACTTTAGGAGGGCATTTGGCCAGGAGTGGCAGCTGACATTGTGCCTCTCCTTGCGAAAGGACCAGCAAAAAGTGCTACTTGTTGTGGTCCAAAATGGGGCAGGGTTTGTAGATGTATATTGTACCCCACTGTACACTATTTGCTAACAAAAATCATGTGTTAATGTAGCTCCATACCAAATACAATGAAATTAGTGCAATTGCAAACTTATCTGGTGTACCGTGGGACAGCAAACTAGGGCTGAATATACTTGATAAAAGTGAAGTGGTTTGTGCAGAAATTGTTGAGGCATGTACCTGGTTTTTACGTGCATGGGGAGGAGTCCGAATCAGCATCAATATGTAGAAAAATCCGGGAGCAAAAGCATACAAGAGGGAGGGGTGGGTGCATTATAGCACTATGCAGGAGCTGCTGGGGGGTCAGCATGCCAAGGTCTTGAATGCCTTTTGCACCCCTAGAGTACCCCAAGTGCCAAAAGTAAAAGTGCCGAAGATGTCCACATCCACCACCCAGGTATCTACTCTGCCTGTTTCTGCTACCACAAATTCTACCACATCTATTGCGCCTGCACCTGCTGCACCCGCAGCGCCTACTGTCTCTCATGCAGTGCCTGCTGTTGTGGCTGCTGCACCTGCCATCCCTTGTGTAGCTGTGTCTGACATAGCCGCAAAGGATCCTCCTGGTCACATCAACAACTGGCTTGGTGGCCTTCCCTCCCCGACTTCTGCTGTGCTTCCTCCCATGAGTTTGACCACTTCAGCATCAGGAAAAACTCTTTTGTTATGTAGTGCTATACAGTGTACTACCAGTCCTTTTCACACAATGGTTCCTTTTTGCAGTCGTGCTAAAACTTGTTTGATTTTCAGTATTTGCCTGTGGCATTGTGTACATATGTTCAGAGGCCCTTTGGCCATAGTTCTACCATGTTTGAGCAAAATCTGCACTGTGAGTGAAGCTGGCCATGCTGATCATTGTACATATATTACAGTGTGAAGCAACTTTACATTGTAGTCCCAAGCAATTATCTGCCCAGTAATACCTATGTAATTGGTGTCTCTACAACCACAGCATATTCCCGCATAAATTTGCTCTCCATACACAATGGACTGGAGAAAATCTCCGTGCTCCAGAGGGCATTTGGTGATTATCAGGCAGAAATGCGGGGTCAAGCGTGACAGAGTGTGACAGGGCACGTGTTTGGTGAACGCATCGTGAAGTTTCTATTCTTAACGCAAGGAGACAACAGTCTTTGGCGTTTGCTTGAAGGACAAACAACAATGTATGATATTTGATGTATGAGTAATCAACAATGGAATGTAATCAAATATTAATAAAGCAGAATAACTATGTGAAACGAAAGGATGGGTGGCGGCCGAAGGCTGCCCTCCCTAAACAGTTGTAGACGCTGACCTGTTATATAGAATTAAAATGGGAGTGAGTGAGCTGCATACCCAAGAAGGTAGGAGAGAGGACGCAAAAGCTCGATTGCTCCCAGTGATTAGGAGTCGTGACTAGGTGAAATTCTTTTGCTTACCTTGACGGCAATAAAGGGTTATTAATGGGTGCTTCTTGTGAGGTTAAATGTACAAAAGCTGCATGTAAAGACGGTTTGTCTTGAATATATGGCGCAAGGATTTGTGCGTAACGTCTCAAATAAATCAGGAACGCATTACTCTTCCATCTCCCCTTGGCTTTCATCACTTCGAAGGGAACTCCTCTCAGGAGGTATTCAAGTGTGGCTCCGATGCGAAGGCTATGGCCTGAGAAGTGAGGGAGGTTTTGAGCCTTTGTTGTGCAATTAAGTTTGTCAACAAATGTGTTTCTGGTTAGAGGGCAACATTTTAACGAGTTGTGTCAGGGCCAACGATATGCGAATACGTGGTCGGAAGAATCGGGATTGTTAATTTTAATGTGGTTGAGCCACCCTTCCTCGGGATCACTAAGTCCCTGCTGTGTCACCCATGAAACCGACATGGGTTCTTTTTCTGTTTTGGTAATGGGAAGAATAAATGCTTTGACTCTAAAACCGTTCCTGTTGGTTACTTCTGAGACTCCGTCTATGGTTGCGTGTCGATTGCTGTCAAATTGGTTTATGGAGGGAATAGTGAACTCGCCCAGGCGAGAGGCTGTATAAAATGTTGTGGTCAAGCAAGCAAAAAATGCTGCGTCTAGTGGTTTGGTTAGGTCTAACACTTTTCGTACTTCGCATATGTGTTCTATTGTGAATGGTTGATGGGGAGCGCGTTTGGATGATATTGGAGTTAGTGTTACGGACACTGTCAATAGCGCCAAAATCTCGGGCTCATTTATGATCCATGGTGAGCCATGTAGGATGTGCCAGGCGCGCACTCCATAAACATAGTTACAAATTGTTTTACCAGAGTACAATCCCGCCATTGTGGCTATGAAGGAAGCTAAAGTGATGGATTTCACTGGTGCGTGTTCCGCTTCTGAAATGTTTCTCGCATTGCAAAATGCATGAAAAGCTAATAATCCTGAACCGTAAACTTTCCTTGTCAAGGAAGCCCACGCATTTACAATTACAGCGGTTATTTTCTCGAGGTCATTGGGGGTAAGATATGAGATGTTGGTGGGGTCCGAGTTTATGCGGGATGCGGGTGGAGTCCATAGTAGAAGGCGATCTTGGACGGGGCATTCTGGACGAAGGGGATGAGATTGTTGGGGAAGATGTGTATGTGTGTTGTTGTGAGAAGTGAGGATGCGATGAGATGGGGAGATGGATTGTGAGGTCGGTAAATTATGATTGGCTGGGGGAAGTGAACAGATTGGGGTAGAAGATGGGGTGTTGTTGTATTCGCTCCTTGGTGCCTGGAGGGAAAGTTCCAGGGCCACACACTTTTGGCGGGTTGTGGATGTCATTTTGGATCTCAAAAGGAATGTTGATGTGAGGGAGTAATTGTGATGAGCTGGGGTATATTCCTTGGGAGGGGCCGTCTGCTGGATTGAGTTTTGTATTGATGTATTCCGTGTGGATGACACATTGGTATGGTTCTGTGAATTCAAGAATGTGTCGGAATACTTTGTTAGTTTGTTTGTTTCGACTATGTCCCTTGGGCCAGGCCTCAATGACACCTTTGTTGTCCCCGTAAATGTGAACATGAGTTCGTCGGGGAAGGATGGGGATGATGATTTGAATCGCAAATTCGAAGGCAATGGCTTTGGCCCAGCCAATGTCTCTCCCTGGTGTTTTCCACGCCGGATTGAGTTTCCATGCACGCTAGTGGGGTCCAATGACAACTCCAATGCCAACTCCTGAGCTTGCATCGCAGAAAATTTGGAGGTCGAGGATTGGTTGGGGTGCTGGGATGTGTCTCCAAGGATTTTCTATGGATAATTGGTGTTTCCACCAAAGAATGTCGTGGGGAGTGGACAGTCCCTTGGTGGGATGCGTGGCTTAAATGGTTGGTCATGGAAGACTCCCGTGAATGCCTCGAGGTTGGTTAGGTATGCTCGACCTCGTGTAATGACTAATGCCACATGTTGTAACTTTCCCAGGATTGACTGAGTCTCCTTGAGGGTGTGTCTGGTGTTAGTGAGCCAGTTGTCAATGGCCGCTAAATATTTTTGGCGTTTTTTGGTAGGTATGGATACTGTTTGTTGTGCTATGTTCCATGAAAAACCTATGAAGAGGAATTTGTTACTAAAAGGTGTATCTTTGGAAGTTTCCCAAGGATTTCCTAGGATTTCCGACAACCAATTAATGTCATCAAAGTTGTAGGAGAAGTTCTTGTCGATTTCGCTTTGCGGGTATGAGATTGAGTGGTCAATGATTGGAAAACGCATGTCTTCATCAAATTCTTCGTGTGAACCATTTGGGAGGAGTTCTCCTGTGTAAGAGAATCATCCACCGTTGACCTGCCTGCCTCCGTTCTTTTTTATCATGTGATAACAGTTCAAATGCATGTCATTGTACCTATGTAAGTATTTAACAGGGATACGCATGAAGATATGGTCGTCTACCCATTTTGCTATGGGACCGATACCATTTGCGCGGAATATATCTGCTCCGGCATTGCCAATGATTCCATAGAGGCCCGCCGACAAGGCGAGGCCAAAACAAGTTGAAGTGTCAATTGCAAAAGCGTCATCACCTGGTAATTGTACAACTAAACCTGGCCATTGTGATGGCTTTATGGGTATAGTTTGATATGCCTCCGCTACATCTTGTAATGCCGCTTGAGAATTTGGTGGTAGGTGTGATAATAATTGTGCAAAAATGGAGAAGGTACTCCATGTTGAAGGGAATTTGTCGGAGTCGATGGATGAGTTGATGGATGATGTTTCCCCCGCCGGTGAGTGTGGGAATGATAAATTCTGAATGATCCTGAATTTTTCGGGTTTCCCGGATTTTGGGATCAAGGAAAGGGGTGATGATTGAAAATGACCTACGGCTGATTCTACTTCTTGTTTGGTCATGGGTCCAATGTATCTGCCTTTGGCAAATTTGCTCGCAATTAATTGGGTAAAAGTGTGTAACTGTTTATCCACAGTAATATTATTTCGTGGTGCGAAGGTTTTTGAGATTGGGGGAATATGTGCGTCAAAACCGTGTATTAGAGAGTGTGGTAAGTCTGTGGATTGTAGTGCTTCCGTCCAAGCTGCTGCATTATATGGTGTTAAAGGAGTCGCTCTTCTGTCTGAGAGGACACGCATGAGCTCCATGCTCATGACTTGCACAACCTGAGCATTCGTGTTTGTCAGGGTGATTGTTGTTTTTACATCCCGTGACTCGCTGCCAGTCTGTGCAGATTTCTCTCCCTTCGGGATTGATGATTCAACCTTTGTTGTTGCGAGAACATTGTGCTGGTGTTCCTTTCCATGTGACGTCTGCGTTGCAGGAGGGATAGTTGTGTTGGTAGGTACCCAAACAAATGGCGCATACGGGGTTGTGCTTTTTGACGGTAGCCGCACGTGTCTGCCTTTTATAATCTCTGGATTCCCCATTATCTGGGTACTCTTTCTTACAAAAGGAAGAAGAATCCTCTCCATATTTCGTAGTTGGGCGTGTGTAGGGTTTGTAGTTGCGTCTCTGATCGCCAGTGTTATTGTATTCTATTCTTTTACTGGGATGTGATTGACTCAATGACACAAGTCTCGCTTGGATCTAGTTTTATGTGGAATGAAAGAGCACGCGAATTGATTGTTTTTGATGTGAAGGTTAATGTAGTCACAAGTTCCACAATGGGTGTGAGATTTGTAGGTAATGCAGTCGTGGTGTGTGGAAGAAAATAAGAGGGCTATAATTGCACGCAACACAAGGCGGTAACACGCAGTGATTTTGGTTGTGATGGGTTTCAATGTAGAGTTGAGGGATGCCATGCAAACGCAACGCACGCTGTCATGCACCAAAGTTGATTGGTAGCATGGACAGGTGTCAATAACGAAGTGAATATTCAAAAAGACTCGCCTTTGCGCCACACAGGCACAATGCCACGTGGAATAGTAATTAATATTGCCTGTTTCGAACTTGTGGCTGATCAGCACCACCTCTATTAGGCAATCTAGTCATGCTCACCTTTGCTTTTCCATTCGGTACTTTCCGCATCTCGGCATTTCGGCAAATTTTTGCGTCGCCACTGGCTACACATTGCATTGCGCCCTCGCTTTTGTCGTTTCCCTTACTCCCCTTCCTTTGCCTAGCCCCACCATGGGCCCCTTCCTCTCCTTTTTATTCTCACCCGACGGTCGTTTCTGGGTCCCCATTTTAGTTCACCTCCTCGTCACCTCCACCCTCCTCCTCCTCATCTTCTTTGCACCCCCACCATTTCTGATGTCACCACTTCCTATCCGCTTCCGTCGCCGATCCGTTGACTACCACGTGCCACTGCTGATATCAGCAAAGCCCCGGCGGCCGGTCCAAATAGGGCAACAGGTCCATCTTCATGACGTCGATCTGCCATCATATACTATCAAAACATTGGTCGCTCGTCTTGCCTGGTTGGAGCGTGGGTGGGTAGTTTTTGAGCTGGAGAAGGTTCATCCCCTTGCGTCGCCCATGTTCATCGCTGTCCCATTCACTTGGGTACACTTATCTTTTGTCCATCGTCTTCGCTATAGCTACACCTACCACATGCTGCCTGGGACTCACTTGTTCTAAATTGGAACCACTCCCCTCCCTCCCTCGTTTGATCAGGTGGTCCAATATAACCAGACCATTGGTAAGGCCATGGAACCATCAGATTTGGACTAGGTGGTGGACCGGTGGCTCCAGTTTCTTTTTTTCAGCAGAACATTCATTTACAGTGCAATTATTTTTGATTTTTGAATCATTTTTATGGACACATATTTTTTTAGAATGTCTGACTGACAATAAAGGAACTGTGTTGATACTGATAGTGTTTTGCCTTGCTCTTTTTTTACTGCATCTTCCCATGACATCATGATTTTCCTGCTCTCCTTTTGCTATTGGACTTTACTTTATGGCTGTACAAACCTGTGATATTACTCACAGCATTTATTGTTCTATCCCTTTCTTTTCCTTTTTTGACAATCTTATCCTGTACTACCTACACAGGATTTGTCAGCATACATTCCTTCCTTCATGTTCTTTCTCATTCTTTTTGCACAGCTATACTGTGCATAGCCTACTTTTCTTTCACTATATAAACCCCTGTATTTTACCTTGTAAAACAACAAGAACTCCAATCCAGACTTCTTCTCTAATCTCAAGTTCACTACTCTCTGCTACTTGTGATCCAGTGTGGTCACAACACTTCCCACTGCTACCACTGTTAATTTCTGTCATCGTCACTTGCCACTTTTGAAGTCATTGTTATCCCTTTCGATTAGAGTCCTTCTGAGCACTACAGTTTGTGCATCAGGAGCCTGCTATCACTGGGAACCTTGTCACCTTGTCATCCTCATCGTTCTCAAACCTACCTTGTGCTACAATTAGCAAGGTAGTGCTCATCTATACTCGTCACTAAGCCCCTATCTTCTATAAATTCAACTATCCCTCCTCCTCAAAACCCACACTCATACACCTCTGGGTTTTACTTTGAAGGATCTTTATACGTACCACCCCACGAACAACCAGACCACTCCACTGTTCTAGGAGGCAAAGCCCATAAACAAGTTCCGTGGAATCTGGGAGGATTGTGTATTAGTTTGTTTTTGTGTGTGGTTTTCTAACAGCAGTTCTCATCATATCACATAGATAAAGGATGCAGGGCGAATC